TACCATTTCGAATCTGCCGTGCTTGAAGTGGAGTTGGATCGAATATAAAATTTTATTATCAAATACGCGACGGCATGAAAAAAGCAGATAAAATCATCGAAACTTGCAGCAAACAGCTACATGCCTACTTCCATGTCTTCCATTCGGTCCGCACGACCGTAGAAGTACTCCAGACGAAGGGATGCGTTTGTATTTCTTGCGTGGCTATGAGCATGGTTAGTGTATCGTGAGCGATGACGTCGTACTGGTGTCTGTGGTGCAGCGTTCTCCATTGTTGCACGGAATGCGATTTTGAAAAGTGAAAAAAGTGGGCGCGAAGATCGCCCAACTGCAACCTTCAGGAATATTCGATCCAATTCAACTTTAAGCACGGCAGATTCGAAATGGTACTTGGCATATTGTTGGGTAGTGGAGCCATTTCCATTGGTAGTATGGTACATTTCAAAGGGTGTTGCGGCACTATGTGTCAATTCTATTGGCCACAAGGCCAAATGAATGGACACATCGCCCTTTCGAATGAGCGCCAAGCCAACAACGTTGAAAAAAGTCCCAAGTCAATAGAAAAAAGGTGTAGTATTAATTATTTTTTAATACCGGTAGTATCATCGGTAGTATCATTGATGGTTCTCCAAACGTATTGCACTGAAACGACGAACGACGGCAATCCACGATGGAGAGGATATCTAACCTCAGGTATCGACATGTGTGACACTGTGACACGACGTGTAACTTCGTCTCGACGGAGAAGACGTGCGTCGTATACGTATACATGTATGTACACTCGTGTTGCGAGAATCAACACTTGATCCGATGTGAGACAACATACCGGTAACGTTACATTAACTTACTTCGTCGTCAGCGCAGGAATGTAGATGAAGGATGCAAACTTGGACACAATACGAGTATGGCGGGTGCTTCGTTGGATGGCAAACTCGACGTTTGGGATGAATAGTATGTGAATTCACCGTAGAAAGTATCCCAAGACAACGGCATCCACTTCCGTGAATGCGCCTAATGATTCGTTGGACGAGCCAGCGTCTTCCGTGTCGAGAGAGATCGTGGACACCATCACGGGCTCGATGTGTGCAGTACTGGCCAGCAGTGACGTCTGCTCGAGCAGCTCCCGGCCGTGCCGCGCGCAGTACCCGCCGGATCGCGCACACCGCATGCAATCGTTGGCTTTGCATCGCCGTCCTCCACCGTGGGCAACGCACTTTTGATGCCGCTGTGCATGTTTGGTGCATCCGTCTTCGATGCACGTCTTGCGAAGGGCAGGGAGTTCAGCATGGCGGCTACAGAGCGGACCGCGACGCGCGTTGGCCCAACAATCAGGGATTTGGCATCGCCGCTTGGCGCCGTGGCGTACGCACAGGTGGCGGGCGTATACTTGGTTGACGCACAGCGGGGCCTGGCACTTACCTTTGTGCTTATGCAAATCGCATTTGCCGTCCCGGTCGGCCAAGGCCACGTTGGCGCACCCGCTGAAGCAACACCCGCGTAACATTGGCGTGGCCATGATAAGATTGGAAAGTGGGATGCAAGTGAAGTCCCTCGAAGAGCTTGCTCGTCGTCGACTCCATCATCGAAGCAGCACCATGCGGTGACGCAGCAGTGTCGTTGTACGAAATGGTGAGACATCTCGTGCGGCTCCGGATACTTGTCCGGATAAACCGATCCACACCGTGTACCAAGGCCGACAGGCGGCGTCAACATGACGCTGCTGCCGTCGATACGTGTCTGTTGGTGACAACAACGTTACTGTGGAGCTGGCTGGATACACCAGAACTATGATAGGCATGGCAGAAGCATTGTTGATGTTGCATACTCAGCGTGAGGGGGGAATGATGTGTATGCATGTATGTAGCCATGAGAAGAACCACCAACGACCCACGCCGCCAAAGCTGCACGCGCTGACTTTGCAAACGAACAATTGCTTCAAGGGTCGTTCTCTCGAGGCAAATATGGGGCGAAACAGATAAACGTGGCTTGAGGCAGCGATTTCTTGATGACGCTCTTGGCGCAAACGAGTTTTGTAATGAGTACTATTTATATACCGTGTAACATATATAGATTTGGACAGTGGCGGGCAAGTATCCGGATACGGATAGTGTAAATTTCAATATGCTTACAACAATCAAGTGTAATAATCCAAATATATAATTTTACAGAGGATTATATCATTTTACAGAGGAGTCCAAATCTATATGACTGTCTAAACCAATATACGTTACACGGTATTAGGAGCGTTTCAATCGTTACGATATAGAATAGAGAGGGTTTCCACTGCACGATTCAAGCACATAACCACAGTATCAAGTAACTTTCTTCATAGTACTGTAACGTTGATCCTCCTAGTGTTAGCACAAGAAGATTTCGTACTGTAATGTATATCCACACCATCTTGGCGGCTACATGTATGTTCTCTGTCGTCTTCTCTAACGTTATAGCAAACAAACCCTGCGGCTGCAACGGCTAAGAGCGAACCTTGATTGCATGAACTCGAAAATGCATGTTTTAAGTTTTGCAAGTTTCAATATACAATATCTTTAAATGGGTGTATAACCTCTCCGAGATCGCGCTTGGTAGGCTACGACCACGACGAAGGCCATGATCGCCCCCGCCAGCATCCTCACAACAACCACGACGGGCATGTTGTGCTCCACAGCCGACAGTTTGGCCCGTCGTGCGACTTGCGTTTGAAACGTCGACGCCAGCTGCAACATGTCGAGCGCCGAGTCGAACGAGAGCGTTTCAAACGCGTGGATATCCAGGCCTGGAAACGTTGTCGCAGACATGTTGGTGACGGAGCAATGTGGAAATCCCTTGATGAGCGTTTGGACTGCGCCGTACGCGTCCCTGCACCGCGAGTTCTTGCGTGCGTTTTCGAGCTTGGCGACCGGCGGGATTTCTGACAGCTTGGCGAGGTTCATGCCCATGGAGGGAAGGCACATGAGCACGCTTAACTTGGTGATTAGACGCATCGCGGACTTTTGAATCGCGGCAAAGTCGCACGGGGTGGGCACGGTGGGGTACACGGCGACCTTGACGGCGGACGCCACCATGCTCCACGTCACATTTGGTACGACGCTGAGCTCCAAGCACCGTTGCTGCGCACTCAAGGTCTGCATGTCTTTGAAGAGCGATTGGCAGTTGGCAGACGCGATAAACTTGTCGCCTTGGGCGGCTGACGGGATGACTTTGTTGGATAGCTGCTCCGTGGTGATGTTGGAATCGATCGCACACGACGAGAAGAATGGGCTGGCTTGGGTCAAGTTGACCGCGGCCACGTAGTTGGACTCGATACAGTGGTCTAATGGAGCGGCGGTGGCGGCAAAAGAGATGACAGAGAAGACGGCAATGCTCTTCATGGTGAGAATTTGAGTGTGTGATGCTTTGAGTGGCAACAAAGCAGTGGGGTCGAAGGACGAACGCACAGGATTGGCCAGTCTACGTTTTCGTAGCCAATCAAATGTTGGTATTTGATGTGCAGTTGAAAGTGCAAGTTGGGGCGGCAAGATGATTTAGATTTAACGTTACTGTATGTCTCTCCTACGTACAGTAATATTCTGAACTTGTAAGCTTACACAAATTTCCCAATTTTCCATGGTTCGTTCAACCGAACACACAAACCAAGTTGAGACATTTGATTGGCTAATATCCACTTTGCCCTTTCAAGTAGAAAATCGAAATTGGATTGTAGCCAATCAGCGACAATTAATTTCGGATTGACCAATGGGAGAGATTCGTGCCAAGTTCGCCATACCGTACGTATACGTAGCTACATAGCTACACCCGTCGAGTGTAATTAGTTCGGATTGAGAATTAGTGCGGATTCAGATTTGGGTCCGGCACTGGTCCAAGGGTAGTTGTCCCGATTGCACCTACTAGTATCGTGTGGTCATTTGGGTCCTCGACCAAGCCAGAGCACGCCGTCTCGAGTTCGGTCCACACTAATAATACTACGTAGTAGATGGTGTTGGAATTGTCATATTTTGTGGTTGGTAATTAGTGTCGTTGGTGTTTGGGGTGTATCGCGCGATGCCCAATTGCTTGGATAGTCATCCAATACAAGTACTAGTATGGTTTAAAATCCCACGCACAAACATAACTTTAACAGTCTATACTAATTCTCTATTTTCAAAATTGGTGCGGTCCACACTAATTCTCCAAGCCCATAATTAATGCGGATGGTTAGATAAGTGTGAATTCGCTATAAACTTCCAAAATTCGCGTGATTTGACTAATCAATATTGAATCACTGGAGTTCTGATTGGTTGAATATACTTATCCTTTCTGTAAGAGCCAATTAAATCCACACAAAAATGGATTAGCCAATAGCGTCGATCCGTGATTCGATTCGGGGGCGAGATTCGATTCGACGGCGGAAGAAAGGAATTGAGGGTCCACACTAATAACGAGGCGGATAATTAGTGTGGACCGCATCGCAAGAGGAGGGTCCTGGGTTCAATTTACTGTCCAAAATACGCCGCGTTTTATTCCAAAAGACTCACCCAGGCGTGGAGAAATCGACGAATGTAGGTTGGAAGTACAAGTGGAATATGTGTGAACAACTTGACGTTTCAATGGGTTGATTTGAATCAAATTCTCGGACGGTGAGATATTATTCATAGAAATTGCACGTTTAACTGTAAACCGGATGAATCTCCAAAATTCGCTACGTTTTATTCCAATGACAATGTAACCTTGTTTTCTGTATCGTATACATACATCAAGGTTAAACATGATTGACACCCAGTAGGTACTTGCATCACTCTTGCCTTCGTCAGTTGAGTCTTTGACACATGAAGTCGTTCTCGATCTTGGCGATCCTTCTTGCGGCAGTCGCCGCCACCACCACCACCACTGCGGCGCCGTCCACATCCACTGCATGCACGGAAGCACAGTACCAGGTCGTGGACTCCGCGTCCAAGTCGAGCTGGTACCATGGGTTGTGTGCGTTGAGCATTGGAGTGTCCCGTGAAGCGCTGGACTCGCACCAAGTGCTTTCGGAGGAAGCGGAAGCCAAGTTTGCCGAGTCCACGACCTGCAAGTGGCTGTACGGCGACATTCGAAAGGCCGCCGCGACCCAGCAATGCTACGAACTCGACTTGATCGCGCACCACATCACGTGGCCGATGGTCGTGGCGTTGATGGACGTCGAATCGTACCCCAAGGTGAACGACACCAAGTGCTCCAAGGTGCAGCTCACGTCTGCATTTGCTGGCCTCGCGCTCCAACCCAACTTCTACAGCTGCATCGGCACGTCGTCCAAGGACCTGTTCACGGTACCCGACCACGCCCGCGTCGACGCCTTCCGAGCCAACCCAAGCTGCGCCGACCTGTTCGTCCAACTCCAAGAGGTCGTCGAAACTCAGCCGCACTGCGCCATTGATAACAAAGGCACGGACATCCACGTCCTCACCAAACTCAACTGGAACGTGACGCTGGACTGGCTCGCCATCCTCGGCAACGCCACCACCGCGCCGGGCGTCCCCGGCGCGGTCAAGTTTGCCGCCTCATCTGTGCACCCGTCGTCGCAGAATGTGACGGGGTGGCTCACTGCAACTCTCGCGGGTGTCGGGGTCGCGGTACTGGCGGTGGTGGTGCTCAAGAAGCGTCGCGCGACCGCCGCGGCGGCCGCCAAGCGTAGCGAAGAGCGGATTAAGCTGCTGCGCGTGTAGATCTATCTGCATCAACCATGATATGTAATAACCATCGAGAGTAAGAAGCAGTGGGTGGTGCACTAGTCTGGACACCGGGTTCCACAAACACGACAAAGCCGTTTCCATACACTATATTAGTGTGGCTTACACTAATAAGGCACCGTGGCATCCTGCACACTAATAATGGTCGGATCGTTTTTGTCTCGACACCTAAGTGATATATCCACAGCATCCGAAACAACCAGCACCGCTGCTGAAACCCTCCATGTTCATGGGGTGGTGCCGTCCGCTGGAGAGCCCTCGTCCAGTAAACCCTTCCTCGGCCTCATGATGCCTCTCTTCGTCTCTCACATGTGGCTTTCTCGTAGAGCAAATTCGACCACTTCGGTCGGGAGTCGTCGCGCGCGGCCAAGCTCTTGCTGCATGTGGCGACAGAGAAATCCATAGATGTGGACGTCGTCGATCACGCTGTCACAAGTTGTGGACACGACACATTCACAGTGCGTGTGGTCGTCGCTTCCTGTTTCAACGAGTCCATGTGACAGGGTATCCTTAGGTCTACATCATCGTCGTCACCATCAACGGCGTCGCGTCCACCGTGCTGCGGCGATATCGACAGTTCTTTGCCCTCCACGAGCAGGTATGTCCTTCTCCCAAACCTTATCCTTCCCATCGATCGACTAGCTCCGGCAATCTGTCTATGCTGCTGCGTCCACAGCCTTCCCCGACCGCCTCGTGTTGAACAACCGCAGCGCCGCCCTCGTCCGTCGTCGCCAAGACATGCTTAATGTGTACGCTCATCAAAGCAACACATCCAATATTCTACAACACCCCCATAGGTACCTCAAAGCACTGGTGGCAGACGACTCAGCAGGATCGTCGCATCCCCTTCGCACGTTTCTGGGGCTGGAAGTCGAAGGGAACGACGCCAGCCAGTACGTTGGGTTTGAGTGGACCCATCGCAGCGGCCGATTCTCATAATATAAATCTACCAACTGCTGTCTGTACTTCGTGTGTGTTCCCTATTCGGAAGGAGTACACTGTTATAAGTCATGCACTACCGGTGCTATTAGTACGTACATACTGTAGTAGTACTATTAATAGGTATGAATAATACTAATGTACGTAATATTACGAAATCCTATTGTGCTTTCGAGGGTTTCTCGTTCGATTTGATTGGCTACCTCAGATGAGCTCAAAATTATTAGCCAATAAAAACTCAATGAAGAAATTCAACCAATCAGATCGATTGTGGATCGGTTTGCGCGATTCAATTGCACCCCCTTCCCAAATATTTGTATCAAATCGACAATACATACAAAGATATTATATATATTTACACTGCTGCACTGCTAGTGTACTGGCAGGAATTAGAAACGGCACTTCGCGTACGAAATATCACTTTAGGATTTCGAAACAAACCAATATATGTACCCAACACAATTTATTAGAGTCGGAACCCCGGCGCTCAGGAACCTACATAAGTATAGCGTATAGTTAAGTCCGCTAGATGCCAACGCAGCTAGTATGCGGCCGTGCCCGCTGAATGATTTTAACTTTACAGCGTAATATCAATACATAAGTATAGCGTATGTCGTCTTCGTTCTCGGGCGCATCGCCAAGGGTTACCTATCGCTAACCCCTCGTAATGCGCGCCAAACCCCTCAAGAAAATCAGAAGCAAGCCTACCACGGCTACGCTGCGAAAGGCCGCGCACCCCCACGCACATGCAGAGAACGTTCAAGATGCGACCAACTCCTAGCACACTGTTGCACATCGATTTCGCGTAGCAACTAGATCCCGTTTGTGTGTTGCATTGAGCAAATCCCTTTAACAATATATGGGGGCACATCCATCCTCGGGACATACCTTCAAACCGCCGCAAGTAATCCGATTTTGGTTTCAAAAAAGGAGTCAAACTGCGAAAAGTGTTTCTCCACCCACTGCGTTTTGTTGAGTGCAATCGAATTCACCGAGTGTATTGTGGATTTATTCGATACGAATTTCGTAGTCGAATCGAATCGCTCGCCGCCGAATCGAATCACGAATCATCGACGCGATTGGCTAATCCATATTTTTTAGTGGAATTGTTGATTGGCACTTGAAGAAAGGACAAGTATATTCAACCAAGCAGAACTCCGGCGTGATTCAAGATTGATTCGACAAACCACGCGAAGTTTGGAAATTTATAGCGAAATATTACAATAACGTTATCTGCAGAACTGACATATGTATATAAACGTTTACTCCGGAGTACTATTTTCCAGGTCTTACATGTTTTCCAGCAATATTTCTCATTCGCATCAAAATATTATTTTCCAAATATTTTATCACCTCCCATTTGAAAAGGGAATTCACTGTGAGAATATTATTTGATCAAAAATTGCCTGAGGCATCCACACTCGGCCTTAGGGCTCCACAAGTGAACTTGCGGGAGAAAACAACGTTCTAACGACTTATTCCTTTTTTTCTCCATGTTCCCAAAGACTCGCATTATAAAACTGACACCATAAGTTCGTGGTGAAATGTCTGGATGGATGCCTCTAATCTTTCCTGAAAATCCCCAGAATATCACAAATGTTAAGCGTCAGGAAAAACATAGTACGCCAAATCAGCGTGTTTATAATTGGGTCAAATTAACTGAAAACGCTGGACGATTATTCCTGATTTCGGAGGCACGTGTTTGAAGAATACCATTTTTTTTACATACAAGCTTGTTCCTGGCAAAACTGCCGTTTTTTCTGACAAAATATCATGGCATCCAGACCAGCCCTTACTACACAAGTACTGTACACACTCCGGAGTACTAGTAGTTACTACGTAGTACTAGTTAATTTCTACCGACTAGCGTACAGTAATGCTACGTGCAAAGTGTTGCATTAAATATGTACGTAGTACATTTTTTAGTACTTCAAGTATATATTTACTTGCTAAACACCTCTAATAATAGACCGTTTTAGCAATTACCCGTAGTAGTACTACATACTACAGTACGAAGAATTACTTTTTACCGGTGGGTGTCTGCACCATCTTGGAGCTCATGCGGCGCATCGACGCTACCGAATGCTGCTGATGTTGCTTACCGCGATAAAACCTGGCCATCGTGTCCGACGTCAACGTGTCCATGATGATGTCAAAGCTCGAGCGTCTCCGGCGGTTGTCAATGCCGAGGATGTTCCACTCTTGGTTAAGCCGGTCCAACCGCTTCACGGACGGCAAAGTGGACAACCTGTCGCAGGTGGCGTCGATCCAGGCCTTGAGATGGTCGATGTTGGCTTGCAGTTGCCGCCGGTCGGCCTCGGTCACGCGAGCCACGGACGCCACCACTTCCCTGCATGACGTTAGCACACCGAGGAGTATAACGCCTTCGTGGGCGATAGCGTCATATATACAGGCGTCACCAAGATCTACTAACTCGATGGTGGTGTCGATGGTCTTGTCCAACAACTGCGTCAGAACGTATCGCCTGGCGTTGTCGTCGTCGACGGTGAGCAGAAAGTTGCCCATCGGTCGCAGCAACTCTTGCAGCAACTTGGTCATAAACGCCGCATGGTTGGAATTCGTCAGAGGAGTTCCGCCATTCCCCTGTATGCAAAAAGACAACATGGATTCGCATGTGTGAACCTTTGATTTGTACCCCCACAAAGCATAGACACTAGGCTGCCGAGGAGCCCACAACTATGACAGCAACACCGTTCGCACTTACCATGATGGCCTTTTCGGCAACCACAGCATGAAACGAGTCCCGAACAACCTACAGAGCGTAGAAGTTCTAGTCAAACGTTCGACTGCAGCTATGGGAATCATAAGCAACGTACGACGCCGATGGCATGAGCCCACTCTTCCGTTAACAGCGCCAGCCGCAGCTTGAGGTTGGCATTGATTTCGTCCAATGGCAACGCTTCTTCCACGCCGTTAGTCGTGTCGACGTGTGCCAGCAACGCATCGACGCGGGCGGTGACCCGCCACAGCAACACGAGGATGCCACACAGCCCCACGACAAGGTCTGGCGTTGGCGTTTCATTGGGCCACACGCGTTGCTCGTGAAGGATGAGCAACTGCAGCACGAAGCGCAGGGTTGGAGGCAGCGTCAAGGATGCGATCGCGATGTCCGACGACGATGCGTCCAGGATCTCCATCACGACGTGGGCCAGCACTTGGTGTCGGTTTGTCTCGAGGATGCTGTGGACACAGCTTGGCTGAGACAGTGTCTCGACCAAGTAGGCGTGGCGTTGAAGGCAGTGCACGTATATGGCGCCAGGGAGAGGCGGGAACAGCTCCATGAGGTGTCGCGGCGGCGGCGACGGGGATGGAGGCCGGTCGTGCTGGGGAGGAGGTGTGGAAGGAACATCGATGGTTCGCGTTTTGATGGAATCGGAAGGCTCGGACGCCGCTTTGAGGATGGTATTCGAGCCGTGGCGGCTGCTCCCCCGAGCCGGTGGCATCTTGTTGCAGTAGCGCCAACGTCGAAAAGTACAGTATAGGGATGAATCGGCTGGCAGTTTCACGACGATTCGTGTCCAAAAATCAGTTACTACATAGTCGTGCCAGTGGGTTTACACGTGCATCGTTGCCTTCAACAGCGCTGTCCACAGGCAAAAGCCACATGTTTCACAAGCATGTGGACAAATTGAAATACGTACAATGTGCAATCGGAAATAATAGTATGGTAATACTCCCAAGGACGTGAACGATACATTCTGACGAAACGTTTCAACATCGCGAACTATGCACGAGTGGTTAGAATGTCGGTGCCTTCACGGTCTTTCCACTCGTTGTGGCTGCATGCCGACATTGCTGCCTGTCGAAGTCGTCGCGATCGATTGGTATGATTGCCATGTCGGAGAAGAACGCAGTGGCGGGAGATGGACTGCAGGCGATAAGCTGTTGCTGTCGAGTGCGTCCTGCGTGGCGTGTGACATAGTTTTAAATAGTGTGTTTTGTCTGATATTACATTCTACGCTACAGTACACTGCACGCCTGGCGTGGACGCATTGACCCGCGCGACGTACGTCCTGCCCAAGTTCATCACGTGGTTGGACCAGACGTCCTTGCCTGGGTAGACTGGATCCAGCGCGGCGGCGAGCGCGAGCCACACCCGGCGCTGGAAGCTGACCATGGGTTCCTTCATGTTGATGGCTTCCAGCCAATGCTGGTACCCGTAGAAGGTCGTGGTGGTCACGCAGCCCTGCAGCCCAGGCTCGGCGGCCAGCGCATCCGCAAACAACTTGCCAGTGCCCACATGCAGCTGGTGGTCGTTGCCCTTGTCAATGAACTCTGGCACAAACGCCGATACTGACGGTACCCCAGCCGTTTCCTTTCGGATGATGTATCGGATGACGGCGAGGACATCCGACAAGCTCGAGTACGCTGTTTCGCCTGCGTTTAGCGCTCCCAACGGGACATACAATTTCTGTGACGGGGCATTATTCCCAGGAGAAGGTGCCATCATCGACGTCAAGTTGAACTCGCTGAGCCGAAGAAAGTAGTGGACGGCATTTCCGATCGTGACTTTGCCGATCGTGTGGTTGTAGATGGACACGACTTCGTCCTTGCGATTGGTCGTGTAGAACCCGGCCTCTTTCAGACAGAAATCCGTGACCGCCAGCGTCCCGACCTCCCGCGCCTCCCACCACCCGTCCGTGCGGTTGGCGTCGCCGGCGCTCGTGTACACAAACACAGCTTTGACGTTACGATCTTGAAATGTCGTGTACAGGGCGTTGGCCATGAACAGCTCGTGGTCGTCTTGGTGGGCGGTGCCGTACACGTGCACTTTGGTCGCCATTTTAGAGACGAACTCGACAGCCGCTGGCGCCACGGTCGGGTTGTTATTGGTGGACTTGACCTTGAGGGAAGGCACGATCCACCCGGCGGTGGCCATCGCGGTGGTCGTTGCGGCCTTGAAGAGCGTGCACTCTTGGGACTTGTACAACATCCCCATGCACGACAGCGTGCGGTTGCATGACACGAGGCAGTCCGTCTTGGACGTCGAGTCGGCCGACCCCACATCTAGGGCCATGGACGGCGGGGGGTTGTTGAGGTAGCACAGCTGATGAGCGAAGTCGTATGTGAAGAAGCTCTTGTTCAACGCGCGGGAGATCGTTGAGCACTCCTTGACCGACCACACGTCGGCACGAAACACTACTGTGGTGTTGGTCGCTGCGAAGACGAGCGTGTTACTCTTGGGGTTGGACTCGAGTAGCGCCAGGAGTGGCGACACGAGCTTGAATACCTTGGCGAGATCGGGTTCCGGCAGCCAGTGCGAGTTATTTCGGTACCAGAATGTCAGGTTAGCGGTGCCGTCGATGTGCAGCCCTGTCGCGGTGTTGGACGCCAACTCTTTTTTATGGGGGAGAATGAGCACGACCGTGCATACCACGACGCCGAGCGCTATTACGGACGACCAGACGCATCGGCGCCGACGGGAATGTGATAGGTCTGTGGGGCTAGGCGCAAGTGGCTCCAGCAGCGGCTTTGGGGCTTCCATGTGTATCGAGGAAAAGTGTAAAGTGGTATGGGCGCCAAGATATCTCCAGCGCTGTGAGGTCTAATTGATCGACCATCAACAGCCAATGGGATCTTGGGCAGTGTTTGATTCGTATGATTCGAAGTAGGAACAGCCAATGGGATCGAAGGCGGAACCTGATTGGTAAGAATAGTAGAAGGCTACCTATGCCAGCTCAAAATTGGACACAGTCGACCAATCGTATCACGTCAAAAATAGAGCAGCCAATGAAGTGTCTATATGGAATGCAGACACGCGGCCACGAATAAAAGTCCTTTGTTCTGACGTTATGTACGTACAGTTGTATCACTTGACCCCCGTCCTCCCAAATTGCTTCGTTGACGTCATACCTTGTGGTACTTCGAAATAGCACTTCAAATTTGTATTGGGATAAACTACTTCGAAAAGTAGAATACTTAAATCAATACGAAAGTTTTGTACCACGGGGCCACTTATTCCGTCGTTATCTGTAGTGCTGATGGTGGATTGTAAATCACACGACATCACTGTATTGACGCTACTATATTACATACTGTAATATAGTAGCGTCAATACAGTGAGTTTTCGGACACCCACATTTGAGATGACTTTTGAGGAACGAATCTCCAACTCAAAAGTGAAAAACGTTAGAAATTATTTTTCTCTGTTCGATATACAGTGGCCTTACGACTTCTGATCAAAAAGTGAGTTTTCGAAAAGGCCACGATATTACTACTAGTACTACTACGTAGTACTATGTAACGTTATGAATAGTAGCATGGAAGAGTGGAAGAACAACGTCTTAATACTTCGAAGTATATCCGGAATCCGGTTAAATTATGGTTTTATCGGTGCGCATAGCAGTGCCTGTGAAAAAATACTAACGTTAGAAAAGTTTAGGACTTAAAGTGGGAGAAACGGGCACATCAGGATGCCTTAAAGTGGGGAGCAAGCGTAACAATGGGTGCCAAACCGGCAGACAATCGATCGCTGTAAACTACAGCAATGTCTTCATTTACTTCTCTCGTCGTTGGAATCAATGGTAACCGCATAGACCATACAGTAATGGTATACAAACGTTCATACAGTTCAATTTGCCGAACTACCTTAATTGGAACAAAAACCACATTGATCGAAATTATCCACTTTGTCACTTTGTGACCAAGTTTAATGTGTCTGAATGAGAATAAGAATATAAAGGTAATGTCTATTGGCTGCAACGCGCAAAACAACCAATTTTCGCGCTGTAAATTTGATTCGTCATCGGGATTAACACAAAATAATCGAGGTTTATTTAATTCTTCTGGGGCCTTGGTCCTTTTGGCCACCTGTGGTGTTGCGTGAATGGAGGGCAGATATAACAACCGCTTGAAGCTGCAGCCCCTGGAAAAGTACCATTAAGTGACGCATTGGTATTCTATTCCTGAACCTCACCAATCGCGCTTCTTTTCTCGGGGTTCTTCACCGTGAACTCGAAGCGCCAGTTCCTTTTGCCAAATGCATCATGTTCTGGCAGAGAAATTTTGTCTTTGTAACAACTTCAGCCAATGATATCATTGTAATTTTCAGATTAGCCAATCATAATCAAGTAAAATGTCCCCTCCAATACGGAACAAATGCTTTGTGCATATGTCCGCAGTAATTTGAAACAGAGGATGTAATACTACTATTAATATATATAGTTGTAGTACTACATAGTACTTTTAAAGTAGTATTTATGTATACTCCGGAGTAGTAATTACTGGTAGTAGAGTTTTGGGGGCCTATCTCACTGTCAACTCAGAAGTGTAACGTTTGTGAGGGTTACACAACTACTACGTAGTACTAGTATAGTACTATTAATAGTATATTTTACCGTAAGCGAATTCGACGAACGGCATTTCTCGCCTACAAAACACATACTCAAAACACTTGAACACACTATTGGGGAAGCTATGAACTCCCATGCAGTCGTTTTATTGAGTGTGTCTACGAAACGGATCTGACCTTTTCGCCTTTCGCGCTCACACCAAACACTATGTCCACCAGACGTCGTACACAGCAGATTGGCCGTAGCGAGTGCGTGGTTAGGCTAACGTAAAAACCAGTTTAAGATAACGTTTTGGGGGCGTAGTCAAGGCGCACCGCTTTCACTGCATAATCGAATTATCCGTTTACACGATTTAATTTGACAGGAAAAATTTGTGACTGTGTTTACTTGTCCTCACATTTTGATAACCAATTTGGTATAACTTTTTATCTTGAAGTACAAATGTATGTGTCGGCGGATTGAAATCCTGTCTTTAGGGTACAGTTAATATAATTTACACAAGGGTAGATTTGTTGAGATTGTAATTCGGTTGTGGAAGTATGTTCACAGAGCTTATTGTTAACGCTCGATACAACCTCAGATCCAACCCAATGTGGCCGGTGTCGACAAGGTTACTTCAAAGGCAATCTTGAATGACTACTATCAACGGCTTCTACGCTGTTTTGACATTTCATTCACGTGACGGGATAGTCGCAATGGTGGTTATTACTTGGTGTTAGGTACAGTATATAATCATATTCCATAGAAGTGCTGCTATCTTCACCACGCCACCGCCACCGATGACTGACATTCGTAATCCTCAAGTCAAAACAGGTGAGCAGTCAGTATTGTGCATTTCACCCAAATTTGGACTTGCCGCCAAGTAGCATTTGAATTCATTTGACTTAATTTAAGTTTCTACAAACTACCAGTTTACAATACAAAGATAAGCACATATTAGATTTTGCCCAATGCCGAGGGACTGGGGCGAATCAATACTTTGGATCGGCTGCAATTCGACATAACGTGATTTGATTGGCTTACGTGGTTCTTGAATCCTTGCCCTCAAGGCATTCGATTCTGCTGTTGTTTCGATTTGAGAATGACAGTTTATGATTATTGTGGATTTGGTACAAATTTCGAGACTCCGTCGAATCGAATCATGAATCGACGCTATTGGCTGATCGAATTTTGAGTGGATTTGATTGGCTCTTAAAGAAACGAAAAGTATAGTCAGCCAATGAGAACGCCAGCGTGACTCAATATTGATTGATTACAGTAGACAAACCACGCGAAGTTTGGAAGTTTATAGCGAATTACTATTATATATTGTAATTTACTGTTAGTACGACTAACGTTACGGTAACAGGACTGTACCGTTAACGTTAGTAATACCGTAGTAAGGCCAGCGCTGACCACAAAGTATGACCAATGCAATCTCACCATATGAAATTTACCTCATCTTCAGACCAATCAAAATCAATTTGAGAGTCATTTATATCCAATCAAAACATGACTCACGCTTCTGCACTGCACGAGCGAGACGAGACAACCGACATGACGACGACAACCATGTACTTGGCAGTGATCACGGGGACAGTCCTTGCGCTCCTGGTGCTGGGATACGGCGTCCGCTTCTATCTGTCCCGACGTAGGCATGGCGACTCCTATCGCAACCTCGACTTTGGGGCCGCCACCATGAGCAGGGGCGACGTACTCCAGCGCGAAGATCTCGAGGAAAGTTTTGTGGAGGAGGGGCGGATCGAGTGGCAGTGTGTCGTGTGTGCACATATGAATCACCCGGACAAATCGATTTGCGCGCTGTGCGGCGCCACGGAAGGTCCATCGTCGTCTCCCATCGTCATATAACGTTTCTCTGTCCGTAGTGATGGCCACGCATCCGTCGAACGCGACGTCCGCCATGCTCACGAGTAGCTTGTTGACGAAATCGTTCCTCATGCACTCGTTTCTCGACGGCGTCGTAGACGAAGACGGCCATCCATGTCCTCCGTCTTCGTCGTCAACGCGGCATCCCATCCCGCGCCTCTCCCTCCCCGAAGCTCGACAGCGAGCGCTCGTGTACCGCCGCAACAACATGCAGCTCACCCAGCGACAGCGCCAAGCCAAGCGGCGGCGCTTGTGGCAGCGCGCACAACTTCCCACCGGCGAATACGTGTGGGTCCGCACGGCCACGTTCGTCAACGCCCACGGCAACCGCGACGACACGTTCTTGGTGGCCATGGCCGCAGCTGCCCAATCAAATCCGTCTAAGCAGCAACTATCCCAAGCAACGACCCCAGCAACTCTGCATTCCAAGGAATCGCTGGACGAGATGCTGCATCGGAAGAACGCCGCGTCCTTTGGGTACATTGTCAAGCAAAACAAGGAAACGGGCGACCTCGCGTGGAGTCGGGCGTCTCTGCCAGGTAATTAATTACATGGGACTCGTCGTACCCATATATATATATTTGTATTTAGTATGCCTCGGTAGTTGAAAGTACTTGAATTATTATTCGTATATATTTATATAAGATTAGCTGCATTTGCTCACCGGGAAATGTTCATTGGGTGTACTAGTAGATCCTGGATGGTTGAGCTGTTGATGCATGTGTGAAACCATGCATTCGTGCATACTAGCACTATATATATATATAACATAGTATGCACGAATGAATAGACTGGTATTGATAACTAATATATATAAGCTATCAATGTAGCCTTTGAATATATGTGTATATTATATTTGCATTGTATACATGTGCTTTGTACACAATGGACCCTTATTCACCCAGGTAGAGTGAGTATTCTTGGCCTGTTTAGATGAATTGGACTAGTTATTTATTACAAAGAAGAGAGATCATTCGTACATACGGGACATTCGACTGCTTGTGCCGCTAGTTGTATATGATGGACAGTTGACGATTGTGATATTTTTATTAGGTCGGCAGCATTTGGAAGACATTGACGAGGACTTGACGGACGAAGGAGGGCATGAAGTAGACGTGGAAGGCACGATGGCGCTGCCATTTACGGCCAAGAAGACGTGGTTTGTCAAGAGGATCAAGCAGCTAGTGACACTGCGCGTGGACTCGATGTTTGCTATCCGTACGTTTTAGCCCCAAACGAAAAAAGACTCGACTTTTGTAAAAGTGTGTGTATCCCTCGATAGATCGAATTGTTTGTTTGGACTGGGGTTTTGTATATATTTATCTGAAATAACCCATGTCACACTATTTGTAAACACACATTAATTATCACTAATTCGACGTGGACGATTACATTTTGATTGGTCACTTGATTCGTATTCTGGGTTTTGATTGGTCAGTCGATGGTCTGCCGAGTTGGGGATGTGATGCTCAAATACAAATCGAATTGACATTGGATTTGTCCTATATCTCATGCAATATATATAGCATTAGATAAGCGTTTGAATACATATATAATATATATATAAAAAGGGTGGTCGTGGTGTATGGGTACTTTGGTCCAGTGCTGGCGTCATGGCAGCAAATGTACGACATTTCTTGATATGTCGTGGACGAAGTATCCAAATGTTGTTATTGTGGTATGTTTGATACGAATTTCCAGACCCCGCCGAATCACGAATCATCGACGCGATTGGCTAATCCATATTTTTTAGTGGATTTGATTGGCTCTTGCAGAAAGGAAAAGTATATTCAACCAATCAGAACTCCGGTGTGATTCAATATGGACTAGACAAACCACGCGAAGTTTGAAAGTTTATAGCGAAATATCACAATATGGGAATTAAATATTTAGAAAATTCTTGACAAAGATTATATTGTTCAATATACCTCGATAATCCTTATTTCAGGTCGTAATTACTGTTGTTGTTGATTGTAGGAGTACGTCGGCAGTTTATATTTGAGGACTCGGTCAAGCTACTGCAGCACTCGATCGTCGCCGGTCGTATTCGGGAATACATGCACATTTCGTTCGAAGGCGAAGAAGGCTTGGACGCCGGCGGCATCTTGCGGGAATGGTACGACGATATATTGACGTTTCGGCTAAAATTTGGTTGACTTTTGTGCTGTTGTCGACGATATATTGACCTTTCGGCTTACATTTGGTTGACTTTTGTGTGCTGGTTTGGACTGAGTTTGTGTAGTATTATATACACCTCAAAATCGCCAGTGGTGATGACGGGAATTGGCACTTTATTACTTTCAGTCACTCTAATTAAAATGTTGGTTGGGTGAACTGATGATTTCGTACAATCTGATTGGCTAAATATTTATGCACATGTGGTTGTGTCGATACATACATTCGGCACGTGGCTCGCTCTGATTTGGAATAAACCTTGTCAAAAAAGCCGTTCTAATTTGGACTTTCGAGTAAAATCGAATGAACTTGACAAATGTATTTGAGAATGATGTAGCCAATCATTGTATACTCATCAGACATATCATCCAATCATCGTTTAGACAAGTGTTCATCTTGAAATGTGTATACCATACACGGAATAAGCTTAAAATCTGACTCACCTCGAATCAGCTGCCAAGACCAAATTTCATTCAGCCAACATGACAGTACAACGAAGTATATATATATATTTTTATATTCCACGATGGGGTTCATCTAGTAGTAGTATGTTTCGTATGTTGACTTGAGGAATATAATCTTTATTCTTGGGTGTGGGCACATTGCTATACCGTTCAACTCTGGTAGCGAATATCGCTATCAAGTAGTGAATCATATATATCCTGTGTTTATGTTAGTGTCGTTGTGTACTGTACCACTATTGTATTTTGCACACTTTTTGGGTATTACAACGAATCGCCCGTTATGCTCCAGTAGTAGTATTACTCACTCAATCTGGGCATGTACATGTATTAGGTACCTATTGGTATGCCACGAAGTCTTTAGCGCAACGTTAGGCTTGTTCTCGACCACGCACGCTGAGAACCAAAGCTACTGGATCAATCCAGCCTCGGCGCTGTCGATGGGGCCTCGACACTTGGAGTACTTTCGATTTGTCGGTCATTTGCTTGGCCGCGGCATCCAGGAAGGCCTTGTACTCAACGCGTACCTGAGTCTGCCCCTGCTCAAGCACATCCTGGGCGTACCCATCTCGTTTTCAGACTTGGAGTATTTGGACCAGGACTTGTACAAGAGCTGCGTGTACGTCCGTGACCACACCGGCATGGACGCGTTGAGTTTAACGTTTAGCATGGTACGGGGATGATGATTTATTTATTATTTATTTGATTCATTTATTTTTTATGGATTTGATTGATTTACTTTTTATGGATTTGATTAGTTTATTTTTTATGTATTTTATTGATTTTTTTTTGGATTTGATTCATTTATTTTTTATGGATTTGATTATTTAATTTTTATGTATTTATTGAACGTTTAGCATGGTACGGGGATGATGATTTATTTATTTTTTATGGATTTGATTAAATTTGATTCATTTATTTTTTATATGTTTGATTAATTTATGCTTTTTGTATTTGATTAACTTATTTTTTATTTATTTATTGATTATTTGAAGTTGGAGTTTTGGTTGCGGTGCCTTGAACCGGTATTCATGGCTTTGTTATTGTGGGGTACTATTAAAAACAAATATATAGCGTACCCGTCCTTTTCTTCGTGTTTTGGTTGTTGTTTTTATATTGTGCTTTCGAGTGAAATTTCGTGTTGTGGCGTGGTTTCTCGTTGAAATTTAAATCGATTTGATTGGCTACCTCAGATGAGCTCAACATTATTAGCCAATCAAAACCTTCTTAATGAAATTCAACCAATCAGATCGATTGTGGATCGGTTTGGCCTCTCCCCAAATTTGTATCAAATCGAAAATATTTGAGTTATGTTTATCGTATTGATAATTCGATTCAAATGTGGAGCTGCTCTCAATGAGCTGAAATCACAGGCAAATATCGGCCGAGACTCGATCATGGACCAATCAAACACTCGAATTCAAAACCATTGACCAATCATATTCCAAGGAACCAACCACTTCACCACTCCTGATACATGGATTGTGTATACCATATATATAAATGTTCGTGTCGACGGTTGAAATTGATTCAAATAATATCGACCTCAACCTCCATCTATGTTTGCTCGAAACGCCAATAATATATATATAATATATATATATCAATATATATAGATGGGCAACCACGGCGAAGAAATCGATCTCAAACCCAACGGCCGGCACATTGATGTGACAGACGCCAACAAACTCGAGTACTTGAGCCTCGTATTGGAGTACAAAATGCTGGGGTCGATCGCCCCCCAACTAAAGGAATTGCTCCTGGGACTGTACGAAGTGATCCCCCGGTCCATGCTGTCCGTGTTCGACTACCAGGAGCTAGAGTTTTTCATGTGCGGACTCCCCAACATCTCTGTGCCCGACTGGCGCAAGAATACGACCGTGCGCTTCTTCCGTGACCACTCGGACCAGCAACACGAGGTGCTCGAGTGGTTCTGGGCGGTTGTTGAGGGCTTTAATGACGTGGAGCGGGGCCGCCTGCTGCAGTTTGCGACGGGGTCGAGTCGGTTGCCGGTCGAAGGGTTCAAGGGGCTCACGAGCTCGGGCGGCCAGATCTACCCGTTTTCGATTCAAATGGTTGACCGGGGACCCCCCCCTGCTGGCATGTGCCCGAAAGCGCACACGTGCTTTAACCGGTATATATATATTATATACATGATGTTTAGAAATATGAGTGGGCTGCTTTTGTATAAATATATATATATATATATTTGTCGTCCAACAAATACTTGTGTGTGTAGGATCGACCTGCCGCTGTATCACAACTTGGACGAGTTGGAAAACTATTTGAGCTTGGTACGTACGTTGTTATAATATGGGATGGTAGACTTACTACTGGATGTGTTCAGGTCATTCAAATGGAAATCACGGGGTTTGGGATGGAATAATATTGTTCGTCGGAACAGTAGTATTGGCACTATTATTTATAAAAGACCTACTAGTACTACTATATTAGTACTACTTATGGCTAGAATCAATGGACATTAATGGCGTAATATTACGCCTTCGTCGGTAGATGTGTGGTGTTACGAGGCTCTAGACATCGGACGTGTTGTCGGTCAGTTGCCACACACTAGTAACTACTACTAGTATTGCTGCTACCTATTAAATAGTACCCGAGCACAGAGGCAAGATAGCCACAGCCATCGCACAAGCGAGACCGTAGAAGGGCCTAGTATGGCCAATCTAGTACGGTACTATTACGTACTACACTCACACATATGTATGACGTTATGTACGTTACTATTAATAGTATGACGTTATGTACTACTAGTATATGTACTACTAGTATGTACTAGTATGTGTGTAGGTAGGTATGGAATGTAGCGTTCCGCGATAGCCAATAGACTTTTGAAGCCAATAGACTTTTGAACTAGTTGGTTCGTATGCTATCGAATCATCTCGTTGTCTTCCAACTTGTCATTCCGTGCTCTATCTCGCCTACAACAAGGCGGTTTGCTCGTGTGGGCGGCATTCATGTGACAAGGTTCGACCCCCCATCATCGTTCGTTGATGTCGCCACACTGCCACCACCATCCCCACAAAGCTCATCAGTCCAACACATACAAGGGCCACCGCCGGAGGAATTCCTTTGGATGTTGTGGCAGTCCACATTGCACGGAGAGACGAGTGGAGGAGGGTTGAGCTAAGCGCCGCCTGGTGCATGTCTGTCGCTAGCACGACCCATGGCACGACTTGGCCGATTTCGACTAGGTCCACGGCGTGGATGTTGATGCGTTGGACATTGCACGCTGGGAATGCCAGCACTGTATCGCCTTCGCTTGGCTAAACAGCGCACTACAAGCCGGCGTCTGGCCTGCGAGTTTCCATTGCGGGGACACGGGCGGAGTGTGCGTCATGAAGTTGGAGGCGAGACCGGTGGCGGCGACGCATGGAAGGAGGTGGGAGCTCGTGGAGAGAGTCATGCCCTTGGACTGCAAGGCGTCCAGGTCGCAGTCAATGGACGCGCGGGGGTACCCAACAATGTGGACCGCGGTCGAGACCATGTTCCATGTCACGTTGGGCAGCCAGTCATGCAGTTCCACGCAGGTGGAGCCGGTAGTGACATTCGTGACAATGTACCCGTACAAAGTTTTGCATGCCGTGCTGTTAGCAAACGCGTCAGCTTGCAGCAACGTAATGTTGCCAGCAATGACGTTCTCCAACGATTCTCAAACGTCAGTTTCGCACGATGATTGCTCGTGGCTGCCATCACGCGAATGTACCCAGAGCAGTAAGGTCGTCGAGGGTGCACTTGGACCGCGACTCGACTGCCGCGGACGCCGCGCTAGTCAAGACGGCGGCGACCGTTAACAGGCGTCGCATCCTCATCGTTGATGTCGTTGACGAGGCTAGTTTTGTGTCGTGTGCTGAAACCGTTGAAGGGTAAAATTCGTTTAAAACGTACAGTTATTAAAGAATAAAGGTGTTGAACGACTGCATCTTGAGGCAAGTGTACTTATATATGGAATATCCTGTAATAATTAATATTGACGGTTTCACAGATTATTCGAAAACTACAGGAAGACCACGATGGCTGAAATGTTGTCACAGCTTCCTTCTTCAAGGGCGGCGCCGACGAGGACTTCGGCCGCCTGCGCTCGGTCCGACTCTGACAAGGCCAAGATTAGGTCCACGGCTGCTTGGTCTTCGAGCTCGTCCCACACCCCATCACATGCCAGGATGAAGAACGAGCACGACGCATCCAATCTACACCCACCATCACGTTCATGATCGACGTAGCCAGGACGTTACATGGATTTGGACGTGTACGGGTGCGCAATAACCCACTTCTTCAACGCGCTATCGCCAAACGATCTAGTACACGTACATGAGAGACATCTTCTCTGCATCGCATATATAGAATATGACCTCGACACCGCAAGAACGCCAGACACGCGGTTGTGAATGACAAAGCCACCAGAGTCACAGACACGGACAGCTTCCGAATGCAATTCTGCTTTGTGGTCCTAATGATCTATCCGTATGACGAACAAGCCAAGGGGGATGGCGGGATTTCATCATCGAGTGAAGAATTTCGTACCTGCGTCAAGCGCTCTGCGGTCCCATTGCGGCACAGTACTATTCGGCTGAAAACGCTCACATAAGGAGGAAGGCATCATGGCGACGACATGCCTATACCTGTCGCCAACGTTCGCGGCATACAGGACGCGATGGTTGTCTTCGTCCCGAAGCAAAGCAATGGCCGCGGTCGACCCGGCGTTCTCGGCCGCTGGCAATTCACAGCAATCCATGTCCGCCACAATAAACGCACTACCATCACCACGACGTTCGTAAGAAGTCGTAAGAAGAATGCTGCAAAGCAAGAATGGCTTGTTTACCGTGAGATGCATGTGGCAACGTCGGTTCGCCCGGCGTTGTCGACGTGGGCCAGTTCATTCTCCAACGTCACGTGCAGGTTTTCTTGCAGATATGCCGATATCTCTCGCCCTAGAGTACCGTTAGACCCAGGTTCTTAGAGGTGTCCTCGTCTTACCTCCGTGCCCGTCGTACAGCCCAAAGAAACCATGCCTTGCGTTGCCGGCGAAGCCATCAACTACGCGAAGGGCGTCCTCCATGGACCTGCGCTTGCTTGGGTTCTGCAGATCACGTAAGTTACAACGTCCGTCGCATGGTTATGCACCCCACCATCTCCTCATGGATGCTCACAAGAGCACAGCAGTCCAGTGCTTCGCTTATGGACATTGTCAGCCGTCCCGCGCAAAAGTGAACCTCCCCCGAATTTGAATTTTGGCTTGCTCCTCGCGATATATTCATTCTCACAGGATTGTTGAATTCAGATATTTTTTCAATTTTTCAGAAACTACTGGTACAGTATTTCAGTATTTTGATATTAATTCGATGTGGCCGAAAGTTGGAACCGTTGGACGGCCGCGGAAATAATTACGAGGGATGGTACAGTTGTAGAGTACTTCTACGTACTACTAGTAGTAGTACTAACCATACTGCTATATCCTTTACGGGGATCGAACCCGTGTTTTTGCCGTGAAAAGGCAAGGTCCTATAGTATGGTTAGTACTACTGTACGTACACTGTAGTACAGCACGGTATACTGGAGCATTAATGAGTATAAAAAAAAAACATTTTGTTTTTATAATTTAAAAAATTATAAAAAAATAGACCTAATAGTCCTTGTGGCAGGGATGTTATCCGAACTATTTTCGAGGATTTTGAAAATACGTCAAAACTATTTCTTAATTTCTGTCGAAAACGTGCAAAAGCAGGAACGGACACGGATGAATCCTTCAACTCTCCCTGCTTTTGAGGTTGTGTTATCCGGATAAATCCACGTTTTAGCCAATCAGGAGTCGTATTTGCGTCCATACTTCAAAAAGCGTGGACGGGAATTGCAGACCAGCCCCTCACATCAATCCGGCCCTGTCAGAGGGGACAAAAATCAATCCACCCGACATCTCGAGCGAAAATATACCATTGGGATTTGACATTTACAAAATAGAATAAATACATGGAGAGGGCAGTACAGTACTAATTAGTAGGCAGGAGCAGTACAGTAGTGAGCAGCAGTGGACTGCAAAGAAACAGCCAATCAAAACTAGACTATGATTGCATGACGTTCCGTGACCAGATGTCTGCGCTGACTTCTACTACAGTACTGTAGTACTGTACTGTACCAGAGGAAAAACCACCAAAACCTCCTAACGTTACACAGCTTACAGACGCTGCTACCTCACTGACAGGCAGTGGGGATGTTCTCTAACAGAACAGGGTGTTCTGACTGAATAGAAGAACGGCTACGGTATGGATACGGTACATGATTTTGGTTCATGCTCATACATACTAGTACCATTGTACCTACTTACAGCAGTACATGTCCTATTAATAGGAGTAGTACTGGTATTGACTTTGCGACCATCGAAATTTACATTGTGCGTGGGTGGCTGGGTAATTAAGATTCAAGTGACCATCTATTAGTAGGATATTGGCCCACTGTACACTGTACTCCCCCAATGCTCTTGTTGTGTGTTGAAACGACGGGTCACTTGAACGCTTGAAGCTCAGTCGCACCTAATCGATTCCCTATTCACATTTTGTCATGTGATTGGCTGTTCTATTTTTTACACGGTCTGATTGGTTTATCCCATCCAATCACATGTCGTATTTGACCTTCAACAATCAATCCCCCATTTTACCAGATTTGACTTGGTTAAGTACGACGACTGATTTTCTCGACATATCATTGGCTGGTGATGGATCAAGTACTAATCATGCTGGAGAGATCAGACGCCAGTTGAAACAACAGTAGTAGCTCGCACCTCTCTCTGCATTACAGTACCCAACTCGCCCTGCTTTCTTCATGCAAGACCCCAAGCCCCTCCTGACACCGCTCACGGGGCCTTCGCGGCGCCGCCGGCAATACGTCTGGTCGGCCTTGATTGCTCTGGGTGTGGTAGCGTGTATGGTTGTCCTCTTACTTCCCAACAGGAAAGAGCTGGCGTCCAATACCGCGACAGGGCTGCACATCGACGGCACCGCTAACCTGACGTTCTGGTACCGAAATAACTCGCACTGGCTACCGGAACCCGATCTCGCCAAGGTATTCAAGCTCGTGTCGCCACTTCTGGCGCTACTCGAATCCAACCCCAAGAGCAACACGCTCTTCTTCGCAGCGACCAACACCACGGTTGTGTTTCGTGCCGACGTGTGGTCGGTCAAGGAGTGCTCGACGATCTCCCGCGCGTTGAGCAAGAGCTTCTTCACGTACGACTTCGTCCATCAGCTGTGCTACCTCAACAACCCGCCGCCGTCCATGGCCCTAGACGTGGGGTCGGCCGACTCGACGTCCAAGACAGACTGCCTCGTGTCATGCAACCGTACGCTGTCGTGCATGGGGATGCTGTACAAGTCTCAAGAGTGCACGCACTTCAAGGCCGCAACGACCACCGCGATGGCCACCGCCGGGTGGATCGTGCCTTCCCTCAAGGTCAAGTCTACCAATAACAACCCGATCGTGGCGCCAGCGGCCGTCGAGTTCGTCTCTAAACTGGCGACCAAAGTTCACGTGTACGGCACTGCCCACCAAGACGACCACGAGCTGTTCATGGCCAACGCCCTGTACACGACTTTTCAAGATCGTAACGTCAAAGCTGTGTTTGTGTACACGAGCGCCGGCGACGCCAACCGAGCGGACGGGTGGTGGGAGGCGCGGGAGGTCGGGACGCTGGCGGTCACGGATTTCTGTCTGAAAGAGGCCGGGTTCTACACGACCAATCGCAAGGACGACGTCGTGTCCATCTACAACCACACGATCCGCAAAGTCACGATCGGAAATGCCGTCCACTACTTTCTTCGGCTCAGCGAGTGCAACTTGACGTCGATGATGGCACCTTCTCCTGGGAATAATGCCCCGTCACAGAAATTGTATGTCCCGTTGGGAGCGCTAAACTCTGGCGAAACAGCATACTCGAGCTTGTCGGATGTCCTCACCGTCATCCGATACATCGTCCGAAAGGAAACGGCAGGGGTCTCGTCAGTGTCAGCGTTTGTGCCAGAGTTCATTGACAAGGGCAACGACCACCAGCTGCATGTGGGCACTGGCAAGTTGTTTGCGGATGCGCTGGCCGCCGAGCCTGGGCTGCAGGGCTGCGTGACCACGACGACCTTCTACGGGTACCAGCGTTGGCTGGAAGCCATCAACATGAAGGAACCGATGATCAGCTTCCAGCGCCGCGCGTGGCTCGCGCTCGCCGCCGCGCTGGATCCAGTCTACCCGGACAAGGATGTCTGGTCCAACCACGTGATGAACTTGGGCAGGACGTACGTCGCGCGGGTCAATGAGTCCACGCCAGGCGTGCAGTGCAAGGGATAGGGGGCACAAATACCGATACCAATTATTGGTATATTTATTTACTGTTAAGAAGTACATACGTGAAAAAAGCAAGTCGGTACTGTATCGAGCGCCGTGTATAAATGTATGTAGCGGTCGGTACTGTAGTGAGGTCGATTTGATTCAGAGGCCTAGTACTACACTACTAGCTAGGCCTCTAACAGTCCCCGAGGGTATCGAGGGAACTTCTGCTCGCATGTTGGGACTGGCAAGGTCAATTTCCTCGATTTCTGAAGTCTCGGATTCGTCTGAACATGCACTTTAACATGCAGTGTCCACTGAACTCCGGAATGACATATCTCTCACAATACGATTTGTTTTGGTCTGAATTTTACACGAAAAACATCCATGAACTATAATAACTTGTGAAACACGATATTCATTATGAAATAAGATTACAATATTTTTATTATATTTCGAATGCAATATCACAAGTGAAGCAGAAAATCAATTTAATTTTTACCTCTGTAATATAGTTATAATTTTTCAAGAGGGAGCCCTGGTTCCCTCCATACCCTCGCAGACTATAAATAATTACTGATCATATTGATCGGTATTTTGGACACTGTCCAGTCTGTTCTGTATGACCACTTTGTGACAATGCCGACAATGAAGGACCTGCGTGGCAAAGACGCCGTAACTACCCCTACGCCAAGTATGGGACCGATGTCAAGTTCCAGCCTGCACACCATCCAATGGATCACTTCGGAGAGCACAACCAGGGGTACTCAAATATCTATCTTTTACCTATTCTCGATCAGTAGGTTGATAAATTACTTATCTTTTCTGGATGGTGTATTAATAAAGGATAACTTATCTTTCCCAGTGGTGAAATTAAATAAACTATTTATTACACACTTGAGAAAGAATAACTTATTCGAATAGCTTAAATATCTTGACGTTCGTGCTATTGGATGGGGACATTCACGCAGTTAACGTGCTGTAAGTGCATTTCGAAAGATAGCATTATATTCAAGGCTTTCAGTTACTTCTTGCGAATTTGGCCAAGCCAAACGGCGGTTGCACTCAAAAATGACCATCACTCATGGCGCTCGCTGATTGGTTCAACATTTGGTTATCGCAATTTCGAGGTCAAAGTAATCCACAATAGGAGACTGGATGCAATGCGAGAGGCGACATTTGAGTGGAGCAATATAGCTCGTCTAAAAAGTTTCGTTGTTGGTCAGTCTATGGTTACATCCGAATACATTATGAGTTCGAGCTATTGAGAATTATCCTGTCATTCGGAAAAGATTATTTATTTTGCCGTTATAGTTAACTATAACTATAAGTTATCTATTTTTTCTGTTCATGGGAAAAGATAACTTACTATCTTTTCCCATGAACAGAGCCAACCAGGTCTAGGTAACGTTCTAGACCTGGTTGGCACATTAGCTGGATGTTCCAACCACCCTCAGTTTCCGCTTGAACTAACAAGGCATCGTCGACAGCAATGTGCTCCATTTGTGCTTACTTTCTGAAGCGCTTGGTACAGCGCCATGCGCTTGTTGATTGTCAAATTTGATTTGGAATTTGTATTGCGAGCAGACTTGGAGTCGTGGCAAGTGCGAATGTGGTCATACTACTGTAGTATAATTCAACAAAAAATATGATCAGAATCGCCTCAATGAAACGAACACGCTCCACTAAGTTTTAGTCCAATCGGATAACTGGGACACTAATTTTTGTCACCGCCTGCACTTACTGTTAATACCTACCAGAGGTAGTATTAATACGTATTATAGTATCTATTTTGCTTGTGTCTCAAAATAATCTATTTTTCGTTGGAATAAAAAATATATTTTAAATAGATTATTTGTTGAGAACCCCTGAGTACAAGCACTATTTTGAGTGGAATGCGCCAGCCGCGGTCGCCAGCTCCGACCTCCGCATGTGGACAAGTCTGCGGCCGTGCCCTGTACCAGCAACCTATTCGTTCAATTGGCCAACAAGATTACGAATGCGCAGTATGGCAGCGATGCCGATGCCATGTGAATGCGCTAGAAGAAAACCTGTCGAGTGAAGGGACTGAATGAGCAGACGTATGGCAGAGAAGAAAGAAGCACAGGTGTGGACGTGATGAGATGTGATTGGCTAGATGTACAACGTGGTGGGTTGTGATAGGCCAGATCTTGAGGGGTCATTGTCCGTTTATGAGTGTTTTATGCGCCCAAGAAATGCACAACTTACGGAGTCCCAACTGTTTTCCGCCTACTATTAATAGTATGGATATTTTCACTCTTTAAATTCATTTTTCATCAACACAAATACAAATGTCGACATGAAGTCCTACGAATTGCATTAATTCTTCTAATGTCGACATGAAGTCCTACGAACTGCATTAATTCTTCTCCTCTTTGCGAAACACGAGGTATTTTTCGAAGTCTTCCAGTGAGGTTGTATGCTTGATAGTCTCCCACTGTATATATATACTTCCAAAAATACCTCAGAAGGCCTGCCTACTCAGATCAATTTGATTCAATCTGAGAGTGGAAATAAGTGTTGTTTCAAGAGCAAATTGCTGTCTGAAAATGTAAATTTCTGTGATTCTAAGAAGATTCTGGTAGTCTGGGAAGACGAAAAAAACGTCGTCGCACATCTCAGATCGCACAAAAATAAAAATTGGCCGTGTACTGATCTGAGGTAATTTTGGCAGTCCTCCACTATTATAAGCACTCCAAATAGCACTTTGAAATAGAGTAACCAACCCCGTACTATGATAGTACAGTACAGTAGTACTGTAGTCATACAAGATGATGGTTTGACAGCATACAGTAATGAAATGACAGCTTAATTTCCAGGTGCACTTTCGTTTCAAGGCAACTACCGAACAGTGAACCAACTATGTAAGTCGTTGTGTACTACTCTGGAGTACCAGTTACCATCCAAGTGCCTGTACGAGTAGAGTTACTGTGTGTAAGTCGTTGCCCAGGCTCTACACGTTTCGGGTGATGTAATTTGTTCCGAACGTTTTGTATCGAGTGGATGCACGTGATTGGTGGATTTCAAGAAGGAGAAGATTTTCTAACGCGTTTGAAACACGTACCATTACACAACCCAGTTAAGAGCACCAAGTAGTACAGAGGCAGTCGAGGACACGACACCATCACGATTACCTCCGCCATGCTGGTGTACTTGATCTTGAGCGTCTTGATCGCACTCCTCCTTGGGCTCATCCTGTACCTGGCGTGCTTTGTGCCATACCGCCAGAGCGTGCTCACATCCCAAGATCTGACCGTGTTCCAAGAGCCCGATGCCGATGTCTTTCGTGAAAACTTGTCCGACAGGTGCATGAAACCAAGAAGCATACGTCCGTACTCACGCTTTGTCACCATGATGATCACCGTAGCTTTGTGGAGCAACAGTTGTGGGTCTGCAGTGTCTGTTCGTTCTCGAACCTCCCCGACAAAGCCCATTGCGACCTCTGCCAAACCGTGCGCGGTAGGCAAACCCCCAACTCGTCCATACCTCTATCTCTCTCTTTCCATCAATCTCTTACGACATGACCAGAAACCAAGCGATTTAAAATGCCCAGTCTGTGGCAGCCCCTGTTCCAACCAAGGACCAAACCACATCAAGACGTTAAACGAAGCCGCGCGAAATCCGACGAGCTGCGCCTGAACAAGGTCCAGCTAGCCGCATCCCGCCGCCACAACTGGAAGCGCGAAGCCATGTCGAACGGCGAAGAACGATGGGTGCACACCTACCTATATCTCGTTCAGTATGTGGCTTATCATGGAAACGTAGGTGCGCGCGATGCCTCACCAGCACGACAACCACACGGCCATGCTGGGAGAGGACTCCCTAGACATGAGATCTTCCCGAGGGTCCAGCTGCATGTCCCTTGCGTCTGTCGGCTACGTGCGTGTGCGCGATTCCACCGGACGCCTCGTCTTGAACGAATCAGGTGCCGTAGGATTCTGTGATCAAAGTAACGTTATTAACCGTGTACTCAAACCTTAGACGCATGATTCGCCAAATTGATCTTGAATTTTGTATATAAAAAGGTGTGCTGTGGGGATATAGTAATCACACTAATTCAAGGCACACACTACTTCGATGTGGTTTCCTGCAATCTGATTGGCTCCGTATAATCTCTTCTACCGATGCATCGGGGTTCATGATTGGTTGTGTGTGTCGATCGATATTATTCGTACTCTATCACGTCGCTCCAGGTTTAGAAGAAATACATTCATATTTAGTATATTCTTTCAAAGAAATATTGTGATATGTCGCTATAAACTTCCAAACTTGGCGTAGTTTGACTATAATCAACATTGTATCACGCTGGAGTTGTTGTGATTGGTTGAATATACTTGTCCTTTCTGTAAGAGCCAATCAAATCATCCGTTCAAAAATGGATTAGCCAATAGCGTCGATTCGACTACGAAATCCGAATAAATCCACAATACATTTGATATCCTTCTTTTTTATGACATTAACTCGATGTATAAACTGAAACTTGTAGATATCATGATCATGACCATTTGTATTCGCTTGTAGATCAAGTCATGGGAGCGCATCGGTTTGCCCCGAGGCGGTTTGGCCTGGCGTCGGCGGCGCTGGTGCTCGAAGTGTCCAAGATGCCTTTCCTTAGTAAACTCAAGTGGTATTCCATGGAAGTCCACCGCCTGTGGGTGCCGTGGGAGCTCGGCCACGTTGAATTTGGTGCGCAATCATCCCTATTCAGTTTATCTTTTGATGCCAATATATTTTTGGTTTTGAAGACGGTTTCATGGGATATCTGTCGATATATATATATATATATATATATGTGTGTGAATAAATTCAAACTCTTGAACCCACCACCATTGAGTCGTCTTTCGTTCATAGCAAGCAATGTATTTTGATATGAAGTTGTTTCGTAAGATTATATATATATAAATTGCCCTTTTCGCTGATGTTTGGACTTTGGAGGTTGATTCGAGAATCGATTGTGAGTCAATGTTGAAGCTTATTCAATTATTTCAAGATAAAATTGTGATTGGGCCAACCGGCAAGGTTAAACCATGCGGATCGATGATTGGCTAAAATTTCTCATTCGTGACGTTTGATTGGCTAGGTCATTCTAACATACACTTGCCAAACATTCGAGTCGACTTGAAAGTCCACATTGGATTCGACTATATATATTTACATATCTAAGTATTTAGTGATTTAGTGTATGGTCGTTGCCACAACATTCAACTAACTCGATGTATCGTTCGTTCGTGGCCCTAACACTAGTATAGTGGTGCGGCGGGACCACCTTGTAGAAGACTCGTTGGCGAACGTGATGTGCCTCAGTCCGGAGCAACTACGACAGCGATGGCGGGTCTCTTTTGCAGGCGAGCCAGCCCTGGATGCCGGCGGAGTGCTTAGGGAATGGCTGGCTTTGCTGGTTTTGGCACTTTTCGAGCCATCGTTTGGGCTGTTTGTTTCGACCGCTAGCTCTGATCATTGCGCTTGGATCAATCCAATGTCTGGGGCATACCAAGATCGCCACTTGGAGGTACATGTGTATGTGTTTCTTTCTTTCTCAAGACAAAGTACAATATTGTATTTGTGTATATGCTTGTCAGGATTTGTGTATCGTAAAACACACTAAAAGTTCATTTTGTATTGGTATTGATCGTTGTATAGATTGATTGTGCTTTCAAGTGAAATTTCTTTGTCGCGTGGTTTCTTGTTGGAATTTAAAGCGATTTGATTGGCTACCTCAGATGAGCTCAAAATTAATAGCCAATCAAAACCTTCTTAATGAAATTCAACCAATCAGATCGATTGTGGATCGGTTTGGTCGGCGCGATTCGATTGTACCCCCTCCCCAACTTTGTATATCAAATCGACAATATAGATTGTGCTTTTGCTTGTATAAGTAAGTGTGCACGGTACGTACGCAGAACGGTGCTTTGACATGTTTGATTGGTTCATTATTTGGCGTTTGGTTCCGTCAAAAATAACAGAAACGACGAAGAAATGAAGAATAATAATGGTATAGCCAATCAGCGACAAGCATTATTTCCAGACTGCCCAATGGGCGATCTTCTAGTGCTACGGTCCGGGAATTCGTATCCATAAGAATACTATGAGTGGACGGACCAACAATAATTCCGTTTTTTTTAGTAAATTAGTCGATATTATGTAGTATATATTACCTCGCGAGTTGTTGGACCGGATGCGATGTATCTATTACTATATACCCTCTATCCATTGGTATTATTCGTGCAATCTTACAACATTGGCAAAGAAGTAGAATATATATTTGTATTGATATGGTACAAAGTATTTCCGGACACCGTTCAATCGCATCATACCAAACCGATCACGAATCGCAGCTCCGATTGGTCATCCATCTGAAAATACTTGTCACTGATTGGCTACATTATTCTTTTTACTTTGTGCGTTCTACAAGCCAATGACATTTCGCGGCGATTGGTTTTTTATGAATCGCAACGATATAGCAAATTCATATATATATATATATATATATATATATCCTTATATACTCGTATGTTGTAGTATTATTCGCTCGTGGGGCGCGTAGTGGGCAAGGCCTTGTTTGAAGAACAACTATTACCTGTACATTTGACCCTACCGCTGCTGAAGCATATCTTGGGCGTACCGATTTCATTTTCGGACTTGCAGTTCCTTGACGATGAACTGTATCAGAGTTTGGTGTGGCTCAAACGGTGCACCAGTGCCGCCGACGTTGAAGCGCTCGCGTTGGATTTCACAGTGGTAGGAGACCTTTCTCTCTTGATTATTACTGTTCGCGCAGCCTTCCGTGCTCGATATACATTTATAGAGGTTCCGATCGATCTCGAGGGTTTGCAGCTGGTGGTATTTATTTATTTGCATAATATATATTGTGGATTCGGTACAAATATTTCCAGAATCATGTTGAATATCTCGTCGCCGAGGGATCACGAGTCGAAATCGCTACTCCAATTTTGAGTGAATTCGATTGGCTCTTGCAAAAAGGACAAAAAGTATATTCAACCAATCATAATCAGAACTCCAGCGTGATTATTCAATATTTTGAGAAAAACCACTTGTGAATTTGGAAAGTTTATAGCGAAATATCACAATAATTGTCCTTTGTTTTCGCTGTAGTTGGACTGGCCGGTTGATTCGAGAATCAATTGGAGTCAGCCTTCTATGGAATGTATACAAATTGAAAGATAAACATGTTGACCAAACGATACTAATCGATGATTGGTTGAAATTTCTCGTGCGTGCATTTTAATTGGCTAGAATTCGATTCAACTCGAAACAAATAATACTACGTACGATGCTAGACTCGAACAATCCCTCGACAAGCGTTAAAGGGTCACAGAGAGGTGGAATGTATTCCACTAGCTCCGGGCGGGGACTGTATATCCGTGACATTAGTCAACAAAGCGGCGTACTTGGACTTGGTGTTTCAGTATCACATATTGGACAGCGTCTCATATCAATTGCTTCTGCTCCTTGGTGCGCTCTACTCGGTCGTGCCGGAAGAGTTGCTCAAAGTGTTTGATTACAAGGAACTCGAGCTGCTTCTCTGCGGTACGAATGACTAGAGTAACTTTCTATGCAATAATACACGGGATTTCGCATCGTAGGAGTACCCACCGTGGACGTCGATGACTGGCAGCGCCACGCCCAAGTGTCATTTTTACAAGAAGTGACCCCGCCGTCGCGGTTAGAACTGCAAAACGTGGCTTGGTTCTGGGCCAATTTGCATGATTTGTCGAATGAACAGCGAGCCAAGCTGTTGCAATTTGTCACGGGGAGTAGTCGTGTGCCCGCGCAAGGCTTCAAGGTACGATCGATATAAATATTTTATATGTATATTATATATATATAATATGTATATAATATATAAATATATGTATATTATATAAAAATATGTATTATATGTACATTATATAAAAATATTATATATATAAAAAATATTATATGTATATTATATAAAAAATATTATATATAATATATATATTGCGTGCGTTGCACCAAGCGTTGAAGAGTTGTGTGTGCCGGCCGGTTCTCACCCACTCCGTCGGTCGCATTTTTTTGTACTGAATTTTGTATGGAATATTTGGGAAATCTATCACGACGCTAGCAGAAAAACGGATTGAAATCGCTGACCAATCAAATCGTGTTGTTGTTGAAAGTACTAGCCAATCAAATCAAGCTAAGTCGCTTGTTGTGGACAAAGGGTGTGAACTACGTCGAGTTCATTCGTTGATGATGATAATATCCTAAACAACAAAATTTTATTAGCCAGAGATATAAGCTACATACACAGCTCACTTAGTCCCACACGATTTCGACGGTTGAAGAACAAGTTTGATTGGCAGCCGCTTGATTCGTGTATGTGTTTTGATTGGTCGATTGTCTGTTGACTGGGCTTTCTGCTCGCTCCAAATTCGAATCGACTTGACCATATTGATATTCATACAATATTGTCCTTTTACCCAAAATTTGGACTACTTTTATGGTGACTCGCCAAATATACTATCGATCGATTCATTGGTACTGCATTTTGTATGTCAAAAGTTATCCTGTGGTGATTTGTATATCACACGAATTCAAGTCATACACTACTTCAACGTTGATGAGGGTTTCCTGCAATCTGATTGGCTAAAAATATATCCTTCTTCCGATGATTCTTCTGTCGATTTGGTTGTGTCGATATATTCATTCTCCATGTCGCTCGTCCAGTTTAGAATATAAACACACACCACAATACCAGTTTGCAACGTTATGTTTGATCGATCTATCGTTGTATGAATCAACTAAATACATGTATGCAGGCACTGATCAGCACGGACGGCCGGGTGCAACCGTTCAAGCTGTCGTTCTGTCCGATGGAGCACCTGTACCCGCGGGCCCACACGTGCTTCAACCGACTCGACTTGCCCCTCTACGAATCGAAGAGCGAAATGCTCACTTATTTAATCGCGGTGGTATCCCAAGATGCGACAGGGTTTTCTATGGAGTAGGAGGAGAGTGTATGTACACCGAAGATGACCGTGATCATTGGTCGTGCTCCAAACTTGTTATACCACGAAATAATATTAACTTCAATTGGAAATGTCAATAATATATTGGGTTTTTATCTTGCGTTAGGACGGTGTTTTTCGACCTGCTTTTGCTTTTCGAAAAGCAAATGTATATATTCAATGTTAGTTTATTTTAACTGTATATATATATACTACTGAAGGTGCTAACAGTGTATCCAATCATAATCGAGAGATTTTTGGCCATTCCCGGCCAAAACTAAAACTATGATTGGTTCATATCAGTTCAACTCTTCACAGTCAATTCAAAATATTACTATTATTAATAATAGTAGTACGTATTATTAATAATTGTAAGCTTACTTCACATGTCAAAAAGTTTTTTCGAAAACAATAACTATGGAGGAAATTTCCTCGAATCGAAGTTGAACCAAAATGTTGAAGGGGAACTTCGAACTTCGATTGTTTTGACAAATCAAATGAACGTTTTGAAAAAGGTAAACTTGATTGGCCAAAACTCACTGTCAGAAATGATCAGCCAAAATTCAGAGCTTACAGTTATTAATGGATGTAAATTCCAGTACTGTACTGTCGACGGTGGACACTTCTGCAGTAGTATACTGTAGTACGCGAGGGAGAAATAACGAGTACTGTAGTACCCGTAGATAACAACAGGATATCTACGGGTACCAACCATAGGAGAAACTTGAAAGTCCCTTGAGGGTACAGTAACTGTACAGTATACCGCGTCGTACCGGTACCCCGGAGTACAAGTACATACAGTACTGCTTTGTGGAGGGAAATGAGTGTTAATCCGTTGGGTAAGTACAAAACCGTTCGGTAAGTACACGATTGTATTAATTTAAATTCACGTAGCTACAAGTTTTAGTTAGCTATGTACGTCACGGAGATGTGATATCGTAGCTACGCTACAGATATCAGAGCTACACCTTGGAAGCATGACAGCACGGCTGAGGTGTAAGCTTACAGTTAGTTGCAGATCTGCTTCCAACTTCCCTTGAAATCCACATACAGACCATAATTTACAACGGCACCCTTGGTACCTCGCAGCAGCATCACGACCAACTTCTCTCTAGGCCAAATAGTAGACCAAATGTGTCATCTATGTCCCCTTCCCCAAGTATGGAGTGTAAATGTAGAATGCAACAATCTCATTGTACTTGTAGCTTCATGGCATGTTTTGAAGTAGTACTTTGTACTGAACTGCCTCCTAAAAAAGGACATCGATTCTTCGTGAAGTAGCTAGCTACTAGTGCTCGTAGCTAAGTGAATTTAAATTAATACTAAGTTAAGTTTGTATTACATACATATACGTATAATAGTACTATGTATAATAGTACAATCGTGTACTTACCGAACTGAGAAATGTCGCATTTGTACTTCCCAACAGATTAACTCGGCAAACCTTAATTGTTGCTAGGATACCGTTTGTACCCATGCGGGTATCGTGAAACTTGATTGGTCAATCCAGTGAAAGGGACAGCCAATCGAACGTTATGGTATCCGGATCTCACCGGATACAAATGGACTATGTACCAAAGTAGTCAGCTACTTTACCAATTTGCAAGCATCTTTAATCTTAATTATAATACGGCAAATCTCCAATAATAGAGAAAAGATGAATTTACTTGTATTTCGTATTTAAGTCGACACACAATCGTTCTGAGAATATTCGAGACAGTCGGTGGGGGACATTATTCATTGACACATCGCGGCCGCAACTTCGCGCAGACACAAGCTTGGTTCCAAGCATTATGGATGTGTAGCATGTCCATTCTCGTCATCGAGTTGAGCAGGGCTTTGCCAACCGAAGATCCGTCGCGCTCGTAGTTGTGTCCTTCTTGGACTTATTATGTACGGGATATATATGTACTGTAAGGTACTCTTCGCGCAATCGTCAGTGCGCAAAGGATTCGTCGACTGGATACAAATCGACGTAGAATCCTGGATGGGGAAATAAATCTCTGGAAACATGCACGACGATAGATGGCCTTTGACACTGTACAGTCATCATATATTCACGACGGAAATCTCCATAGACTGAATGGAAGGCCGTAAACAACGGAGTTAAAATAGGTTACTATGACTGGTTACTATAACATTCCACAGACGAGGACGATGATTGATCATGATCATGATCATGCATCAAACACACATTGGACATCCGAGAGTAGGTCGTCCATGCCGACGAATGCATCCATTTCGGAAAAGCACCCAAGCGCCGGGTCCAAAATACAGTAGCCTTCCCACGCATCGAACGGCCGCGGAGAGATCTCCCATGTATCGCCTTCAACAACGATCGAATTCAACTCTTGCTTTCGCGGCGACGTGGGCGGCGAGGATGGAACGGTCGAGTGGCGGCAGCAGTACCCTCCGATGCGGGCATGAGTATTGCATGCGTCGACTTTGCACATGCGACCGCCGCCGTGGCGCACACACCGTTGCCTGGCGTGGGCCACTTTGGTGCAGCCGTCAATACTGCACTGCTTTTTTCGGCTTCGCAGGCCGTGGCGACAGCACAACGTGCCGCTGCGAGCGTTCGCGCTGCACCCTGGGAACTGGCATAAGCGCTTGCCTCCATGTCGGACGCACAGGTGGCGGGCATATACTTGATTGCGGCAGTCGGTGGATAAGCATTTGCCGCGGCGGCGGTGGAATTCGCACTTGTCGCCGACGACAACTGGGTTGATGCAACCGTTGAAGAAGCACGCGCTGTGGAGAGTAGTCGGGACGAGTGGCTCTGTTTCCTGTACTCGTACTTGTTGATCATGGTGGCCAGACATGGTGTTGAAGTGGTGGGGTCGTTGTGCCAGGTGATTGGAAAGTGAACAGTAGTGAGTGCACGGTGCAATATTTTATCCCAACAGAAAACAGTACAGTAGTAGCAAGCGAGTATTGTCATAAGGTCGCGTTTTATTGGTAGAAAGTACACCATCCCCAAAGCAGATGCTTTGAACCGATCGAGCATCACTCACGGTCGAGTTCTTGACCAGTTAAGTCGCGTGGACAAATCATGGCGCTGAAATGCTGCCGAATTCCTCCGCTCGTTCGTAAGCCACGCCAGCTTCCGGCCAATCCTGAGCGATTATTGCAAAACAATTGCTGAATTGTCTTGAGGACATATGGCATGACGACGCACCACGATGATGTCAGGTATAAAATCGAGATAAGCAATGCAAATTGTAGTTTATATTTGTAATAAATGTGAAAAGTCAACATTTGTATATGTTTGTTCAATGTATATACGAGTGCATTGTTGGATTCAAGTGCAAACATGCGTTTGGTAGTTGTTTCAAAAATGTCACGGGAATGGTGAGAGCCAGCCAGCTTACGATGGTGGGTTTGTGTTGTTGACCGGTTCGGTTTGGCGTTTGGCGGCTCGATTTTTCATGTGGAGTGATCGTGAAACTTATAATTAAACTCACTCGGTTCTAATGTCATTTGTTAGCTTCACAGACTTCGAATCCAAAAATTAACCTAAATGTTGAAATCGGATTGGCCAAAGACTACTATTAATAGTATGACAATCCAACTATTTTGAAAAATGATAATTCTGATTGGTTATGAACAGCAAATATTCAGACGAACTTCGGTGTAGCTTAAATTCCCACGTGCAATCGCATAACGTTAGTACATACTAGTACACTACAGTACTATAGATGTACTGTGTATACCTGTATGTGCCAAGAATCGACAAGTCTACACGGGATTCAAGCTCCAAGTCTCGACGAGTATACGTTATTCCAGTTTCACGAGCTTGCCAGCAAAATAGTTTATTATGACCAATCAAGTATATTCGAATGAAATTGAAAGCGTATGATTGGGTGGTATGAATACCCAATTTATCCAATCACATGCTTCCGTGAGAATTTGCAGTGTATTACTCCGGCGTAGAAAAATGACAAGAAATCATCGTGAGCATTTGATTGGCCAATTTTCTTTTTTGCATTTTTTTGTGCCGGTTCTCCCCATCGGCGTCTTGCCCAAACAAGAAAACGTCAAGGATGACCGAGTCACGTGTACCTGACGATGCCGAGGTGCCGGCGCCGTTAACGAGCGAAGAGAAGAAGGCAGTGGTGTCGCTGTCCTCCCGCGAACACTTCCGCATTCGCTTCTTTCACGGCGAAAAGATTGTCGATTCATTGTTGAAGCTCCCGTTGACGATGGAGCCTGTGCCCGTGGCCGAAGGCACGCAGTGTCTACACTTGGAGCTGTGGCTCAAGGATCAGTTCGGGATCGCGTCCGACCACAGCGTCTTTGCCGTCGTACCGGTCCTCGAAGCGTACAGTCCCGCGATGCCGCTGATCCTCCTCAACACGATCGTGTTTCGACTGCTGCAAGAGCTACCGTCGCCCGACGCACCGCTGCCCATCCTCGACTATGCTTTGGTCGTGCGTCCATTGAGCAACCTTAACACGCCAATCCCACCCGCCACCGACGAGACCTCACCCTTCTTTGCCATCGACGGCACCGCCCTCGGCGGCACCGACCCGTTGGCGCGGCAGCATGCACAGGTCCAGTTCGTGTCCAAGATGAAGACCTTTGGGTTTGCCAGGATACAAGTCACCCGAGAACAAGCGCAGATCCCTCTCGACGCATGGGAACAAGTCCGAACGTGGCTCGCTGCGCAGGTACTAGTAGTTCTGATGGCCCTTCATTCCTTCCCCGCTGGCTGAACTCATGGAGGTTCCTGTAGCTGGCTCTGCCTCGCGCAGACAGATGGGGCGAGCGTGTCGATACCACCGAGCCACTAGATAGCGCCACGTCATCGGATGCCACGCTCGCTTCAACACCTCTGGACGATGACCACGAGCCTTCTCAACCGTCGCTACTGTCGTCGCTGGTATGTTTTTGGCGGTCACCGACGCCACCTCTGGTAATTAATACATACATATACCCCTGACATGTTATACTCATCTCGTGTTGTTCTCTTTTCGTCCTCTTCCTATCTTGTATTGTCGTTTTACCCAAAATGTTTGGACTTTTGGGCAGATTCGCCAAATCTATCGATCGAGTCGTTCAGTGTCACACTAATTAAAGTCACACACTAATTCGACGTTTCATCGGTCGAAGGGTGGATAATTTGATTGGCTACTTGATGAATAATCTGGGTTTTGATTGGTCAATAAATCGATTGCCTGTCTTCGATTTGTTGATTCTGCTCTTCACTCCCATTTCGAACAATCGACTTGACAATAGTATGTTGTACGCTAACGTCATGTATGCATGATATTCTGGTCAATGGATATCTACTGACCTTGTGGTCTTTGATAACGTCATATTACATGCGATAACGTGATATCTAGAACCCCACCCTGCCTCCATTGTTGGCATCGAAAGGTCGCTATGTCGGGTTCAGCTGCGATCCCAACCGGGAATACCTGCAACTCCGCCATCCGCTGCGAAGCGCCGGCACAATCTGGCCGCGCCCATACTTTCACGAAACAAACCAAGCCGAGTTTGCCACCAACTTGCTCAAACTTCTCAATGTACTCGACACCGTCGGCAGAGACTGCATGGAAGCCGTCTGCGCAGTCCTCAACATTGACCGCAGCTTTGTGTTTAACGAACTTCTGGACGACGTGTCGGCCCCGCCAACGTCCGCCGCCGACGTCACGGCCACAGATCCGTCCTGTCGGTATGGGGCCTCGGTCCTCCGAGTGTACAACTATCGCAACAAGAAAGCGGACGTCCATACAGCGGACAATCGGCGCATGGACCTGCACATGTCGTGTGGCTCGGTAAGATGACTACGACCTATTGAAAGATATTATATATTGAAAGATATTATATATATATATGTGTACATTGTAGTAGTCTATGTCAAACTGTAGTATATGTAATGCCCAAGGGGGTATGTTGTTTGGTTTTCCCCATTGCCTCGGTGAACGATGGCTTTTTTATATATTTGTTATTGAGTAGGGGATTTATATATTTTTGTGGGGTTTCGATTTATTTAAATAAAGAAAGAATACACACCGATGATATATCTGTGGAAACGAATATGGGTTCGTATTTTAACATAGGCAGAGTCGAGATGTTGTTGATAAAAGACGTGGTCGTATATATATAATATATCGAGATGTTGTTGATAAAAGACGTGGTCGTATATATATAATATATATATATATACTAGTATTCAAACAGGGAATTACTGTATTAGTGTCCATTTACCCAATATTTGCGAACTTTTGTGCTGAATCGCTAAATCGATCGATCGATTCTTTGTCCTGAATATTGTTTCCGTTGTCCTGTGGTGTTTGTAATCACACTAATTTCGCCCCATACCAATTCGAAGTATATGATGGATGGGGTGTCCAGCCATCTGATTGGCTAAATATATATATATTCTGCCGATGCTACCTATTTGGTTGTGTATCGATTCCATTGTCCATATTTAGTCGAGTTTACCCATATGTGGATATCTATCTCTCTCTACATGTAGCATGCCGACCTCGGTTTAGTGACCGTGTCCCCCTGTGCGACCGTGCCCGGCCTTCAAATGTGGAACCTTGACCGCATGTTATGGACCGACGTCGAGTCTGACGCGTCGCCGTTGCACTTTTCCGTGTTTGCCGGCGAAACCCTCGGGTATCTCACCAACGGGCTCATCCAGGCGCCGCTGCACCGCGTCCCTGCCACTGTCGTCGCCGACGAAGCCTCCAGACGCATGTCCATGCCCTACTTTTTGCGTGCGCGCCCAGAGGCATGCTTGAACCCGACGCGCTCGGCGGACGTGGCGCCGCTCACCGTTCGTGACTTGATGGAGGAGCGTATCTTCAAGTCCCGGCCATGGAGACGGGAGTCGTGTGCGACCCCAGATTACTAATAAAAGAATTGAGTCTAGATAATAATAAAAATCGGTTTGAACGGTTCGATGAAAGTGAGGGGTGGTGGTAAGGCTTTTTTGGAATATTATGGTTGTTTGGTGTGTTTGTTTTTTATCCATGTTGACGGACTGGTATGAACTGTAAATAATATTGTGCTTTCAGCCAATATATATATATATATATATAGATGGATATATTTGGGCGGATTCGACAAATTCATCAGTCCATTTGTTGTAACGTTATACTGGATGTTGCGTGTAAAATTTATGCGACTAATTACACTATTTGAAGTCACACATGATAGTCGACTGTTGGACGAGTTTGATTGAAAATATTCTGGGTTTTGATTGGTCGTTCTATTGTCTGGGGGCTCCACGCCAAATTCGAATTGACTTGACAATATACTGTACTCCGAGTACTACTACGAAAAGTTAGTACTGTACTGTTACTGTAGTACTTGAAGTACATGTACTGTACTATTTGTGAAGTACGCCTTTTCATTGGTTCAATTGTTTTTGAGTGTATCGCATCTGCTGATTGGTGCAATTGGATAGTTAAAACGGCCGAGATATTCGGTGCGAGACCCAAACCAAGCTCGCCACCGCCAGACTATCAAGGGGCGCGCTCTTGGAGTCCCGTACAGCTCGCGGCTAGTACACCTACTAGTATATCTATAAGTCATGTATTGCAGTCGATACCACATCCCTCTTCTGGGCTTACGCCTCCATTCACCGAGCGAGCCATATTGCGGCACTGTCCAAACCTTTATCATTTAATACACATGTTCTACAATATTTGGTTTGAGGGTGTATTTTGAAATATCACATACAAAGATCAAGTCAAAAGAAATGCACGAGTCAAATGTACAGATCGTAGTTCTTTCTTCCATTAACGTCATCAAGACGCGCACCGGTATTCCCCTGGACATGACTCCGAATTCGATCGATAAGTATGGTGTAGTACAGTAGTTGGTGAGGTGCTCATCGTGTCCGCCAGTGTCATCCAACGAAGAAAGATAATATATATTTGCACGAAATATTATCACGAGAATGTCTCAAGATTAATATTTACCTGCGATGGGGTTGGTGCGTTGCGTTGGAATTTCAGCCAATCCCAGTAGTGTTCTAAGAATACAAAACGGCTTGGTGGATTCGGGGAACACTTGGGGTTTGTATGGTGTGGGAATTAAATTACCCCTCGTTCTGGTGTGAGCTACGAATCGCCCAAAACCCAATACCACCACCACGTCGACGACGACGAGGACAGAGATCGGCGCGGCACATCATGGCATCGCGCATAGCTCAGAAGGGGTACGCATATGCGAGTAAGGAATCAGCTTTGATTCATCGTCAAGGTAAGCAGAGCGCATCCTCATCATGATAGCTCCCGCATTCATCACAGTCGTCTGGTCTACAGCGGGGTCGGCGAGCGACGCAAGTGACAACAGCGATGGCAACGACTCGGACGCTCCACAACTATCGGGTCCCCCGGGAAAGCAGCTGCGCATGCCGCCTCCATCTGCGGTGGAAAACGACGAAGATTCCGACGGGTATGCGTCCGTGAGCAGCAGCAGCAGCAGCGGCAGCAGTAGCGATGACAGCGACAGCGATGACGACGACGATACGCCGGCTGTACCCACCCCCCAGTACCCCATCCTTGGTGCCCGCGCGCGCAAGCGGGTGCGGCCATCGACGTCGTATTCCAAGCAGATGGCAGTGTACGTGCGCACGTGCCTTCTCAACCTGCGCCATGCCACTGAAGACCAACCGGACGTGTACCTCAATGACGTCGATCATGTGGCGTTCCGGGAGGCGCTGCGAGAGCGCCGCGTGGAGCGTGTGCTTGTGGCAGACTCGCCGCCGCCCGACAAGCAAGACATGTCGTCTTCCACAGACAAATCTCCTGACGACGTCGGCGCCGTGCCGCCGCGCAGTACCAAGGACAAGAAACGAAGCAAGAAAAATAGTAGTTCATCTTCTAAAGAAAGCCCGTTGTCGTCGAAGAAGGCCAAAGTCGACCCGACGCACCCGTCGCCAGCAACTAGCTCTGCAACTAGCACAGGCTCCACGTCGTTCGTAAACAACTCATCGAGCCACCCACCGGCCACGCTACCACCGGTGGCCACGTCATCGTCTCCAACAACCACGATCTCGGTGCCGAAATCCGCCTTGTCCTCGACCGTGACTCCGCCCACGACCTCGGCATTGTCGACTTCAAAGCATCATTCAAAGACGACAAATGGAGCTTCCGCCTTGGACGACAAGGTAACCGATTCCATGAGTCCTGCCGAGAAGAGTCCAGTCAAGCGACCGGCGCCGCCGCAGCTCTCGGGTGGCGACGGAGCCGACGTGGAGCCACCACCGCCGTGCGCCAAGAAGCCCCGAGTTGCGTCCTCAGCGGCGGCGGTAGCCGACCGTACCCGTCCGCAGGCGTCGTTTCAAATCCCTGCCAACGCCGATGTTACAGACATGGATCGCGTACGGCGGGATATTTCCAAGCTGCAAAAGGAAGGCATTGCACTCAAACACGAAGGCGACCGCGTCGGCCGCGCCGACATCTCGGCGCAGGGGGTATGCTATCTCCGCGCGTCGGCCAAGTTTCTGCAGCAGGCGCTGCTCTTGTCCGACCTGAAAGCCATGTACAAGGCGTTAAACGACTCTGCGACAGCGTCAAAGTGGTCGAAAGACTCGATCTCGACGCTGTCGCAGACCGCGGCGTTGGTCGAGTCCACGGTTGGCTTCTTCAACAAAGCCAACGACAAGCGAAAGGTCGCGCTGAGCTACAAGTTTGGCGCGATCGTCATGCTCACGTCGTACCGGCTCCAACACAACATGCTGTACGGGTACTACTCGCAGCTGCACGCGCCAGGCCGGTCCCCAGACACTGGCGAGAGGCTCTCCAAGGCGAACGAAGACCCCATCCGGTCGCTTATTCTCAAGGAAATGGGCGCCATGATGCGCGGGTTTGAGTTCTGGAGACGCTTTGAAGCGTGCGCAGTGGTGCCGCCGGTGCTGCCGAATGTCAGAGACCCGGCGACTGTGGATTTGCCGACGCTGTGGCAGGACCTGGACGACGAGTTGAGTGTACCGGGAGGTCGCCCCCACTAGCCCCAACGCTCGGTATCATCGCTGAGATGCCAGATATGAACAACCAATCCCCGAGAGAGCCCCCCCCATCCATATGATATGGGGGCTGCTTGCGACTTCCTTTGAAGGTGGGGCAGCAGTGTGTGCGATTTTCTAATTTAAAGCCCCAACTCATATTCTCCGTTGCAGACATTCAAGATGGATGGATAGATGGAAATACATATATATAGAGGAATAGCTAACAACACTAACCTGACTAATTGTTAGCTTGCTCAAGGTCCCCGTGTCAAATATAGTGGGCACATCGCCACTTCGAACGATCACATATGTCCATTATAACTGCAAACACGTGGACTTCTATAGTAGTACTTACTAGTACTACGTACTACATAGTAGTACAATGATTACTGTAGTGTGCTTTGAGGTGGGGATTCAGTCGTGTGTATGGGGGTTGTGCGTTGGTCGCGTGCTGTGTTGCACTGGGGGATATACTCGTGTCCACACTCAAGGCGGCAAAGTTCAATAACTACCGGGTAGTAGTAGCTAGCTACGTTGCGGACCAGTCGAATGCTGGCGGGTCAAAGGCATCCTCGCCCACGGTGGCAGCCATGACGTGGTTGAACACTTCGACGTCTGGTTGCTTGGGTAGTTGCTGTTGCTTGGCGAGGCAGCGTCGGATATTGGACTTTGGTACGACATCCCGAGACGTTTCGTGCGCGACGACGATCTTCAGCAACGCCATGCGGTGGATTTCCCGTTGCTGCAACTCATCCTCCATCCGCCGTAGGAACGACGTGCCCACGTCCCCCCACGCCTATTGTATGTACAGTTAATCCTCGGTTTCACGACCTAGTGCGTTGTGGTTTGTACGAGCCATACAAATAATACATCGATCAGTGTACGTATGTACGTACGTACCTTGGGCAAAGCAAACAACACGCCGCAAAACGTGCATCGCTTCTTCTTGTCCCGGTACTCGGCGTAAGACTGCACCATGCCACACTTGGGACACTCTTTTTTGTTCTACGCACGCACCACGGTTTCGAACACACGATCGGACGAACGAACGATCGATTCAACGCGACCAACCTGGCGCAACATGTACGCTTCTTCGCCCCTCGTCGTGTCCAGCTTCTACACCAACTTGCTTAGCCACGACAGGTATTAACCACCTACCTCCCCACGACCCACTACCTAGGGTGGGGACACTCGTGTGACATACCTTGCGTCGGTTCTGCTCGGCTACTTCCATACGATTCAGAAAATCCCTCCCCGACGACCCATGCCCTTCGTTATCGTCGTCGTCGTCAGCTTGCCCTCGATGGACAAAGTCATAACCACACGCTGGATTGCGCATCGCCGCGACGCTGGCCTTGGACTTTTGTGGGTAAAAGCGGCAATGTTTGGTATCACTCAGCTTGGCAAATTGAGTTGCGCTGACCGCCTTTCGGTTCGAAGCATGCGAGTTAGTTGGTGTCGACTTGGACGAATTCCCCGCCACTGGTGGTGGCGTAGCTCGTTCGGGTTTGGCTATCATCAAGGGTGCCGTTGTAGTGGGTGGCGACTGAACAACCGCAGCTTTCTTTTGGATATGCGCAACGATATGGGCGACCTTGCTGTTGTGTTTGGCGATTCGCTTGACCGTGGAAATCGTTTGGATGTTGTCTGACGTGGGTCTTCCCGCGGCGGCGCGGGGGGTCCGCTGCCTCGTCCTCCCCCCCTGCGTTCCGGCCGTCGGCGTTGAAGGGGTGGACTCGGTGCCGGACTCGTCGCTGTAGGTTGGTGTGGTCGCATGAGACGACGGTGCGGCAGCGAGGTCCTGGGAATGCGTTCGTCTTTGATTCGTGTCCACCCGAAGCAGTTGTTGTTGTGTTGAGGACGGATAAAGCAAGGGGGTTTCTGTTGTACTTTTAGGGGTGTGAAGATCGACTGGCACAAACATGGGTTGTTGCGGTGGTTGCTCTACAACAAGGACGGATGCCGGTAGCAACGACGTGTTGTCTGTACGTTGTCGCAAACTAGACGAAGCAAATCCTCCTCGAAATGCCTCTAGTCGCCCTTGTTGGATGGCCAAGTCGGTGATGCTGGCCGCCTCTTTCAGAATTGCGGCGATCTCAACGTCGTCGTCCGCTATACTGTCAGCATCGTCATCGTCATCATGAATACCACCGCGGCCTTCCATTGTACGTGGAAGCGTCTCGTCCGCGGAAATGGCTGTCTGGTGTCGAGTTGCTCGAGACGTTTCTGTGGTCTGCGGCGTACAATGATCGGACAATCTACCAGATGCTCGGTCTAGTGGACTTCCATGCTCAAGCTTGGCCAACGATTCAGCTGTCACGTCGACGGGCACGAACTGCAGAGGTGTGGCCTTGGGCATGTCAAGCAAATCCACAGGGATAAACATGGGCGTGGTTTGAATTGCGTTGTTGAAGTCGTTGAGGAGGCTGGGGGGGGCAACTTCATTATTCCCCCCCTCTTTTTCGTCGCTTGACACTTTAGTCGATGAAACTGGGGTTGGCTGAGGACTTGGTTGCGAGGGGAAGCCGCTCCCTTGTTGTTGCGTGGTGCTTGGTAGGGCGTCGATTGGTGCCAGTGACGTTCCTTCCAGCGATTCCTCCGACGGTTTCCTTGAAATGAACGCGTCATCGATCATAGCATGGTCCATTGTACTTGGCAATACGTCATCCACTAACATGGCTTTATCATGCGGAGTTGCTCTGAAAGTTGTGCTTTTCATGGGTAGATCCATCTCCAGCACGTCGCCAGTAGCTCTGCCTGGGGCAGGCAGTACCTCGACGTCTCCCGTCACCACTGTAGTAGACTCGATCGTCAAATCAATTGGAACGAATTGTAGAGGCGTTGGCTTGGGCACTTGGAGCAATTCAACGGGCACGAACTTAGGGGTTGGTGGAGTAGAGGTGTCGATTTTCGAGTTGTTGTCATGATCGTTTGTATTTGCCGGTTTGGCTCCATTGGATGGCTCGACCAGCTGTACGGGAACGAACATGGGTGGCGTCGATGCCACAGTTTCTCCTCCTTCGACGGGGGGATGTAAAGTCAACGTTGCTGCCACATTTGCATCCTCCGCCAAGGTTGGACCTGCCAGTTCATCCAGTAGATGCCCCTCGCTCATTCCATGTCCATAACGTTTTAGTAGAATTCAACCAGGGGGACCGTTTCCCCTCTATTCTTTCGTGTCTGTTTCAAAATTGTCGTTCTTAAATTAACTTTTTGTTTCTCGCGTTAGCCCTTGTCGTCGTGGATGTTGTTGTGCTGGTCGGGCGACGGAATACCTGCAGCGATGGCTGCTTCTACAATCTTCTGCTGTAGATTCGCAGGGACTTGAATCCGTCGCTGTCCGTTGGTTTTCCTGGTTGGTTGGGTCTGTTTCAGTCGAAGGTACTCGTGGATAAATGCCAGCGGGTCGTCCGTGTGCCTTGTTGCCAGCCGTTTTTCGAGCACCTTTTGCCGCGAGCTCTTTCCCCCGCCGTTGGTTTCCAGGAGGGTGACAGCATGCCGGATCTTGAGCTGGTTCGCTTCGTGGTGCTGGCCCCATTCCTCCATACGCTCGAGGAACGAACGCCCCACATCGCCCCACGCCTACCCCCCCACAACACAGACCTCAGCCGCATGTTCAGTAGTACAAAATATCCTTTACTACGTGATAGTATGATATGAAACTCTTCACGTGGAATGAGGCGGGTGTTAATCAAATATAGAGAGATATATTATGTAGATGGTAGTTGGATCATACTGTACCTTGGGCAACACGAACGGGATGCCGCAGAAAGTGCACCGCTTCTTCTTGTCGCGATATTCAGCATACGATTGAACCATTCCACACTTGGGGCATTGTTTTTTATTCTAATCGTGGATCCGTTGCGTTTAGCTTATGACGTGGCATCACGACAACGCAGTATGACAACGGTCCGTCAAATTTCAATATAATGGTCGCGACGAACAAAGCCAAGTACTGTAGTTACCTGTCGAACGTTGTACGCTTCTTCACCGCGAGTAGTTTCCAGGCGCTAGGGGGCACATGTAGGTGATTAAACACATGGGAACTTCACACATGGCAACGGAGTTACCTTTTGCCGATTCAGTTCTGCGGCATCCATGCGTCCAATAAAATCCTTGTCGTTATCGGTGGTTCGCGATACAAAATCGTAGCCACATGCTGGATTTTGCATTGCTCGGACGCTGGCCTGAGACTTTTTCGGGTGAAACCGGCACTCTCGAGCGTCTTCCACGGTCGCAAACGCCCGTTGTTTGGACTTTGGGTTCTTCTTCGTGGGTTTCGACAACTTGTTAACTGCTACATCGACAGCTTTATCCTTCTTTCGTATGATATACAAAGAAGGTCAATACCTAATGCGATGTTGTTCTCCGATTTGACTGCGGGGGTCACGGCATTTCCATCACGGCTGCTGTCGTGCACTTGTTGAACCAACTGGTTCACGGCGGTGTCCACCGACCAGTGAGATTCGGACGGCGCGGTGTTTAGTGTTGTGTGTTGACTGGTAGAAGCGGAAGGGGCCCCTGTTTTGTCCTTCTTGGCCGCCAATTGACGCAACGCTGTTATGTACGCGACTTTGCAGTGAGCCGTGCCGGTCGAACACGACGATCGCGAGGAGACGGTGTGGATGGCGACGGGGTCCCGTCGATGCTGTTGAGGAAGGAGGGGGCGAGTCATAGCGGTGTTTGTGGACGAAGATGGTTGGGGGGCATTCAACGACGAAGAAGGAGGGGTTGCCATGGATGTCTGCGGCAAGAATGGAGACGTACTGCTTGCATGTGTTGTCGGGTCGTTGGGACCCTTATAGGTTCGTGTGTCGGCGTCAATTTGCACTTTAACCCCTTGGTGGCAAACGGTAGATATGACAGCATTCTCATCAACGATGGTCGCAGATGAGGCGGATGTTGGGAGTACTTTGGGTGGGCTGTGGTGACCGTTGTTAGTGTTAGTCAGGATGGATCGTTCGTGGTCACTGACCCGACCAACGAACGAGGCAGAGACTACGACGTCTGGCCCCCGTAGGCCCTGGTCGGACACCTCGACTTGTTTCGTTGGCGAAAACGAAATGACTTCGCGGTGGTCGAGGGTTGAGCAGGCGGTTGGTGTCGTAGCATCACTTGGTGGAGTGAGGACCAGAGTGGATGGTCGCTGGCTAGTTGCATCATGACTCAACAGGCCACTGGCAATGGCGTTGTCCGTAATAGCACCGGCCTGACTTAATAGCCCAGCAATGTCACCAATATCGTCACCTCCGTCGTCTTCGTCGTTATCGTCCTGGGCGACACTTTTCATGTGGAACACATACCCATCGCCGCCGTCATCGGCCATGACGAAAGGCGAATCACCGTTTCAGACGACGATTATTATGGCAGTTGAGAACGGTTTCAAAATTGATTGTGTCGACACCAAACAACCAGTTGTCCCTGCTGCTTGTAGCTCCAGGTAGACTCCACCACATCTACCACACGGTGCAGACGACGACTCCAGACCCTTACAAGTTTATACAAACACAACAACAATGCCCCTGGACCTTCAATCCATCAAGAGCGTCATCGAAGCATCGATTGAGGATCTCGTTCGCGTTGCCGATACGAAAATAAACTGGAACAACGCCGCGTCCACATCAGCTTCCAAAAAAGGGTACGTGTACCTTCCTGGGGTGTACGTATGGGAAGCCGACAAGTCGTCGACGGCGCAACCGACGCCCCCTGCCTCGTGCCCGCCTTCCGCTCGGACCACTGAGGACATTCACGATGCCAACAATCAGGTAGTACTTCACATACAATTGACGCCCCTGATTCATTTTTAGAGATAAAAGAATCAGGGGCGTCAATTGTATGTCCATTTACGACACAACTATTCAATGATTCTGTAGCCACTGCATTCCAGTATTTACCCCCTTAACGACGACCACGACGACCATGACAGTGGAGGGGTCATCGACCACTTTCCAAAACCGCCGGCATCCAGTCTTCCGGACGATGCCCCCCCCGATGACGAGGGGCTGGCGGACTGCGTACCCCCCGTGGAGGATGCCGATGGAACCCCGTTGTCGCCGGACCTGTCGACGCCGTGTCCCACACCACATCCCCCCGTCGTGGACAACTCGGTGGCGGCATTCTTAATGAACGACGACGACATTGCCAGCATCGGGTACACGCTGGTCCTTCACGGAGACAATACATTCGAGTACGTGTGGAAGCAGAAGAAGACCGGCACCCGACCTATGGAGCACAAGGTCGAGCTCACCGGGCGGTGGCACACGCCGGTGCTCAACCGCGATCGATACGGCGAGCGCGACCAGCGAGTGTTTCTGGACACTGCCCGCGCCCGGTTTCAGCGGGTGGCCAACTACGGTACAGCACTATTTGATGGCAGAAAGGACCACACGATTGTGTGTTTGCATGCAAGGGGCGAAAGGGGGATATTTATTTTCGGGGCTTGGTTGATTTACAATGTTGGGGGGGGGTGATTGTGTGACGATGTGACGACGTATTCAGTTATGTGTATGTGTGGGAGCACCGTATATCCTTTTCGGTCTCTTGCTCGACATATATTAACGTATATATATTTATATATATATATTGTATATATGCACTTATCTTTTTCAAATACTAAAATGTAAATATGTGCATGACCATGTGTTACATGTCGTTGTTTCGACCCTATGGTGAACGCAGCTTCAATGTCGGCCACAATCATTACAATGTGAACGCTATACAATCAAGCCTGTCCATATACATGTGTGTCTTTCATGACAAATGTTTCAGCGGTTGTCGTTTTTTTGTCGTGTACTTCTCTGCAATTCCATTTGCACCAGTTCCATCCCTTGGGTAGACCCGACCACGAACGGGTGGAAGCAAACACTCCGCACACTCACGCGAAACGGCGACGACTGGGTCGTCTGCGGCGAGAACGACCGCGGCCTTCCCCCCGTGCGCATGGTGTTCAACGTCCTCGACAACCATGTGATCGAAAGCATCGGCGCGCAGTTCCCCCGAGATATCATCTCCAACGCCATCCCAAGCCGAGTGCTCGCGGGGCTGACCAAGAAGGCTGGCACAAAGCTCGGCGCGCCCATCGACGTCATGACGGACAAGTGGCTGCCGTGCCGCAAACTGTGCCTTCTGCCAGTGTCGTCCCGCCCAGACATTGTCGTCAAAACGTTCAACCCCCTCCTCTGGTAAACAAAATACAACTATGTGGGGTGACTTGCTGGTAAAGTTGCTCACAATTGTGTAGCCTCGCGGCGGCGCTAAAGCAACGCCGACAGCCGAACCGCCCCGTCACCGTCGCCCATCGCTAAGAGCTTGAAGCGTCCCCTAACGTTACATGTACACTGTAGAAAAACACTATGGACTCGTCGACACACATATACATATTGTGAATTCGTCGAATCAATATTGAATCACGCGGGAGTTTTGATTGGTTGAATATACTTGTCCTTTCTGTAAGGGCCAATCAAATCACCCGTTCAAAAATGGATTAGCCAATAGCGTCGATTCGTGATTCGATTCGGTGGCGAGATTCGATTCGACGGGGTCTGGAAAGTTGTACCGAATCCACAATATATTTACTAGTAATAGTACAGTATATATATATATATTGTCTGAGAAGGAAGGGGAACCTAAGTTACTTAGTCATGAAACAAGAATAATAGACTATTCCGCGCAGGTCGGACGTGTTCTAAACCGAGTCTTTATTCGTTGCTTGAAATCCACCACTCCCGTTCTCTTGCCTGCCTTCTGCTACATCACGCGTTCGTTCCTACAATGGTGAGCTTTATCAGCACATCTCATATTCCCCATAAAGAACCCTTTTCCTATATGACTATATTTTATCATCTTTAGTACCTACCGGTACAACTAACTTATTGGCGTAAAATTTGGTATGTACTCCGCAGTATGTGTGAATGTGTCAATAATATTACATTCACAAACTTGGGTCGTCTATTTCAAGCATAAACGCAAGTCTAAACTGCATTGGCCCGGTTATGGTCTTGGTTGTGGGTGCTGCCTCTTCGGCTGGCGTTAATCACAGCGTTGGTAGTCACGACGCCCACCAGAGCGCCGCGGTTGGTCACAAAGCAGTGGTCCAGCCGCAGCATGAGAAACATCATGTGGATGTCCTCGAGAAGGGTCTTGCTCGAGACAGAAATCGGCAGCGCCTGCACGGCCGACGCGGGCAGTTTGGTCGTGGCGAACCGCAGCAGCTCCTTCTTATCGGCGCTCCACCGCTGGCTCAGCAGCGCAATGATATTCGCGGCATTCAATCCACTACCCATTTCTGCACGTGCCGTGGGAAGGTCCGACGAGGGGGGTGGCGGCGGCGGCGGCAACGCGCGGCAGTACAATCGGTCCACAGAATTCCCATACATCGGATCGCGATGGTTCAAGCTTGTGACGGCAGACTTGATGGACGTCCATGTGGACTTGTCGGCGGTCATGTCTGGATCCGCCGTGGGGGACAGACACTCGCCGTCGTCCAGGCCACAGTCGGCGCGGTGGTCACCTACATCGATATCCATTGAGTTGTACACAATATATATATTGTGAATTCGCTAAAAACTTATATACACATATATATATTGTGAATTCGCTATAAACTTATATACACATATATATATTGTGAATTCGCTATAAACTTATATACACATATATGTATTGTGAATTCGCTATAAACTTCCAAACTTGGCGTATTTTGTCAAATCAATATTGAATCACGCTGGAGTTCGGATTAGTTGAATATACTTGTTAAGAGCCAATCAAATCCACTCAAAATTGGATTAGCCAATAGCGTCGATTCAATTTGACAGGGTCTGGAAATTTGTACCGAATCCACAATATTGTTGTTGGATATATATATATATATATATATATATATATATATATATATATATATATTCGTACCAAGGTCCGCAGCGTCGTAATACCGCGCGACGACGCGACACAGCGCCCTGGACGAGATCCGTCCGAGGAGCATCCGGTTGGCTTCCGACTCGACCACGGGAATGTCGTGCCCCGGCATCCGGTTTAGGGCAACCAGAATACTCACGAGTGTGGGTTTTCTAGTGACAAATATGACGTGGGGCTCCTTGATGTCGTCCGCGGTCGTAGTATCGTCGGCAAAGTCCAAGCACGGCAAGTACGGCAGGTCATTCACCGTGGCATCGTAAACCGACTGTGTCGCAAATGCCCTCGACGTTTCAATCGCTACGAGCGTGGCAGCAAAGATCGGCAGCATGTACGCGAGGCTAGCAGATGTTTCTAAGGCGATGACGGCAGTGGACACGGTGCGGGTGGACGCGCCCGTCATGGACGCGGCGCCGATGAGGGCATACGCTTGCGGGAGGAGGTTCCAGTCTGGCAGGGCCGATGTGAGCAGCGAGCCGTAGACACGACCAAGCGCCGCCCCCATCACAAACGTCGGAAGCCCCACGCCAGTCGGCACGGCGAGGGTGATGGCCAACGGAAGGAGCACAACAGGAACGAATCCATCGACCACAGCGTTGGATATGGATGATGCGTTGGCAGACATGTAGAAGCGGGGGAGGTCCGGCGGGGAGATGTACGGGGCGGACGGGGAAAACGAGAGCACGGACGTGAGCACCACCACGCAGAGAGGGTCGAACCACGTCACAAGTACCCGGACGACAGTCGACGACGACTTCCGCCACGCCGTCCGCTTGTCCGAGAGGAGCCGGACGATGCGGATGAGTAGCGCTGACAATAGCCCCAGGAACACCCCTAAGCAAGGAAGTAAAACACGATATGAGACCCTAAAACACAGCTATCAATGTAGAAACACAGAGCTAGCAGCTTTGGTACCCAGCGGGATGGCCAATGGGATGTTGATAATGGGCGCCGCGGCCGATGGAAACTCGATTTTATAGATAGATGGATGGCCTTGAACGATGGTAGTAGTTGTGACCTGCACGACGATGGCGGCGCCAAGAGCTCCAACAAACGCCTTCATGTAGTTGGAAATGAGGTAGTACGTGGCCGTGACTTCGATGGAGAAGAGGACCCCGCCGAGGGGCGATGCAAACGCAGACGAGACGGCAACGGCGGACGCCGCCGCGAGCAGCTGCAGCCGTGTGGACGGCTTGGCTTGGAGGGGAGCAAAGCATGGAAGGCGAAGCAGCTGGTGGGTGAGGATAGACATGAGGTGGGTCCACGCGCCTTCGGTGCCGACGACCAGCCCGGCGGCGTTGCAAAATACGATCCCGCCTATCTTGGCGACAAGGGTCGACAAGGAGAAGTAGCCTGGCAGGTACAGGTTGGGGTCGACGCCTGTGAGCACCACTTTCATCTGCGACACACCCGAGCCTACGGACGGTGGCATGAGACACGAACGTGAGGATGGAATCAGTCGGGGTGGTTGGTTTACCGACGGCGGACGGGGAGAGCTTGGTCCACAAGATTGCGAAGAAGAGCAACGCGATGGAGTAAGCAACCCAAAGGACGCCGTTCCATGCGACAGAGTCCGTGGACGTGGCTATGCGATTGCGTAGGTCGAGAAGGGCTTGGATGGCACTACAAGTCGTTCGTTGAAGATTCCTCACACGACACACAAGAAGGTGGTAGTACAGTACCGCTTGGAGGCGTAGTTCAAGGGACCCCCGATGATACCAAGAAGTAGAATGAACACAAACACGAGTGCTTTATGATGTGTTCGGCGGTGATGGTCGCCCATAGAAGCAATACGAAGGAAAGGCAGGCGCGATGTAGAGGTGCGGGAAAGGGATAGCGGCGACGACGAGGCCTGCGATGGCGGCGGCGTCCGAGCTTCAGTCCATTCTCCACCGCGCTGGAATTCAGCAAGGTTAAGGCGTGACATCGACGCACGTGGATGTGGTTGCATGGCACAACAGTGAAATGCTGACAACCACGTCGACGGAAAAAAAGTGTTTGGAAACCATATCGACGGTTACGTACGTACCTTGGGTGTCGCTCACTGAAAGATTGAAATTGTTTTTAGCCAATCCAATTGTACATTTTGCCATTCAGCACGTTTGATTGGCTAAATTCATATTTCACCAAAGCCTTTACTGTGATTTTGGGTGCATGAATGGAATTCTACTCGCTACTGTATGAGCCAAGGCAAGATTATGTCGGCGGGGGAGGCTGCATGCCGTTCTGTCTATCACAGCCGAGGCGGGGGAATCGTTTCATATGAAGCTAAACTCAATTGCGGCTGGAATTTCGACCCGAAAAAGCACTTAAAAACGGTTTTAACCGTTTATGGGACCAGTATGCTACCAGTAGTTCGAACGAAGCCGAGCATTCCGAAACAAGTTCGCATGGCAATTGAACTGGACGTTTACGCTCCACACAACCGCCCAGCCGCTGGATATCCGAATGAATACATTATTGTAGTCGGCAACTTTTACGTTCAATGGACTGACTGTACATAGCAGCTACAGCATAGCATGAACGCCGTTTTCCATGAGATAATTCCATCATTGTAGAAAACATATTTGCTACCGGTACCATAGTACTTGTCCATCATGTTGAAAACATATTTGCTACCAGTACATAGTAACTTACTATATAGTACTCTTCTCTTCATTCCACAGGAGAAACGTCGGTCGTGCCCAGCCACAAAGCCTTTCTTGTCCTCGGCAATCCTCTTGCTGGTCCGTACATTAATTATTACTCTGTATTCGTACGGCAAAGTCAAAAGTACGGTGCGTTTCGACTGGTTGACCAATCAAACGTCGAGTACGACTTAGTATTATTAGTGACATGCATTCTTACCTCTTGGTTGTCGTACATGTCTCGAGTCCATGTGGTTCCACCTCCATCTTTGTTTGTTTGGTGCAGAACGGTGCTTGATGAAAGTTGGACGCCCGATTTGAGGTCACTCACTACTGCAGCTCCTTCAGCAGCATTGAAAACATAGCCAGCAGTGAGCTGTGACGATGCGATTGATCTCCATAAGCCGGTGTACACTAGTATATGCATGTTGCTGAATTAATTACTGTCCTATAGTACTAGAGTCGAGAGGGCTACATTATGCAAGGCGCGAACCAAGTGTGAATGGAGGGTAGTTTGGGGAGGTTGGGGGTGTAGGCGAACGGTACGTCGCGAAGTGGCAGCAAAGGCGCGACGGAGCGGTAGTGACGGGGAGTGGAAGAGGCTACGGACGGATGCTGACCGTGCAGCTGCAAAAGCGCATCCAAGCACGATCGGGCCTTAGGGTCCACTTGAGTGAGAAGCACTTGGGTGGTTGGCGATATCTTGCAGTGTTGGGCAGATGACGAAGAACGGGATGTGTGGCGAGTTCGAGGGGGCGCCAGGCTCTTGCCTCCACTGACGCGGTCTGGACTTGAAGTCCCCTCATCTGCACCCCGACTGTGTCGACTGCACAACCCCCGACTCCGAGCGAACCCGTTGCACCCCCCAGGATGCGTGCATGGCTTCCGGGCGCCATGAAGCACACACCGCCCGCGCGCGTACACTTGGTTGCGACAACCGGGGCCCATGCACGTTCCTTTCTTGCGGTGGAACGCACATTTGACAGATCCAGGGCGAGCTGGATGTGAGCACCCGTTAAAGAAGCACTGAGGCGTGTGATGTTGGCTTTCTGCTGCCGAGGTGGCCGGGGCGGGTGAAGCCATGGTGGCGGTGAGGGCAGCGGCGCCGTCAAACAACGCGTCCATGACTCGAGGACCAGAATATATCTAAAATGACATGTACCGGTAATGCTAGCAAGCCACATCTGGTGGAATAATTCGAGGTATTCTGTTATATGGAATGTGTTGTCCCATCTTGGTCGTCAGTGACCCTTCGAGCTGCCCCATCACGATATTACACGACAAATTGCAAGCTGGCTTCGATATGGTAGACGATCAACATGTGAAGACAACTGTGTGCAGCAGGTTCGAAGAGTCATGGGGGTGGCTAGGCTTGTGGAGTGGTGAACTGCTGGCTCAGGGTACTTTAGATTAGCAAAACCACTATATAAGCAATTCCCTCAATAAAGGACGAGCTACCTGTACCGTAGAGGTACGTACAGTACCCCTGAGAGTATCCACGTGTTTCTGGGTATAAATACACAAAGAGCGGCTCAAGGTGGGACTTGCAATGGCGACACTTGGTTGCTAACGAACTTGCTAAGACATACTACAAAGTAGATGCAACGCGAAAGTAGGGCCAAACTGACAACTCCGACGGGTTGCTAGGTCATCACGCTACGGCCCTTTATCGCCTCTGTGGTACGAGAACAATGTATCCAGATTTCATCAGTCTTGTTGCTTGTGTCAACGTATGCCACCTTCGGCCTCATGTGTCCCACAAGGAATACCATATTGTAGGTCGACATATTGTACGTCAACTACATACTTCGTACAGTCGTACGTAGTGACATACCTTTTCCGCTAACGTTATAGTACTATGTGTGTATCTTCCATTAATACATGTACCTTCACGTATTCCAGTGAACGAGGAAATTTAAGCCACAATTTGACCGAAGTAGATTCGAAATCTTGAAGTCTGATTGGCCAACTTTGATTATTTTGACAAAGCCATGAATCTGATTGGTTAAGGACAGCAATATTCAGACCAACTTCGGTGTGGCTTTCGGGGAAGCACTCGATCGTCAAGCGGCAACTGCAGAGACCCCTAGCAGCGACAATGGCGCCACTTTGACTTTAACCCCGCTTCATCCCTTGCGCTGGTCGATGGCATCTCGGCCAAGGGGGGGGCGACATCGTACACCATTTCGTTGCCCCGGATCAATCACCCCCGAATCAAACAAGCAGAAACCTTCGTGGCGCAAATGGACCCGCTCGTACGACAATGCCGCATGGACGCTTCTGCCACGTTGGTGCTGAGATCAAACCCTGGTTTTGGTCTGTCCAACACTCGACGTATTCGTCATGATATCATGATATTGTTATAAAAGGACGAAGGCGGTGGTACCAGCGCCGACGCAACTTTGGACTGAAGCAACTCGCGAATACTCGACCAATGACCCCTATCTACATACAGTTGACGAAAACCACTGTAACGTTACAAATATCTTTTGTAAACGTAGTGCGTTAACCCTCCCCCCCTCGACGGAGTGTCCTCGACTTTTGGTTGTTACTTTGCACTACTAGTAATAGTTAGGGGGATTCATTTGAGCATGGGGTGTTGCGGGGGGTTCACTACTTCGAAAGAACTTGGGCGTTGGGGATATCTTGAATCGTGAATGACCCTGCAAACGTATTGAGCGGATTTTTTGATTGACAAGAAATAATATAAGCTTATTGTGTAAGTCAACGTTATTCGTAAATTTCGCCACTTTGGTAATCGTAACGTTCTGCTCACAACGGTTAGCGGGAAGTGATCGCATGTTTTGTCCTACCTACGACATCCTATTGGTTTTGCAGATTTGCGTTCGTGTGGACGACAATCGACGTGGGGCTCTGCTCGATGTAACACGCGACATATTTGAGTGTATGGGGCATCGACACTTTGAAATTTCGATAAAAGCGCGGAGTTCCATCGATATATTGGGAAATAGGATCAGGCTACGACCGTGTACACAGATATATCTGTGCAAGGGGGAAGGTTGGGGCCGCCATGCACAACGTGATGGCCTCGCCCACCAACGAAAAGTATGAATGTTATTGTGCTTTCGAGTGGTTTCTCGTTGGAATTTAAATCGATTTGATTGGCTACCTCAGATGAGCTCCAAATTATTAGCCAATCAAAACCTTCCCAATGAAATTCAACCAATCAGATCGATTGTGGATCGGTTTGGTCGGCGCGATTCGATTGCACCACCTCCCCAAATATGTATCAAATCGACAATACTACATTGCGAACGATTGTAGACATGATGGACAGTTTGGAATCGCCTGTAGATTGGTACTAGGTATCTAGTTTCGGCAATCAATCATGGAAAAATACAATTGGTAGACACGATAGGTTATAGTATTAGCTGATGAGATCCGCAGGGACTTGCGCATTCCTTTGTAAAAGGTCAACCCCTTGTACAATAAATAGCCTACAATACTACTTTACGACATGGGTATATTGGGTGTCGTTATAATTGCTAGAAACAATGCCAGCTCCAGACCTCATGTGTTCGTTCAGGTTGTGCTATCTACTCCGTCGAGTACACTTCTACTTGGCAGCATTGTCCATTTGCCTACATAGATAGATATATACATGCGAATCAACGTCCCCATCATCCCATAACCTTCGCCTTACTTGGCTCTTTCGCGAGTGGCGCTGGCAAGTCTCTCGGCCTGGGAACTCAAACTGCTGGGGGCCGATCGGCTTTTCATCCGGTCGGCATATGAATCATGCCGGGGGTGGGGGGGGGCGCCACCAGGATTGTGTGTCACTGGTGGCTGAACACAGTTATGGGCAATATAATTCCATCTGTCGTACCATATTGGCCTGCTTGGAGCGATGAACGATCTCGTCGGCGGTGGGAATGGGCACCGGCGGCCGCCGCTTCCACAGCGCTTTCTTCGGTCCCCCTATTTTTTTCAAAGGTGCCGCAGTTGCTGTTTCCGCAGACGGGGCGACCAACGGCGGCAGCTCTTGGCTCTGCTCTGACACGTCGACCGAGTTCTCGTGACCTTCCAATCTGTCCGGTTCTACAACAGCCCTCCCCCCCCGTCACTATCACCACCACTTTAGACGACGAGAAACCCACCATTTGAATCGGCGATCGTGTCGTTGTTGTCGGAGGTTCTACTGCTGTGATGAGGGACCCGTCCTCCCTCATCGTGCAATGGAACAGTAGCCTCAACTTCGTCCTTGTCGATGCTTAGAACCTTCCTGTCGTCGTCTAGCGGTTGTTTTGACTTGCCAGGTTTGGACACTGAAGAAAGGCCTCCTCCTCCTCCCCCCTTGGCCACCCGTTCCATTTCGTCCTTGTGGTGCTTGTATTTGTCCAGCCCTTGCTGCCGCAGCTCAAGTTCCTTTCTAAACGTTGTACAGAAAACCCCACGTATAATATTACTCAATCAGGTCAATATAAATATATATATTGACTATATATACATCAAGTATATATATATATCTAGCAGATCTCCACCATACCGTTCAATATCTTCCTTGTGGGCTTGCATGGCCTTGAGCCGCCGTTTGGTTTCCCGACGCACTTGGTCGGCGCGCCTTTTCGTGTCGTCGGCCGCCGCCGCCTCGTCCGCCAAGTGTCTGGCTTTGTCCTCTTCTTCTTGCTTTAGTTTAGCCAGTTGGAGCAACTCGGCCTGTCGCTTCGCCTCCTTGGCCCTACCACCCACCACCATGACCAACAACCAGCCACATTCAAGATTACGCTTCATCCCTTCTATATCCCTCCTCATATACGAAATCGACTACTACGAGTAGTAGTAGTGATCGTAGTCATAGTAGAAGGACTCGTACTTGACTAGTCGCTCTTTAGTTTGTCGTTGAAACTTTTCAAGTTGGTCGGCCGAGAGGGGGGCGGCGTGCGGGGTATTATTCCCCCCCGGCAGATTGGTAGCCATTTGTTTTTCCAACTCTTTGGCATGTTTTGCCTTGACGAGCCGTTCTTTGGCCCGGATGCGATCGCCTTTGAGCCGCTGCTCCTTGTCGTCTAACGTTTCGTAAAACTCGTGGACGCACGCCACGTGCGACTGCTCTTCCCTGTCCTTTTCCGCCAACTTCTCTCGCAATTTCGAGGCGACTCTGGCCGCGGCGCGCTCTTGGGCGTATTTTCGTGCAAGGGCCTGCGCGGCGAGCTTTTCGGACGAGTCCACTTCGGCTACAACCTCTGGACATGGCTTGGTTGGAGCCTTTTTCTTTGCTTTGCGCTGCTGCTTCCCCAATGTCGTTGCTGCATCGTCGCCGCCGTCTGGTTTACTTGTAAAAGCCGAATGTTGTGGGTGTTCTGGCTGCGACGACGACGATGAAGCTTGCTTGTGTTGAGCAGTTTTCGCGGTGGCTTCGTCGGCGTTGGAGCTACAAACATGTCTAAAACATATTGCATATGCATCATGTGACCATGATGAGAGTGCTATCTATGTAAATAGATGGAGAAGGATATCTCGCACACAAGTCGTGATATCTGGGGAGATATAATAGATTCCATCAACCTTCACATCACGCATAAACCCCCTACTGCGTCCATCCTTTCAATGATACAAGCGACATACGTACGTGAATGTGTGATGATGCTGGTCGTTATTCGAATCGGTGACGGGGGGCTTCTTCTTTTTCGACTTCTTTGGGGCTGCGACGACGACGGGGGGCTTTGCCCCAGACTCGTGGTGGGGATATGACGAGTCTACCGGTAGTCCTGAACTGGCCTCTCCGTTATCCTCTTCGGGGGGATTCCGTTTGCTAAACAGCGTGCTGAAATCGGGCAAGTTGGAGGCAGCTTGTACGAGCAATCGTGCGCGTTGCAGCAGCTCCACGCCTTCGTCGTCGGCATTGTCGTGGGTGTCGCTGGTCATGCCAACTCAATCGCCTCTTCCTGTCTCTGTATTATGGTCGTTCCCTGGCGATGGAAACACAATCGACGGGCGGGCGGTGTCCGTGCTTCCACTTGCGTCTAAACTTAGCAGGGTCTCGTGCGCATCCATGTATCATCCCACAGTTTCAAAACCACATTCAAAGCACAAGACTTGTCGTACGATGATGGCTATATACTGGCTATATACTGTATATTATATACCACAGATACTAAGTACTAGTACGAGTATACTCTATGATGTGGAGCTAGCTGCGAACTAGTACAGACTAACTACTACATGTCGATGCTCTGGTCAAACGTGTAGTCCTCGCTCTGTTCGATCGCCCCGCGCACTTCGCTTTGCTCGTCATCCATTGGTTGGTCGTGGGTGGTTGATCCTACATCTGCTGTCGATGGTTCGCTTTCTTCGTGGGGGCGCCTGCGTTTCGAGCTCGAGAAATCATCTGCCACGTCATCGTCGCTTCCCCGTCGGCGCTTGGGGGACTCGGGGGTCACCCTCTCCTCAGACAATACTTGGGCTCGTCGAGACGCCGCCATGAGTTCGTCCAGGTCGTCGTCGTCGTCGTCGTCCGAGTCGTGATTGGTTCGAATCAACCGAGTCGTCGACTTTTGCTTCAATAAGGGGGAGAGGGTGGTCCCCAATGGGACATCAGCATCACCTTCTTCTCCTCCGTCGGTCTTTTGCTTCTTGTTTGCAGGTACATTTGCCGCTTTTTTCGATGATGACGCTCCAGTCAACATGGCCAAGTCATCGTCCGAGTTGCTCTCGTCCTTGTCGTTCGACGCGGCGTGGCGAACCAACCGCCGCCGCCGCCTCGACCGTACCACCGGGCGTTCTATTGGCGTGCCTAGAGTCGTCGCCCCCCGTTCCACCGACGGCTTGCCTGATGTGTTGCCGCCGTCGTCGTCGCTGCTATCGTCGCCTTTGTCCCATGGTTTATCTGCTTGTTTGTCGTCAGAGTCGGATGACACGTCGTACTCGTGCAGTTTGTGCAGTTTGAGATGTTTCACTCGGCGTTCAATCTGGTCGGGCGTCCGATCTCGGTCTTGAAACATGTCTTCGTACGAAATCACTTCAAACACAGACGGCAGGTGCCTGTACTTGTGGTACATTTTGCCCAGATACCGATCTTCGACCTTGCTCCACATCTTGGTGTTGTCGCGCTTCTTTCGAACGGCGTTCTTGGAGGATTTCGTGGATGGGGCAGAAGCGCCGGCAAGGGCCACATCGGCGGATGAAGATGCTGGTGCCATCACGCCAAACGACGCGACTCCGCCATCGAACTCGGCCTCCCCGTCCAGGTCAAAGTTCCCCGGAAGGTACTTTCGAAGCTCCTTGTTGTCGTTGTTGTCATCTTGACCAACAGATATGGCGTCCTTGCTGCCCATGGCCATTGACTTGTATTTGTTTTGGATCTGCGCACATGTTCGAGGCGCATACGAGTGCCGGATTAGCGACTCGACGAAAACCAAGTGGTTGGTGTCGGCCAGCGCAAAGAAATTCCGAATGATCGTCCTATAGATACATATATTCATATAGAGTTAAATGGCAGTGTGGAAAGCACTATAAATGTACTACTAGTATATGTATATATGGAATAGTTAGTATATATATATATATATATACAGACAACGAAGGATTTGAAGCCACACTTTGAATAATCCAAGTAAATTCTACATATTCTACTCTGATTGGCCTATATACTTCGAAATTCGATTTCAATCACAAATCAAACCAACTGATCACATATAAACTTCGGTGTGGCTTAAAATCCTTCGTTGTCTGTAGTAGTTAGTATATATATATAATAGTATATATATATATGATCAAGCAGTCGACAAGTAGTAGAGAAATACCGAATAAACTCGACAAACGGACGAAACGTTTGGGATCGACCCGTGGTTGCCGTGTCTTGGAGCATCTTGTTGAACACTAGGAGCACGTGGATATTGAACAGCATCGGCTCCATCGTGCCGTCTTCAATTGCCTATACAAATCAACCTCCTTAACCACACAATTCAATCCTATTTCAGTCACGTCCTTGCCACTCAAACTAGTATATATATATATGTATATATCATGAATTTGCTACAAATATCCCAAGTTTGAGCAATTCGTAAAACGACATTTCATTGGGTCTTTTCCAAAGTAAAAAGAAAAAAAGTCATAATGTAGCCAATCAGCGAATAGTATTTTCAGATGGATGACCAATGGGAGCGATTCGTGATCGGTTTGATGCGATTGAACGGGGTCCGGAAATATTTCGTACCAAATCAATAATATATGCGCATTATGGCAATGAAGTATATTTATTTCGACGTGTGGGGACATACGTAGTGGTCGAGCCACCAACACACATACAAAACAGCCAAGGTAGATTATATATATATATATATGTACGCACGCATTCCAACTATGCTCTCTTTCTAAACACGTTTGCATATGATATGATCCTCTGTCACACAGTATGATATGTTCATTGCATCCCCATAAAGAAGCACTTTTGTAAACACAAAAGCCACCAACCGATCGATCGATGGACGGATGGACGTACGTGGAACTGCTGGACGCGGAAGAAGTAGGCGTACACGTAATGGTTGACTTTGGCGGTGTTGGTCTTGTATTGGTGCAGCACGTAGCAGTACAACTGGATGGTTTCATGGGTGACCATCGATCCAAAGTACTTTTTCGAGTCGAACTGGACCTCCTTGCGCCGCATTTCCTGCTCAATCAACCGATCCGTCTCCTCTTCGGACTCGTTCTCGTCGTCCTTGGACTTAGGTTTTCTAAGCAACATCATCATATTTATTTAGTAGACAATTGTCATATATATATATATACTTACTTGGCTTGTCCATGCCGCCGCTTTTGCAACACTTTCAAGTGGTCGCCTTGGGATTCCAGCATCTTTAGCACCAACTACACACATATTTATAAAACATTAGAACGACATACATACACAAGACACGGCATGATTGGCCTTGAAAAATCACCAGAATATATATATATATCCTCATGACATGAAATATAATTGCATATATATATTTTTTTTCATGACATGAAGTATAATTGCATCCTAAACGATCATCCAATGCGGTTGTTACGTACGTGGGTCAATGTGACGACGTTCGTGGCGTACTCAAAGTTGAACGCGGTCGGAATCCACGACTTGATCAAGATGGGCAACCGATCTACATATACCACAACGAAATGTGCGACAATGTTCAACTGAGTTCAAATACCCAAAAAGTCACGCTCGTAAAACAACTTGTGCTGCAAAGAATGACCAATGCGCTGGAGTCGGATGTCGTCGCTTGTGCTCAGGTCCGTCTACGCCACAACTAAAATTAACATCATCGCATACATATCAACATAACCAACATATATATATATAATATATATATTGGTATAATTCGTCCAAGATATATATATAATATCGGTATAATTCGTCCAACATATATATATAATATTGGTATAATTCGTCCAACATATATATATATAATATTGGTATAATTCGTCCAACATTTATATATATATATAATATTGGTATAATTCGTCCAACATATATATGTGTTGGACGAATAATTTGAAAATACTATATAGTGCATGGACAATCCCCAACTAAACACGTGAAAACATCAGAAATGTGCGTGCATACCAGCATGGCGATCATTTCCGCGAGCAACTTGACCGCCAACATCATCGCATGGTGGTTCTTGACCTCGGCAAAACTCTAATACTTTATAGTCAGGATATAAACCATCGATACGAGGTAACGACGCAACGTCGCACACACCTCAATCGACTGGAGCACGAAATTGAATGAAAACATGTCCAATGTCGATAGAATCGCCTTCTGATCGTACGAAACCATCGGCGGGGGCGCCTCCACAGCCAGCGATGCATCCAGTCCATCCGTTTGGAACCCGAGCGCTTTCTTGGCTTCGTAAGCGAGCACCGCGTGGGTGTGCAACTTGCTCAGGTGTGGCCCCTTGGCGCGATGGTATGCCGTGAGAAACCAAATTAAGTGAAAGTACAGCAGTCGGTCGTTCGGCAGCAACTTGGCGCTGCCTCGACGGAACTCGTTCTTGAGAGATGTCGTCAACGACGTGTAGCACTTGCTTAGCAACGAGTCGCACACGTAGCGAAGAGCCGTGCCAAGGCTAATGATACAAGTATATGAGAGATGATGAAAAAATAGATGGCTGCATGATTGTCGATTTGATAGTATAAATTTCGGGAGGGGGTGCAATCGAATCGCGCCGACCAAACCGATCCACAATCGATCTGATTGGTTGTTGAATTGCATTGAGAAGGTTTTGATTGGTTAATAATTTTGAGCTCATCTGAAGAAGCCAATCAAATCGATTGAAATTCCAACGAGAAACCACAACACGAAATGTCACTCGAAAGCACAATATATATATATCTCACTCTTTTTCACTCGTGCAAGTGAGATTTCAATCTAGCAAATTCCTTGCCCGACAGTTGTCCATAGCTACTGTAAATAGAACCAAACGCATCGAGAGAACACAGGAACAACATCCATCATACACACTTTAACATCATGACGAGCAAGGCCATGCATGTCTTACGCCGACGCGCCGTCCACCGCGCACGTGGTATTCGACCCAAACACTTCGCTAATGTCGTTAATGCCGTGACGCTTGCGGGCCTGTTGGCGCGGCGGCTTGCGGTGGGCCTGGGGGATGACTTGGTCGCCGGTTTTGGAGAAGTCAGTGACGACTGTCTTCCGGCCCATGACCCCGTTCAGCACGAGCATGCCGCCAAAGTTGGAGTGTCGGTTGTATGTGGTTTTGTGTTGTTGGTGGAGCTGCGTTAGTAGCGATGGCGTAGTAGTAGTACTAGTAGTAGCAACGACGACGGGGGCAACCACAACTTTGTCGTCAGAAGTCGAAGAAGCGATCGACGCGACCAACTGCTTGGGGGTGGTGGTTTGAACCACCAAGTCGAGCATTTCCATCACAAGCAAGTTCCATTCGCGGTTTTCGGCCGCCTCGATATCCTATCGCATACAGTATGCTCACGTTTGGTACATTATAGTGTGGTTAAATAAGCCAGGGATGGGTGGGGGCCATAAATGATCATACATATATACATATTGTGCTTTCGAGTGAAATTTCGTGATTTCTCGTTGGAATTTAAATCGATTTGATTGGCTACCTCAGATGCGTTCAAAATTATTAGCCAATCAAAACCTTCTCAATGAAATTCAACAACCAATCAGATCGATTGTGGATCGGCGCGATTCGATTGCACCCCCTCCCCAAATTTGTACTATCAAATCGACAATATGACCACCCGATTTTCCATGGTTAGATTGATGAAACATGAGGTCGATTTCAAACCAGCCAATCACATGGACGCATTGTCATCAAATACCGACCAATGAAAACCCACACCAAGAATCAACGGGCCAATCAAATGCTCGCGTTGTCCATTCCACATCGAATTAGTGTAGTACTGAAATTAGTGTGCCAGGCGATCGATATACGTTTTACACACCAAAAGACAATGAATTTTTGGTGAATTAGCACAAAAACACCACCATTTTGGCTAAATGCACAATATATCACTATCTAGAGTTAATGTGACCATCGAAACCTACATTCCATGGTGGGGATCTACATATCTAGGTACAACAGCACTGCAATATGAAACGAAAGCAAATCTCCACACCACCACCCAAGCAGCGGCCTCATAACTGCAGCTTGGTGGACATGCACACGTACTTCGGCAAACAGCAGCAGCATGTCAAACACGTTTTCGTCGTGCAAGATGCAAATCAAGTCCTCTTGCAGGCGAGACAAGTAATTTGTAGCGGACGTGAGCACGCGACTGTCTGCGTTCGGGATCGCGAGCAGGTTGCGAAACAGGGTCAGCACCAGTTCCATGTTTAAGTAGTCCTACAGAAATCGGAATAAGCACATGACATGTCGATTGTCGAGATGGGCGGGGGGGCGGACCTGCGACGTGCGCGACGAGCCTTCGCGGGACAACGGTTCCACGAGGATGGCCATGAGCACTTGGATCACGCCGTGCTGAAGGAACGCATGTTTGTACCCTCGCAAGTAGCTCAACTGAATCGCAATGTTGTCCGATTCGTTGGTGGGTTTCATCGTCAACATGACGAGCACCTTGAGGATCGAAAACACCAACGACCTGTACGTGGCGTCATGCAAGGACTAAGACGACGACGACAAAGAAGGAAACCTCACCAGTCGTTTTGATGGTTGATCAGAAGCGGAAGAAGCTTCTTCTGCAGGATCTTCCACCGCCCCAGCGTCTTGCCCACGAGACGGTACGTCGCATGATCCCGTCGAATTGCGCGCTGCAAATCGTGGACCCATTCCTCGCAATCCTCGCCCCGAGTGAACATCGTGCCACCGTCTTCGGTCTCCGTCATGACGCCCAGATTCGAACACACGAGCAGCAATTCGTTCAACATGTTGGGGTCCAACGTGCGTTTCGCCGCCGCGTCCGACCCTTCCTTGTGCAGGTCAGCCATCTCGTCGCCGGACAAGTCCAAGTCTTCCAGGCTCCGCGCTCGATCACGATGTGCATTTTCATCGCCGTCTCCATACGTCTCCTCGTCGTCTTCGCGCTCGAAGATGGTGTCCGTCGGGCCTGTCGGCATCGTAGTCGCTGCCTGTTCCTGTACTAAGTATTGGCGCCAAAGTGCAATGATCCGCATAAAAAGAGCGCCATCCGGATACGATCTGGACGTACATATGTCGTACGTACATCATGTACAGTGTCGAATGTATGACACGATCCTGTTTCGGATATTTATATAGACTGTATTTAAATATGACTTGGGTTCAATATTGATATCGAACGAAAATTATTAAAATTCGAATGCTATCAATAATATTACCTACCAAGTCATTATTTTAAACCTGACTTGCGAATGATTACAAGGACAGCTTGCTCTGTCGTGACCGCTTTGGCCGCGCTGGCCTCGTCGTAGGCGCGCCGCAAGCCTCACATGTGTCCACATGACTCTCGTTCTCGAGGGTACATCGTGCACAAGACCATTTCGTCGGGAGTTCCATCGGCCGTTTGATCGGCGGCGGCTTTGTCATTGAAGCAAACGCTGGTGGAGGGATGTCTGTGACCTGCGCGGTGCTGCTGTGGACAAATATTGGTTTGCTCAACGTGTTGGAATACAAGTGTCGCCACGGTCCTGCTGCTGCTGTCGTCGTCGCGGCTGGTGTTGCGGGCGGGAGTTCTCGCGGCAAGAAGCGCAGATCTCCATTGGGCATGAGATTGCGGTCTGTCCCATCGACTATGTAGCTGCGTGCCACGTCACCGCCAACATCTTGTTGTGGAGATACCTCAGGTGCCTTGGACGGTGTTTTAGCTGGGGAAGCTGTCGATGGCGATGCTGCCGACGGATTGGGCTGGGTGGTAGCGGCGTTGGCTTTCTGTGCTTTGACTTGCTGGGCCAGTTTTCGGAAGTTGTCGTTCAGCGCCGACGTCCTTGTGATGGCTTTCTCGATGGGGTCGTCGGGACGGAGGCCTAAGGACCGTCTCGTGGACGCCTTGGCGGCTGTTTCGTGCTGCCTTTGACGAAACTTGGTCACGACTTCGGCGCGGACCTGGCTCGCATTCTTGGGGTTTATCGTGTCAAGCTGTGCATTCCATAGCATCGTGTACTATACCATGCATGCAAGAGATGTCGATATATGTATGCACTCGAAGTACAGTAGTAGTACTACTACTAGTTAGTACTAGTACCTCTTTGTGGCATGTGATCATGTTGTCTTTGGAGGTTGGAAGGATGGCCAGGAGCCCCGCCGATTTCAAAAGCTGTCGAATTTGACTGTCCTTCAGAAAGTTGTATGATGTCGTGGGCATACGCGCGGTGATGTCCGTGGATGTGGACGCAGTAGCAGTGTCGGTCAGGTCGGAGGTGCTCAACGAGGCCAGAGTAGCGCCATCACCACTTCCTTGGGAGGTTGATGCCAAGTGAAGGACTTTGGGCTTGAGCGCACGAAAGAACCCGACGAGCTGCTCGAGCGGTCGATTCGGGATCAAATCGCTCGACGAACAAGCACATTTACACTCGGGACAGCACCCGTTCGTGCCGCGCGCCAGCAAATGCTTCCGCACACACTCGGAGCAAAACGAATGTCGGCATTCCCGCAACAGCACCGGACCACTGAGAAACTCCCCACACACTTGGCATCGTAGGATTCCTTCCATCAGCCGCGCTTCCTTGAGCTCATTCGGCCACACCCATTCGTCATCGTCGTCGGCCTCGAACTCCATTTTCAACTCCCGCCCGCGCGAAACCGAGCGGGAAAATCCGGATATCATAATTTCCGGATAAAAGGCCGGATAATGGTTGTTCGGATAACGAGCTTCCTTCAAGTTGCCAGAGAGCATATTCAGACATGGCAATTCTTGTCAACACAATCGACGACGCGGACGACACGCATGCGATCCAGCAATGCGTGCAATGCGAACATGACTACGCCGAGAAAGACAATGTGTCTGGATCATGCGATTACCATCCTGCCATCTCGTACACGTACCATTCATGGTCCTGTGAACTGGCTTGCTGCGGGATGAGCTTGACGTCGTACACGCCGTTTCCATCAAGTGGATGCACGAAAGGGTCACATGCAAAAGCTCACCACGACCGATTCCCGTACATCAATCGTCTGGGGCACTACCGCACAATTCTTCAAGGTTCCGACACGTGGTTGCGCGTGCAACAGCACGATGTGACGGTTGGCCAAGTCGGACGGCGCCGACATTGGGGCGACGTTGGCAGGACACGTGGGAATCCTTCGCGACAACGAATCTGTGGCCGTGTGGGCGACCCAAGACGGCGTGATTATCGATCTCAACGTGTTGCCCCTTCCACCCTCCGACCCCAACAACGACACGACCGTCGTCCTGATAGCTACAAACGTGTCCACGCTGATCAACGACACATGGAACAAAGCCATCACCGCCGACGGCCTTGGCTGGTCCGTCCAGGTGACGCGCGCTTCGCTTCCGGCGAATGGCTCGTGCTTCCGCATTTCCGTGCATACTCCCACTGCGCCAACACCCAACGTCAAGGTTCATTCGCGTACCTTTCACGATTGATTGATTGCATATTCCATCCTCACATGCATTGTTGTAGGAGCTCCATGTGCATGGAGACTCTGCCGATGCGTCTCGATCCATCATCACCGTTTTTGACAACGACACGGACCTGCATGACCTCTATCCGTCCACAGACTCGTCCTTGTTCCCGTCGCCGCCTCTGTCCATCCAATCCTTTCGCCGCATTCCACCCCAACTCTTTTGTACGTCCCACTGATACTATTACGTTTTTGGTAATATATATATATTTGTGATATCAAGACGACCGCGTGGGTGTTGGTGGTAGTGGCATGCGATCCCTTGCCCACGTTTCAGTCGTCCGGAGACCTACCATTGCGTGTCAAAGCTATCAAACCCGTGGTAGCCAATTCCGACCTGCGACCATACAAGTACAGTATTATACTATTGCGTCCAATCCATATATATATATATATATACTCTATGTATGAAAAAATATTCACTTATGGCGTGATGATACAATAATTCAATATATGTATATATATATATATATATATATTTATATCCTGGACTCATCCATACTTCTGCCCTGTCTTGGTTATCTAGCCACGACTTGTTCACCGTGCACCTGCTTCTAGTCGACACATCTGCGATGCCGTCCCCCAACCCTTCACCCTCCCAAATGTCCACTTCCCCGTCATCTCAGCCGCTTTTAACTGACGAACGACATATCATCCTCACCATGGTGCGCGATCAGCAGATCTTTGTGGACCAAGCCGAACGCCTGCTCATCGCAACCGCGTCGCATGCGACGAGTGCGGCCGCCGCCCTGGCCGCGTATTCTTCGCCCTCTTCTGGTGTATCTGCGGTGGCGTTGACACTTGTAGAGGTGAAGGCGACCTTAAGTCTAGACCACGGCCACACGTGGGTAGCTGCTGACCAAGTCGAGCTCAACGGTCACTCGAACGACGTGCTCACGTACTTAATCCCCAAGGGCGGCGTGGACAAGGTTCAAGTGACTGCTCGATTCCCCGCCCCCAACAAACACGGCCAATGGAGTCATCGGTATATATATATATATATATATTCCAATGGTGGACCTTGATTGTTTCTATCGATACATGTATGTGTTTTATACATGTCTATATTTTATATATATGCTTGATGGTATGACGAACGATTGTATATTCATTTCGCTATGCCTTACTAGCCTACCAGTACTAAACATACACAAACTATATATATACTAGTATATATTGTGCATTTCACCCAAATTTGGACTTGTGCGTCATTTCGCCAAATAGCATTTGAATCCATTTGATCCAATTTAAGCTTGTACAAACTATACTATATACAACTATTAGTATACTAGTATATATATATATATATGGTTTTGCCCAATGCACGAGTCAAACGTTTGGATTGGCAGAAATTCACTAGAACGTGATTTGATTGGCTTAGGATATTCTTAACTCGATTCGCTTTCGACATTCGATTATTCTGCTGAGGGCTCCAGTTTCGAATCGATTTTGACAATATATATATATATTAACCTTTATGATTACGATGTTTGTAGCGCGTTCGTGACCAAGTTGCTGTTGCACCCAGCAATTGTTCGCTACACGTTTGAAAACGCGTTGGGTCAAGTGACCAGTTTGGACGTGGCGTTTCAGAACCCGCCGCTGGCGCCGCTGCCTTCGCGTGACCCGTTAACCGACTGGTTTTTCATGGATATGGACCACCTCGACGACTTTACCCGGTCGTACGCCAAGGTAATATATAAAACATCCATCGTAATATATATATATATATTTATATCATCAATCTGGTCCTTCCCTGGCTTTAACAACACATTCGTTTTCGGTCGTTGTTGTGTGTAGGTGACTCGCCCCCCTCCGTTGAACGACTCGACTGATACGGACCCCACCCTGTTTGTGCTGCATTCGTGCCACAAGAACGGCCCGACGTCGTCGTACTCTGTCACAGCCCGCACCGTGCGGCTGTGGCGAAGCCAGTTGAACCACCGCCTCCAACACCCCATTCAATCAGCCCCCACGGAATTGGAGTACTTGCCTCTCTTGGCCATAAGCGAGCCGAACAAGGTCGAGTGGACCGCTTGCTTCGACTCGACTCGTTCCACGCTCGTGTTGCTGCGGGTTAAACTCATGTACGAAAACGATGTCGCAGAGGACTCGTGGGTCCTCGACTGGCCGGCGGTGACGGCATCCCATTTTCCTTCCAGCTAGCATGCATGCCACAGACCTACTGTATTGCAATCAAGTCGACATCCGTTTCGCTCAATGCTAAGTTTGTTAGTAGTTAAGCGGTCGATCCTAAAATACTGTATATAACCAACATCATGTTTGCGTTACGTAATAAGCTGGAGCAAGCTTACTAGTATTTATGCGTAAGTATTAATAGTAACTTACTAGGTTTAGGTCTTGATCGTTGTTATAATCACTATCGTGGTATCGATATACAAATGGGAGTAACGTTATATAACGTTATGGCGAAACCTACCAGAACGACCAATAATAATAATATGGCTTGATAGTTTCCGATTCACGTCGTAATTTCTATGTAGAACACACGAGTAGTCACAAAGCTATGAAGGGAGGGAGGGTTTCAATGCCAACATAGCCATCCATCCCTGCAATTGTAGTGTGGTTATTCTAAACTCGAGTGACATGCCGAATACAGAAGAAGAATTTAGCCAATCAGATTGCAGCAAACCATCAACAAAGTCAAATTAGTGTATGACTTCAAATAGTGTACTGTCAATCCGAAATTACTTGTCGCTGATTGGCTACAATGCATTTTCGAGTTTCTATCCATTTTCCTACTTTTTTACGTGTTGACGTCTTTTTTGAAATCGTGAAAAAAGAGGTAAATCGATTTTGATTGGCTCATGCTATTTCTGAAAACTACTACGTGGAACTTCCCCTTACATGGTAGTACGTGTCTTGGCTGCTACTACTTTTCCTCGCCTCTCGTGTGCTTCTTGATGTAGCACGACGTGGCTTCCCGCGCTCGCTTTGGCATCATCTTGAATAGGTCGGACTTGAACGACTGCCGCGCCATCGTTCTCTTCATCGCGCTGGCCCATGTGAAAGAGCCGCACTTGATGGAGCAGTAGTCGCCGGACTTTCCAGTAGGTTGGGTGGACATACGACGGGAACAGTTCGTCGATTTCCTTGCCATGCTCTAAGATCAACTCGACGAGTTGGGTGTCTGTGATGTCCTGCGACGAGGTTGGGACGTGCGGCTTGACGTCCATGAGCAGGCTGTGGATGGCGTAGATCTCGTCGGCATTCACGTACTGGAACATGGCCGTGTACGATCCGCAGCAGTCGAGGCTCATGTGAATAGGCCACAGCGAGTACAGCTGGAACCAGTCACAGTTGTCGGGGGTGTAGTCGTAGCTTCCGTTTACGCGGGGGTTGCCCACGACGCTGCCCGGTTGGAAGATGTGAAATGTGTGGCCAAAATGGACGGGGTCCCGCGTATCCACGGCCTCCACGCCTTGTTCTCGTAGGCAAAATGCAATCGTTAGGTCTTCTCCACACTCGACGCAGCGACTTTTGCATCCGAGACGCAACGCTTCCAGGTACAAGTCGACGGCGGCGCGGCTGAGGAGGATGCCCGCCATGGAGTTGAATATCAAGTGGTCGAGCGTAGCCCAAGAGTACGGTCCGGATGTCGGGAGCTGTAGCGGATGGCCCAAGTAGTGCGGCTCGGAAGGGTCGAGTCCTTGCACGAGATGCACCAAGTTCGAAGGCAGCACGTAGGACGAGTCCGCGGCGAGGTAGATCCAGTTGTACTGGTGCTGGTCATTGTAGACGGTTTCGAGCGCAAACTTAATCGGAGTGTCCATATCCCGAGCGGGTGGCACGAGCAAGGTCCGCTTGGAGTGTCGTTTGGACGAAGAAGAGATGTGGAACGACGGGGTCTTGGTCTGCACGGCGAACCAGCGCGGCAGATGCGACGCCCATGTGTTCTCAATGGCCTCCATCCGCGCCGGGTAGTTGCCTTCTTCCCACATGGAGCTGTAAACGATGAACGTCATCGTGTCTGGCGACACACGCAAGTCCTTGTGTACCGATGACGACATGGCTGTACCTTGCACCTCGAACAACCCGGCCATGTACCCCATGCGACACGTCGCCGCCACCTACACGTACGCGTGTGAGACCAAGGAGCGATCTAGGTCAAGTTGACCATCCAGAAGCCAAGGAATATCGCCCATATCTTTGTTCGCCCCGGCACGGCACCCGGCCGTCCTCCTGCAGCGATCGGTTCCATGAGGTGTCGTCACTCGAATTGTAATCAGGTCATAATACCGGTATCCGGAATTCGGATACTGTAGGATCCTCTCGGATTCTATTAATACTTCAAGTATTAATAGTAACGATTATTATCCGGATTTGAAACCGTGCAACAAATTGCAGCAACGTTACTGTACTCAAATGTCGTCCTTCCATCAACTTACTCGTGCGGTCCTAACGTAGCGAAATTCCTTGTCGGGTAAGTTCCGACATGGGTCCACAGCCGTAGCAGCACGCGCGCGCTCACTCGTGGGGCGCACGGAAACGTCATGTTCCAGATACTCAGCGGACATGGCCGGCCGCACCACGTGTGAACAGCTTCATCATTTCTTCGGCGCGCGGCATCGCCACCATTTCCGCGGCAAACAGGACCTCGCGCGTGTCCAATTCCGTCAGCACCACCCCAAAGGAGTGTACGTCGATGTTTTCGTCGCAGTCTTCCAGGAGCAGTTCCGGCGCACTCCACTGGATGTCCCCCATATGCCGGGGGTCATCATTTCGTCGTATATGGGGTGTGTGATGCACTACCTCCATCAGCCCGTGCTGATCAAGAGCGTCAAGAGCCAAGCTCAGCGGATTTGGTGTTTGTCTGCATCCCCTTAAGCCAATTCGGGGACTGCCCTTTTTGTAGTACTCTATATTTCTCATCCGGATAAACCTCATTTTTAATCATGATGACGACCTTCATTCACAATACTATTAATATCAGTCGACAAACTGCAAAATAATGTAAAATTGTTCATTTTAGATTATGCAGCATAAATGCGAGCGACATGTAGTGGTGAGACGGGTTTTTTCCGCAATTTGCAACCGGTATTATAAATCGAGAAATGTCGCATTTGCAAACGGTTAGCAAAATACTATGCGGAGGTTTTGGCAAGTCTCCCATTCTTTCAGTAACTTTAGTTAACGTTACTATTTATCGTATACTACATTTACGTAGTATTCGGAGTAACTACAGTATTAGTAGGGTTAGCCAGGTCGTCACGTGATTCAACATATCAGGTGGTCGATTTCTTTCGGATAATAAACAACTTTATCCGGATTTGAAACCGTCGTGTCAAATGTCGTTTGGACGAACTCCAACTTGACAGGCTGCCGCCTCAGCAGACCCGTGCCGGCGTGATATGGGCGGCGTCATGGGAGCTGGAGCCGCTCAAACTGGCTCAGCCCAATCGCTCCATTCAATCGATCCACTCGGTGATGTGGCCGTACGTACGTTCAGTACATCCTAGCTCCATCCAATGCACGCTATGTATCGCAACCTGTTGATTTGATCCTAGTAATAACTACCGGTCGTTACTACATTCTGCCGTCCTTGTATGTGGCGCGGTTGCATGGCAGTGTTGGGCCACACGACTCCCACACATACAGTACACTAACAACTAACTTAACTCCTCTCCACGTATCCGTAATAGTACTACTAGTAGTGGTCATCCCTCGTACTAGTATAAATCAAACCCCAACCATCACGACAATAACCAACGCTTTGCATTCGATCTCCAAAACATATAAATCAATTCTCATCTATTTGAGGTCCAGTAATTGGAGTCGCGCGTCTCGGAGCAGCTGCAGCACGCGGTCGCTCGTGGGGCGCAGGGATGCATCATGCTGGAGACACTGGTGGATGATCTTGCGAATGCACGGCGGACACTCGGCGGACGGGGCCGGCCGGAGCATACCCGTCACTAGCTTCATCGTGATCTCGGCCCGGGCCATAGCGGCCATCTCGTTCGCAAACGGAATCTCACGCGTGTCTAGCTCAGTCAGCACGACCCCAAACGAGTACACGTCGACCTTTTCGTCGTAGTCTTCGCCGTCCTGAAGAAGTTCCGGCGCGCTCCACTGGATGTCGCCGACGCCGGCAGTCATTGTGTTTTCGTACGTGCGGTCGCGGGCGCAGCCAAAGCCGCTGAGCTTGGCTTCGCGGCGGTTGGTCAACAGGACCTTCTCGGCTTTGATGTTGCGGTGGATGAGGCGCGGGCTGAGTGAGTGCATGTACACGAGCGCGGCGGCGATGTCCAAGGCAATCGCGATCTTCTCCTTAGGCCAAGAGAGCGACTGGCGCTTGTTGTTGAGCAGGTGACGCAGCGTTTTGCCCTCCATGTACTCGGAGATGCAGCACAGTCCGTGGTCTTCCGTGATGTAGAAACCGAGGAACTTGACGATGTTGGGGTGCTGAATGCGCGTCATGGATCGCACTTCGCTCACCAGTGCCTTCTTGTTCTTGGCGAGGTCGTCCGACGATGCGGAGAAATTGAGGCTCTTGATCAGCACGGGCTGCCCGAGGTAATGCCCTAGTTCGGTCTTCATGTAGTTGCTTTGCACCGCGCGGGTGTGTACAATGTCGTTCGGGTCCAGCCAGTACTCGTGTTTGAACGACTCCAGTTCCACGTACTCGCCGCAATGCACGTCGTCGTGGATCTTCATGGGCACGTTTCCTCCGACGATACGATCGCCCGGACCACGTGTGGATCGATTCGTAGTGCGGGTGCCGCCGTTTGACGTGGTGCGCGTCGTCGTTCGCGACGCGGTCGACCCGCCGGGGTAGGAGATGCCCTGGCGACTACCGGTGGTGCCAACTCCAGGACGGCTGCCGTTGGTCCCTCCATAGTTCTGACGAGGAGTCACAGGTGCGGGGCGGAAGTTCGCATCCGGTACATGCACATACGGCTGCTGCGGCGACTTGGAAGGGCCGCATCCCATCTTGCTTGTGAATAGCCAGTCGGAAATACGAAAATGAGGGCGGTAAATTGGATAAGTTAAATCTGGTGTTGAACACGACGTGGGTATTTTAATTCCATATTTTATTGACCCAATACAAATATAGGTATAGAACGAAGAAATATAATTATAGGCCAAGTCCAGATTAAACCACAAACACCAAAGCGCCTGTTTCAGGCCAGCACTCCGTGTAACACACTGTGGCTGTGGCGGTGACGAGCCAGCAGCATGGCTTCCCTCGTCGCATTGGCATCACATGCGAGGCTGGAAGGTGAGCTGGCGGCGGCGAGGAGACCCTAGAGACTGTGTGTGTGCTGACCTGTGGCATGTTGGGAATGGCACCAGTCACGTGCCCATAGTTGTTGTCAACAACTATGGTCTTACTGCTTCTAAGCGGCATTGTTACACTGTTAACTGCATGTGGTCACTGAAGTCATCGTATTGCTACCTGTAATGCCAAGATATATATATATGACTGGGTCTATTCGTCTGGCGCGGAGTCAGGATCGAAATGTTTGATCTGACGGGAACCACAACACAAAAGCCTTAAATCATGTAGTATCAAATAACCGTCCAATCACAAGGGTCCATTTGCAACCCTTCGTTAATCCGAATGTTTTATTGGTCAAACTTTTTCCACTAGTGTGCGCCACATGAATAGTAGCGCACACTGACAGTGATCTTTGTAATTGGCTGAAAGGCTAATAATATTAACCAATCCTAGTCCATTCCTTTAAAGCCAATGGGATCGCGTCATTTTTTGTATCGCCGCAGGTTGTCATGAGTCGAGCGCTGGCGGCACTTCGGAGTCGCGGACTCCTGGCTGGACTGACCCATGAACACGCAACGTCCGTGCTGGATGCGGCAGTGGCCAAGCATCAAGCCAACCCTTCGTCGGTGAAAGCAGTTGGTGTGTATTGCGGCTTTGACCCCACGGCGTCGTCGTTGCACGTGGGCAACTTGGTGACTGTCATGGCACTGCGCCACTTTCAGCTGGCCGGAGTTAAGCCTATCTTGCTGGTACTACACACCATCGAGCGACAATGCTTCCCTATCTCACGCTTCGTAGGTCGGTGGCGCCACGGGCATGATTGGCGACCCGAGCATGCGGTCCGACGAGCGCGTCATGTTGACCGCGGACGCGGTCGCCGCGAACGCGCGCCACTTGGTCGACAGTTTGAAAAACGTGCTCGACTTTGACTGCCCCAAGGTATCATCGTGTCCATATTGCAACCAACGGACACGACCCCATATCTTGATAGGTCGGCGCGGAAGTGGCCAACAATATGACATGGCACGGGCACATGTCAGTGATCGACTGGATGCGCGAGTGCGGGGCGTTCGCCCGGGTCAACGCCATGCTTGCGCGGGACAGCGTCAAGCGGCGCCTCGACGCTGAATCCGGCTTGAGCTTCCTCGAGTTTTCGTACCAGTTGTTCCAGGCATTTGACTTTGTCCACTTGCGGCGGCACCACAATGTGCTCGTGCAGGTCGGAGGGAGCGACCAGTGGGGCAACATCGTGTCTGGCTGCGATCTCGTTCGAAAGACCGACGGGCACGAAGTGTACGGGGTCACCGTGCCCCTCCTGACGACTGCAAACGGCGACAAGTTTGGCAAATCTGCCGGCAACGCCGTCTGGCTGGACGCTGCCAAGACATCCGTGGTAGGGTCTGCTTGTTGTGTCCTTGTGTTAGTTTATATTTGGACGGAAACCAGCGCTATAGACGACGACTGACCGATGTTTGGTGTCGTGGGTAGTATGACTTTTACCAGTTTTTCATCCGTACGGACGACGCCGACGTTGGGACGTTGCTGAAAACGTTTACATTACTCGATATGGACGAGATTGACACGATTGTGGCCACCCATTCTGCCGCCCCAGAGAAACGCCACGCCCAGCAAATCCTCGCCGGTATGTCTGATCGAATTTGGGAATATTTCTACACCAATTATAGTGTGTTTTTGATCTTTTTGGTATGAATTTCCGGACCCCGTTGAATCTCGCCGACCGAACCAATCATTATTCGTATTGGTCATTCCGAAATTACTTGTCGCTGATTGGCTACTATATCAATTTCTACCGGAAAGTGGATATAAGCCAATCAGATGTCTCGACACTCTTGTTGTGCTCGATTGAACCATGGAACATTGGGACATTTGAAGAAAGTTTATCGACAATACAAAAAAAAATCATACTAATTTTGACGTTTTTTCATACAAATTAGGCACTTTTTAACCCAGAATTGGATATTTTGAATCCATTTGAACCGTTATCATGTGTATGTAGAACATACGACGAGGATGATCCATGGAGAAGTCGCGCTGAAAGCTGCGCAGGTGGCCGCCAAAGTGCTTTTTGGCGGGTCACTGGACGGGGTGGATGCCGTCGACATCTTGGCCATCGATGCCCCACGGTTGCAATCTCAACATATATATATATATATATTGCCAAAAGATTAAAATAACTGATAGGTCGAGTTTGGCGTTGGAGCTTGTCCGAGGCAAGCGAGTGGTGGACGTGCTGGCTTTGATTCGTGCAGTGCCAACCAAAGGTAAATGCCAAACGTCATACAAATGATTTGATGGGCATACATGTATGACAGAAAAGTGATAATATTGTCCTTTTACAGTCAATTTGGACTACTTTTGTGCTGAAACGACACATCTATCGACCGATTCATTGTACGGAGTGATTATTTGTATGTAAAAACGTGTGTCCTGTGGTGATTGGTATCACACTAATTGAAGTCACACACTAATTTGACGTTGACGATGGTTTACTGCAATCTGATTGGCTCAATTCTTCTGTACATATATATTTGTGGTTGTGTCGATTCATTCTCCATGCCGCTCCAGTTTAGAATGTAAACACCAGAATATCTGTGACGCTGTTTATGGTAGCGGAAGGCCGACGACTGATCAAAGCCGGCGGCGTGTACATCAACAACGTCCGCGTCGACTCGGACGCTGCCGTCATCGAAGCGAGCCAAGTGATCGAGGGCAGGGCGGTGCTTGTGCGCGTGGGAAAGCGCAACTACCACGTGCTGCACATCTCGGATGCTGTCTACTGTAGTTAGTGTACTGTACAATGTTTAAGCCCAAACCATGAATCACGTGAAGAGTGTGAATATGTACGAGTTTTAGTGTCCTTTGCGATGTATAGTAGTGTAGTAATACTAGTAACAACAACAACGACGAGGAGTAAACTACTAGCATTCGTCTCTGTCACCGTTGGTGTTTGCATCTGTGGATGTATCTTGATTGACGTGCTTTATGGCATGCTTGGAGCATATTCGTATCTAGTACTACTAGTAATACTACTACTACATGATGCCTTTCAAGCGCAAGAGGGCGACGGCATTGCCGAGGCCCGTGCGCTGGGTGAATTCAAGAGCTACGGATCAATATTAAAATATATATATCAGTTGTGCATCTGTCGCGAGATTCGATATGAATATGCAAAAAAAAGACAAAAAATATCAAAGTCTTATCAAATATTATATATGGACAAGATGGAAACTCCTAATAAAACTGTGGACACATAAATCTTGATCATAAATCTTGACACCATGGATAAGATGAGAGAGAGCGAGTACCGTTGTGGCGGCACAATGTAAAGAGAAATTCGCTCACGCAGCGCTTCAAGTCCGTGTTGGTGGACGTCATAAACGTACAAAGGGTCTGTTGCAAGCAGCCTTTGACCAGCGGCGGCGGACTCATGGGCAGCTCACTCAACGGCGTTGTCTGAGCTATCTCAGCTGACACAAATAAGTCCACATGTTCAAAATATCATTATCCTTGTAATGGTCTATATATATATATATATATATATAGAACTCGAACATGCCAGACATACCACTTGTGTGGTTGTTGATCTGAAAGATGGCTTGCTGGAGCAGGGAAAGGCCCTTGACGCTGTTCTTGGCCAGTTGGTGGAGGCCGATAACCACAGGCACGACCACACCCGGGTCTCTTATCATAACGTTATTGATATTGGTAAGAATTCGATGTCAAAATGCCCAAGTAGCCAATGAAATTCTCGAAGGAAGACCTTTCGACCAATCAAATTGCACGTGGGTCTATTTGCCAAACTTCTCGATTTCTCACAGTTGAACCTTTTTCTTTGACGTATATCTTACAGGAGTCACTGTGAGTATATTCAGTTCAAGTAAAACGACGACTACAGGTGGATTTGACGTCGTGCACCAAATTTAGGTTGAAAGCACCATAACTAAGTACTTGTATTGTCAAATCGATTCGAAACTGGAGCCATCGGCAGAATACTAGTAATCAAATGTCGAAAGACAATCGTTTGACTTCTTTGGCAAAACCATATATATACTGTTCGTTGTATAGTATAGTGTGTACAAGATTAAATAGGATCCAATGGATTCGAAAGGTATTTGGCCAAAAGTCCAAATTTCGGTGAATATATGCACAATATAATGACATGTAAAGGTTGAAGTGACCAACGTACTGCGTATGTTCCACGCGCACTTTCATAATCTACGACGACAAAGACCATCACATGGTTACGTCAGTCGTCGTCTTCCCCTTGGCCCTTGTTAGGTACTAAAATTTAGTACCACATACTCCAACAGCGCAATCGTATGGCCGACGCCGTCGTAACATATGAAGCGATCGACCAGCGCCGGGTGCTGCACCAGCAAGAGGACATTTGCAGCCTAAATACAACGCAAACAACAGTATAAAAATCATATATATATCACGTAAATAACAATAATAATAGTCTTACGTGCAATTTGAGCTCGAGGAGCGACTGCGAGTTGGGCAGGGCCAACACATTGCTCAGCAAAGCCATGGCGCTATTCACAGGTGTTGGCCGTGTATACTTGATATATAATCATTGTGTGCATAATGTATATATATATGCAGTGGGCTCAAATGTGAACGTTTTCTTACGGGTCGGCTATCGATTCGATGGCCGGTGGCAGGCACATGGCATTCTAGAGGATGGAATTAATATACATGAAATAGGTATAACATGCGACTCGATTACGTCCAAGCACGTGGCTAACTAGCTATATATATATATTTCAAAGTATATATATTAAAAAATATACATGTACACCAACCTGCCAGGCAGAGGCAAATACGTACAGCACCTTGAGCAGCTCGGTGGCGAGGGCGACACGATCGCCGTCGTGGGGTAACGAGTGCGGACATTGCACGCAGAAAGCCAATGTCTACATACATTCCAGACCTTAACTCACCATCGAAATATGGTGGACGCTGTCGCAGAGAGCGCCAATATTGAAGAGATAATATATAGAGAATGCCAATATTGAAGAGATAATATATTTCGTGATGGGGCGTCAGTACTACAGGTAGGATGCAAGCGTAGCCGTGCAATGTGTGCTCGACTCGTTCGATGGCGGCAGGGTGCTCGAATGTGGCCAAGAGGCACTTCCACACGAGGGTGTGCCATGCGAACGGCCGCGCCAACTACGACGCAATGGGATGATGATTGTCGATGGCTGGATGGTAAGTGTCATAGATGAACGTACGCTGGTCAAGTGGAAGAGGGTGTCGTAGGTGGTTTGAGTGGCGAGCAAGTCGGCCACAAAGGATGGTCGTTTATACACGGAATTGATGGCGCATTTGATGGCTTCACACGCGGCCGCTTCGTCCGTGGCCTGCTCGGCTACCCGAATGAATAGCTCAAACGCCTACAGAAGATTCCAATGCATGATGTAATCCGAACGTTGGAGGATTGAGACGACGACGGATGTACCTCCACGGATAAAAACACGTCGATGCTATCGCGACCTCGCATGAGGATCTTGACCACGGTTAAGCTCAGTAACGGGTCTGCATGAAAGTATCAGCATCGTCCTCCTCATCATAGTGCTGTAAGTGTGCTGCTTGCCTTCGCCAGACGTCGTTGTTTGTTTCTGTAGTTGGGACCACACGTTGGCGACAGCAACGTGCTTGACCTGTCGATCCCAGTCGAACGACGATGCACCTTGCTCCACGTGTACATCCTCGTCATGCATGACGTGACATATTGCGGGGATCACTTACCTCCATACTTGTCACTGAATGCCCGCAGAGCATTGAGCCATTCGCCTCCAGTCGCATCCCCGCGCGATAGCACGTCCAACTCGGCCATTTTTGCAGTGTACGACTGTAAAAGATCTCTCGTATCCGAATTCCGGATAAAGTACTAGGAGTGGAATTGGCGGCAGTACATTTCCGTCGCTCTCAATGGTGCTGCTGCTGGTCACTGACTGGGGTGATGATCTAATAGCACGTCATGCAAATACTGTATTGCTACTACCGGCAGATCATTGTCCCAGCGACCAGAACCAGCCCCGAGAGCTACGGAAGTCATGGCGGTACACATAACCGTGCAGGCAGAGCATTCGACACATTTTATAGACGATTGATAGCTTTGATAAAGCAGGCAACCGTACATAGCAGCATGTCGGTGGCGCCGCAAGATAAGCTAAAGCAGGCAACCGTACATAGCAGCATGTCGGTGGCGCCGCAAGACAGTTCCATGGCTGCCTTCAAAGCCAAACCGCTTGATAAAGAGGCAGGATTACACAGCATCGTAATGTCCATTGCTGCTGCCACCTTCACTCGGCTTCACTCGGCCATCGGCCCCAGATATCGGCAACTTCTTGTGGATTGCACCTGTTTTTGTCAATCCTGGTACGCGATGGATGTACGGCACGTACATACGATGTACGGCATTTTTCATCTATAAATTTGATTACGTACATTAAATGTACGTGTACTATAGTACATTGCCGTACGACATTTCTATGATTTGGCCATAATACTTGGCCACGCTTCAAATTCTTCTCGGTCCATCAGGGTCAGCATTATTCCTGCGTCGACCAAGCAAAGAGAGTCGACGGGAAGGAACAGATTAGACGAAGCAAGCATGGCGCTGCGAACGTATACGCAGCTGCAGCACAGCTCCCCCAAGCTCACGCCGTCGAAAGGCCTCGCTTGGGAGGCGGGCCACCTTTCAACGATCAATCACGTGCCAAGTCTCGTCGACAAGTGTGTGCAAGCTTTGGTCGTCGCAGATGGCTCGCCCATGCGCAAAGTCGACGCACTATTCCCGTACGTCGTCTGTATTCCCTTCATATCGAAGGGAAGGTCGTGAACTCACCTGATTTTTCGTTTCTTGATGTAGGCGTCTTCCGGAAGAACTGGCGCAATGCTTGCTGGCTGCGTTGGTGGCGCACGGCAAGGTCACGGACGATCGCCTGTCGGCGTTCCTGTCCATCTCTCGTCGCGTGATTCGTCTCGGTGGATGCGGCGGCATCCGCAAGTCCGTCCTTCGGCAGATTCCATTCCGATGTCCTCAACTGGTACCATTCTCCCCATCTTCTTCCGTCGACTCATGGCTTTCCTTCCTAGACGTACTTGGATCTGTCCAACTGCATCCAAGTGAGTAACACCGTCGTCCGCGACATCCTGCAAGGATGCACCACGCTGCAGCAACTTCGCTTGGACAACTGCCGACACATCACAGATGCGGCATTCCAGCCTGACCAGTCGCTCTTCTACCCCCTTCGCGCGTGTCTGTCCCTCCGCGTGCTGAGCTTGGCCGGCTGCTCGCAGCTCACGCACAGCCTCGTCATGTACCTACTCAAAGCGTATCGCTCCCTCGAAGAGCTCAACTTTTCCCGCTGCAAGGTATGTACATACACCGTCTTCCATGTTCACGGCATGTGCGTGCTTAGCGCATCACGAGCGAGTCTATGAAGATGCTGCTCACCTCGTCCATGCACCTCCGCCTCCGTGTGCTCAATCTGTCGTTCACGGACATCTCGGACGACGCGCTGTCAGCCGTGTCGCTGTCCCATCTTACCGACATCGACCTCGGCCAATGCAAAATCACCGACGCCGCGCTCATTTCGCTCGTGCGGCGTTGCCCCAGGTATATATATATTGTGAATTTGCTATACACTTTCAAAATTCGCGTGGTTTGTCCTATCCATATTGAAGCACGCTGGAGTTGTGATTGGTTGAATATACTGCAACAGCCAATCAAATAATCCCCTCAAAAATGGATTAGCCAATAGCGTCTCAATTCGTGATATTCGATTCGACAGGGTCTGGAATTCGTGTCGAATCCACACTATACTTCGTGTTTATTATTGATTTGGTACGAATCGTTCAGATCACGAATCGCTCCGATTGGTCACTCTCAAAATACTCTTCGCTGATTGGCTACATATTTTTGTCTTCGTTTTACTTGGTGCAATTCTATGGAATCCAGAAAGCCAATGAAAAGTCCCGATGAGAATGGTGGATCGGTTTTTTCGAATATATTCCGCCGAATTGGGAAATGTTCACCATATATTGTTTTGTCGTTTGTATATATTATGTGTGTTGGGATAGTATAATTTGTGATGTGGAAACTATTGTTTGAAACGTAATATGTATATATATATATATTGTGATTGTTTTGATGAAACTGTATTAGCTTGGAAGTGGTGCGGGTACGGTGGTGCAGTCAAGTGACCGACGCGGGGGTCACGCGACTCGTGGCCGGTTGCCCGAACCTTCGCCTCTTGGATCTAAACAACTGCGGACTTATCACGGACTTATCACTGTCGGCGTTGAAAGCATGTCCCCAACTGGAATCGTAAGAAGCACGCACCTTGAGCTTATACCTATCTTTTTATGCGTAGGTTGAATGTGGCGTGGTGTGTCAACCTTACCGACGCGGGCGTAGCTGACTTGGCCAACTCGTGCGCCTCTCTTGAGCACGTGACCTTGACCTACTGCACCCAACTTACAGACGTGTCCCTCGGCTGTCTCGTGCAGAAATGTCCGCGCCTTCAAAGCGTCCATGTGAACGGGTGCACGGGCTTCACGCCATCCGCCGTGGCCGCGCTGCCAGTGCCAGTTGTGTTGCCGCGCCCGACAGAATGAATAGCACTTGAATACTACTCAAAACTCATATTTACACCAGTGCCAGTCGTGTTGCCGTACCCGACAGAATGAATAGCACTTGAATACTACACAAAACTCATATTTAACGTGATGTACTATTAATATATGGTCCTAGGGGAGTTAATACTAGTATATGTGAACCTTCATCAGAGGTTTGTTATATGATTGGTGCTTTTCCAATTTGGGGCTCAGTGATTGGCTTAGTTTTAGGCATCATGAAATCACTCATATTCGCACATGGCACTTTACGTTACTTGAAAAAGTGTGACGTCGTTTCAAGGACAGATTGTTGGAATTTCAAAGTCCAATAGGCATGGTTGCTGTCTAGTAGTAGTACTAGTAGTAGTACTAGTACTCGTAGATCTCCAGGATTGGTTCGTTTTGATTTCGCATGGTTCAAGATACGACGGATGGGCGTTTGGAGGGGGGCTACCGCGTACTGCTACTACTAGTAGTAGTACTACTACTATTACTAGGAGGGGTTCGGGTGACGTTGCCAGACCAGTAGTAAAACGCCGTGGCGATGGCTATTGTGGCCCAGTACCACCATTTGGCATTGAGGAGCACGAGGGTACCCACAATTGTCACAAGCAAAACCCCCCGGCCCGTGTCTTTGGAGGTGTCGTCCCAAGTCGCGACCAGATCGAGGCCCACGCGCGGGGCTTGGCTCAACAAGACGTAAACAGACCCGAAGGCCGCGCCGAGCGCCGTCAGCAGCGCCAGCCCCCACGCGTTCCGCACCAGCAGCTGCAAGTCGTCGTTGGTGGACAGAATATCGTGCTTCCACCACTGGTACAACACGACCAAGCGACCGACGCCAGCACCAAGGGCGTCGTAGCCGTCGCTCAGACACAGGCGAGCCATGGCGCAGAAATCGACCCACAAGACGGCCAAGATGGCGAGGACTTGAAAGTACACGTCTTGCACAGATGCTAGGTGGCGAATCCAGTCGAGGTCGGACAGGTAGGAGCGTGCGATATGCGACAAGGGGGGAGCAGCAGTCGTCGACGGGGTGGACGGCAACGACGAGGAGGAGGAGGATGCTACTGAATCGGTCGTCGTTTCGCCATCAGCAACAAGGTGGTCATGTACCCCAAAGGCTCTCGAAGGACCTAACGCGACAGTGTCGTCAGCAGAAGAGGATGGCCGTTTTTTGGCAAAGTTGTGTTGTGTTCGGCCCACAGACGACACGTCAGAAGCAGCACCGGATGACACTTGCGAGGTCACCTTAACGTGTGGTGGTTGGCCGTCGTCCGTCGCTTGGACGGTATCAGAGGCAGCAGCCTCTTCGGTAGGTCGGGATTTCGAAGCGACATGTCTGTCTGGGACCTTCATTGTCTCGTCCTGGACGTCCAATGAATTCTCCGTGGACGCCGCGAAAGAACGCTCGTCGTCTGGCTCGGACGGGTGAACATCGCCGAACCGCCGCGCTTCAAACTCTTCCAATTCGTAAAACAACGAGTCTTCGTCATGGGATGGCCCAGGCAGGCTCTCCATGGAGCTTTCGGCGATTTCGATGGATTTGGGCAACAGGGGGTCCGGGGTGTAGGGATTGTGACGGGCGGCAACGGGGATGGTGGCGTCCTCATGGTCGGCGGCAACTGTCGATGCCAATCCACCATTGACCCTTGCCATAGACCTATCAGCGTGGACTTGGCTGGATGCATATTTGTCATTGTGTGGCGGCGGGATCACTTGAATGCCCTTGATGGTAGCTTTCGCGTCGCTCTCAAGCGGTGGGGACATGTGTGTGGCGGAGATCACTCGGACCTTTTCAACGACGGTGCTTTCATCAGTGGATGGAAGCGAAGGAGACCTCTCCGTGCCTTCGTATTCCGCAGCTACCAACGATATGACAATGATGCAGCGCATCATGGCCTTCCAAGGTCGTGGCGGCATGAGTTCTGGTCGACACCGCCAAAGATTGTGCTGTCCTTTTTATAGTGCCTAATTCGAATTCGTGAAATGAGGAAATTCGAGGTATAGGGAGGATATTTGTCAAATATAAAAAAACAATATGATGATTTATATATACAATTGTAAGGGAATTAAAACAATGAATAATAATACAACCTTGGTTGTTGTTGCCACGTTGCATACACACACCTCCGCCGCCAGGTCAAGTCCGCCGCCATTATGTTCAATCGGCTGCGCCAATATGACGTGTACACGAAGGGCGTGGACGGGATCCAAGAGAAGACGATGGGTGGAGCCATCATCACCGTGATTAGTGTGGCCATCGTCATCCTGCTCTTCCTCTCGGAGCTGGGCTTGTACACAACAACAGAAGTCGTGAACCGCATGCACGTCGACACGGTCCCGCAAGATGCTGTCATGCGCATTGAAGTGGACATTACATTTCTGCATGAGAAGTGCGCAGGTACTTATTGAATTGGCAAGACGATGAGTGTGGCGTTAATGAAGTTCTTTGGTAGATGTGGCAATGGATGCGAGCGATATCAAGGGGAACAAGGACCTGTTGTCGGACAGCAACATCGCGGCAGTGCCCGTTGTCTCGGACGAATCGGAAGGCTGCCGCTTGACGGGAACCGTGGACGTGCACAAAGTTGCGGGGGTCGTGAGCTTTGCACACGCAGGGTCGTTGAACATGTTCAGCTTCTCAGACTTCTTGGAATTCAATTCGTCCCATGTCGTGCATCGTCTGTCGTTCGGTCCTGAGATTCCAAACATGGTCAATCCACTCGAAAACGTGCACAAGACGGTCGAGAAGAACGGTCGGTACCTTCCATCGTATCTATCCTTCATCATTCGTCACCTTGTGATCGTAGTCGCGCTTTACAAGTACGGCCTGTCGATTGTGCCGACGCAACACACTCCTTTGTATGGCCCACCTGTTCAAACGTATCAGTACTCCGTTACTGAATACACGTCCGAGGTCCTACTTACCTCTCTCTTCCTTCATTCGACCTAACCTTTTGTGGGTCTAGCCAAGCGAGGAAGGTGCGCTGTCATTTCCGGGTGTGTCGTTCATGTACGAGTTTTCTCCGATCAAGGTCGAGTACGTCGAAAGCAAGCCATCGTTCCTTCAATTCGTCACCAGTACCAGCGCCATCGTCGGTATGACTCCATGATTCCCAGTGTCCTTTGGATCCTCACCTTCCACTCATGATGACAGGGGGTGTCTTCGCCGTGGCCAGAATAGTCGACAGTCTCATCTACAGCGTCTCGTCGCGCAAGATGGATTAGACCACGTACCCCCGCCTACCAAGCAAATGTCCAAATCAATTGAAAACTTTCGCGCGCGCGTTTTTTGTCATGAAATAGTGTAATATATCGACAACACTATTTCATGAATACTACACCATTTCCCGTTCAAGTTGAAACGAAGTTTCCAGTAAAAGGTGACGTAGGCCGAGCATACAAAGTTCCATACAGTATAAACACTAGTCAATATGACATAAACTTTTCAAATCAACATGAAGTCGTGAACATTCAACTTGATGTTTATTTCATATAATTTCCTCGGTTCCACGACAAAGATATTTGGCGAAGTCCAAATTTTGGGTCAGAAAACTGCAACTTTTCAGAAATATTATGACTTCGTGTGTTTGGCTACCAAATCTGACATATATATAGTGACATATTAATAATACATCGCGTTTTTACTGTTTTCGGACAGAAAAAAGGTTGAACTGCAACTGTCCAATTTTTACCTATTAAATTACATGGTATTATTCTATCGATAGTTCTCCTTCTATTAGTGTATGGCATCAATAGAGGTCACGTCCAAATATTTTGAAAATATTTTCTCACCTCCCATTTGAAAAGGGAATTCTCTGTCAGAATATTATTTGACATCAAATTTTCTGTGGCATATCCAGAATTCGGCCTCAAGGACCATATTAGCTCATGTTATTATTGTAAAGTCGATTCGAATCAGCACTAAAGTCCAAGTTTTGGGTAAAACGACAATACCTCGACAGGCGCTAAATTGAGTACTCCGTGGTAGTATTCTCCGGCCAAGGACGACAGCGTTATCACGGACAGTCCGTCGTCAAAATCATGGCTAACGTTAACTCGTACTAGTACTGTACTAACGTTAGTATAATTTACTCACATTTGTTAATGAAAATTAAGATACACATCGCCACGACCACACATCCAACACGTAGACATCGCACGTAGGCTATTTGCACAGCACTGCCGACACGAGCAGTCGGAACGAATTGTCGCCATCGTCGTCGTCCCCGTCGGCGGGCGATTTTTCATCTTCACACGCGATGCCTTGGGCCTTGGACTCGAGCAACACAGTCTCTTGCAGCCGTTCCCAAGAGTACCCACTCGGTCGCTTCTGTTCTTTCGCCTTGTTCTCCCCTGGTTCCATATCTTCGTCACCCACGGGGTGTTCTTCTTGGTTGGTGCTCTCGTCATCAGTCTTCTGGACCTTGATAGGGCTCGGGTGGTTGTTTTCATGCTGCAGCACGACCACCGTGTCGTCGCTATCCCCTCCATCTTCGACTGTGATCTTGCCCACGACGAAACGCGCTGGATCGCACTCTTTCAAATCCTTCAAGCTACGCCCCCCGTGCGCAAAACAGAACCCCCCTTTGCGCGCTGTGGTGGAGCAGCCTGGGATGATGCACCGCTTTCCCCCACCATGGGCAATGCACTTTCCCCGACTTACGGCGCTGTTGGCGCAGCTGTCCGTGTTGCACTTGCGGCCGCCCCCGTGGGCTTTGCACAACCCCATGCGCTGAGCGCTACTCCGGCAGCTGTCCACCATGCACCGCTTGCCCCCGCCGTGCGCAATGCACAGCCCACCGGTCTTGGCGCTGCTCTTGCAGTCCGCGATGCTGCAGCGCTTGCCGCCTCCGTGCGCGCGGCATAACTCGCCGCTGACGGCAGAGCTCTTGCAGCCATCCATTTTACAGCGGTGGCCGCCACCGTGGGCGATGCAATACCCGCCCTTCTTGGCCGACGAACTGCACCCTTTTTTCTGGCACCGCCCCCCGCCGCCGTGGACGTAGCACAGTCCGCGGCTCTGCGCGCTGCTCATGCATGCATCCATCTTGCATCGCCGGCCACCTCCGTGAGCGCGGCAGAGACCCGCCGACGCCACGTGCTTCTTGCACCCGTCGGCCTTGCACTTGCGCCCGCCGCCGTGCATCACACAGAGACCGCGGGATACGGCCGAGCTGACACATTGGTCCGCTTTGCACCGCCGCCCACCTCCGTGGGCCACGCATCGTCCCCCACTGACCACGTGCTTGGTGCATCCTTCGGCGCGGCAACGGGTGCCGCCGCCGTGGGCCGGACACAAGCCCCGACTGCGGGCGCTATTCTCGCATCCTCCCTCAAACGTGCACTTCTTGCCGCCTCCGTGTGCGATGCAAAAGCCACCGCCCACGGCGGAGCACTGACAGTCGTCGGCCTGACACCGCCGGCCACCGCCGTGCGCGATGCACACCCCGCCCCGCTTGGCCCCGCGCGTACAGCCCTCGACGCTGCACGACTTTCCGTTTTGAAGACTCAGCTGGTCGAGTTCAATGTCTTCTTCGTCTTCGTCGTCGTCTACGCCCATGTCGTCGTCGTCGAATTCGTTTTCGCTCGTCGAGCTATAGTAGTCGACGTCAATCTGCTCCTCGTCATCGTTCATGTCGTTATCGTCGTCCAGAGTGGCGGCGGCGGCCGCACCTTCGTCCGTGCTGCTGCTGTTGCTGCATTGACTCTTGGGGGACATTTCTAATGTCGCGGCAATAGGTTGACTTGATGGCCGCGGCGACTCGTGGGAAGAAGATTGGTTGGTCGCTTTCTTCTTTCTCGCGGGTTCCTGTGATGATGGCACCTGCTGTGGATAGCTGCGAGATGCTATGACGGTGGCAGGTGTGGTCGAAGTCCGTGGGACCGACGAAGCGATGGGCTCTCGTTTGACAGGATCGGCCATCGACGCTGTGTGTGGATACGAATCGAGATTGTAGCAATCGCAAAATGAAGCCAGCCAGGGTGTTTCGTACTCTTCCGTGGTTCTGAAAGGGCGCCACAAAAGGAAGGGGCACACCAAACCAATGTTGTTTATCTTTCGATAGAACCAACCAGTACTATTAAACGCACCAACTGGCAACGAAACCCCCGAAACCTCCCTAAGTGACACGGTATACATTCTTGCCGTCAGCGGAGTTTCATGTGACTACTTCGCTGTAGCTACGTTTAACTACCCCCGTGATAACCTTCGATCTTTTCACAGTGTTTCAATATGTAGTTCAAGGGCATGTCCCAATTTAGATCACCACTTTGGTAACACCAGAACATTACGGCGGCTTGGCAATAAACGTGGAGGCCGAGCCAAGATGGCGGCCCAGGAACTGCAGACCACACCTTACGGAAATCAATGACGAATGCTTCAAACTAACTTCGACATGAATGAGCCTGTCGTCCGTGCGTGCTACTACTGTCTATTGCCCACATGGTCATGCTCCACCTGGACGTGCGCCATGGATTTGTTCTATCGCTGAACAATATCCACAGTAACTGAGCCAACCGTCGTTCACTGATGCAGAAAGTAAGCGCTGTCTTTCGCTGCCTAGCCTTCTAACTGTAAGCAAGTGACTTGCAATAATGGAACTGTCGTTTGGTTGTATGAAATATTAAAGGTATAAGTATATTCCGACCAGCTTATTTATTCAGCGTATATTAATAGTAAATGCTAGTCAAAATAGAATTTGATTGAACACGGAATACTCGGAGTACGTTATTTGAGCGCTTTCACAACTTGAAGGAAAATGATTGGATATAAATCAACCCTCTAGACCAGTTAAACGCGAGTATTTCAAAATTTCCAATGTGGCAGTTTGAAATCACCAGCAGTGCTTTTTGCCAATTGACCAAATTCGATTGAGCATGCACACTCTAGTGGTTGTGCCTGTCCTCGTCGCTGTATGCTCTAGCATCATGTACATGGCGGCGATCACTCCATCAGGTGCGTGTGGCTGAGCATTGGATATGCATGGACATGGATGAACTTACACTCGGTTTATTACGTGAAGGGGAAGCGTGGAATGCGAACTGGATGGCCATCGCCGAGGCGGCCAACGGCAACGTGTCCTGGATGCAAGAAGGAGCACAAGAAGGGTACCAGTTCCGCCGCTTTGGTGAAAACAAGACGTTCTGTTTCTCACCTCGAGCCTCTCTCCCTTTCCGCGTGGACAGTCTGAACGAGTAGGTCTACACCACCACTGCAACCGCGAGGTTTATCATCCATGTCATTCTAGTCCACGTCAGCCATACCTGGTGCAATACCTCACTCGCTTCGAGCAAGTCAATGCTTGGTTGGCCCACGTCAGTCCCTACGTCACTCCGATGCAGGTACCGACCGACCCTCTCACGTTCTCCTCGTTGTGTCCAACCATATCCCCCTTTCTGCATACAGCACTTTCTCGGATCCATCCAGCCGCTCATGTGGGGATGGAGTGATCTTCGCGTCGCGATCAAGAGTGACTCGATGTCGCAGCTGAGCTTTTCCTACAAAACGTACTTTCTCATATTATCATCTTCCGTTGCATCTCTCTCTTTCCTTGTTAGTCCACCGTCGAATGTGTGTCACATATTGGCGCATGTTCAAAGCTCCGTGTATCCGTCCATCCGCGATGCCTTGCCCGACGTGGTGCTCTACGTGTTGAGCAAAGGCGCCGAGCTCGCCAGTACATCCTTTATCCATCTTCCTCCTTCATAACATGCTCCTTCTTTAGATCGGTACTGCGAAGGCTGCTCAAAGAACGGATGCCCCCTGGCGTGCGAAGCCTCCAACAGCCCCGCCATCTGCATGGCGACGCTGAGTCCGTACCAGTACCCGTGTGTGACGGTGGCGGGCCCCGAGACCGGCCTACTGCTCAGCCAGGCCCGCGTCGCGATCACATCCGTGTTCTATTCTGGTATGTATTTCCAATATAGACAATGATGGACTTTATGTGTATATCCAAGTATTATGGCCAATCAAGTTCAGCTATTACAAATGAGTTGGTTTGATTTGCTATTGAAATCGAATTTTAAAGTATATTGACCAATTAGAGTTGAAAATTTAGTTTTAAAATCCTGCGTTGTCTGTATTGCATTTGGTTGCTAACTTCATCTTGTTCCAACTAGACCATAATGTGTACCATATACCAGGTTTTCCGACCTATATCCGGGCTTTGGATTGGTCGAAATTCGACCGACCGTGTGATTGGATTGGCTGCGATGGTTCTCTTTCAGTCGATATTGTCCAGTTTCGAATCGATATTTTATTGACAATAAGAAACCTATCGATTGGTGTTGTATTTTACGACTAGTCGTGTCGCTGCAGTATGTGCAAAACATGGGGCTGGGCTTTGCGCTGTACTTTTTGTCCCCTCTGCTGGCCCACAGCCGCCTGTTCCACTTCGTTCTCGGCGCGGCCATCGGCATCGTGTGCTCGATTGCGTTGCTCTTGTACCAGCTGTACAAGCAGAGCCAGAGCACGCTGCGCCTCCTACCCGGCGCCAGCTTCCTCCAAAGCGCGTCCGTTCTCACCACGCTCGCGTTTCCCGTCACAGGGCTCATGCTATTGCCCACGCTCTACTCGCTCTTGCAATGGGTATATTGCATATATATATATATATATATAGACGCTCTTGCAATGGGTATATATATATATACACTGCCTGGTTTGGATGTTGTCGTCGACGCTTATAATTAGTTTATTTGCGCTCGAAGATGTCATTCGTCCCAACATTGCGTATATATAGAGAGAATACTCCATGTATATATATATATATATATATATAATACTCCATGTATATATAAAGAATACACAACATATATATATATATATATCTATCTATATATAGAATACTCAACATATATATATATGGAATACTCAATATATACATATATAATACTCCATTTATACATAAAGAATACATATATGTATATACATAATACTCCATTTATACAATACATATGTAGAATGCTCAATATATATATAGAGTATTCTATGTATGTCATGTTGTGTTTTGAGTATCCAAAGTTCGATTCATAGTTTGGTTGTTCATACTATAATGCTGCGTGGTTTGTAGGCGCTGGGGCTGCTGTTTACGTTTTGGTCGAGTGACCAAGTGTTTGGGGTGCCTCACTTGGGCAAATTTTACTTTGTTTTTTTCGGCGCCGTTGGGATGGCGTTTGTCTGGTGGTTCCAGTGGTGGGCCCCTCGTACGTTTGGCTTTGAATGGTTCTGAAGTATTATTTAAATGTTTATGATTATTATAGCCAACGCCCAGGATTACGCCACGTCATCGTTTCAACAACCCAACGACGACGACGGCGACGACGACGATGTGGTGGTGTGGCGGGACCTGCGCCGCATGGAAGCCGAAGTCCGTCTACATGTCGATATATATATTATACCATCTAGTATAACTATATAAACTGCACAATGGATGGCTAGGACCTGCGGCTACCGGATAACCAGCAGCGGCTGGCACGCACGCTGCAGCTGGTGGCGATCATGCTGCTGTTCCAAAGCACTTCGTCGACGCTCATTTCGACGGTCGTTGTGGCGGTGGCGCTGCTGTGGTCGGTACTAGAGGCATTGTACGCGCACTTGTACTTTTGGTACTGGTCCGAGGTCGGTTTGTCCATATCTGCGATACGGTATTCTTGGTTTTTTAAATATTTCATGTAGACGCCAGGGCTCCATTCGACGCTGATTTCCACCGACGAGTATGTCGCGCAAGGCAAGACGGAAACAGAAAAAGCACTGGCGGCACTGCGGCAGCACCTCAAGGACCACCCGACTGTGGCCGAGAGCGTCCGGGAAGACCACGAAGTCCGCCTGCGCCGGTTCATGCACGGCAAAGATCACATGGACGCGACTGGCAAGGCGGCCAAGAAGGATGCTTCCCAACGATCCAAAGCGGGGGCGCGGCGGTGGTGTGTCATCCAGTGAGACCGATTGTAGGGATGTGTAGCTAGGTGTGTGGACAAGTTAGTTGCATTGAAACGCGTCTAGTCTTTTGGTTTGCTGTCGTTAAGGTAGTAGTCGCCGCCGCCGCCGCCATGTGGAACCTTTATATATAAACACAAGCAACTGACCGTACATGTGATTTTGCCGGGGGTGGACTAAGTCAATTGGGCAGTTACAACGGGGTCGTGATAGCGGTTACGTTGGCAGTTACAACCAACGTGTTGGCGGAGCGATTGGTGTTGGATAGTCGGATGCCGCCGAAGAAGTATGTACAGTTGGCACACCCAAACTGATTGAATGTGAAGGAGGGTAATAACGAGAGCACTGCATGGGTAGAGCGAAGAAGAAGCCCAAGGCCGACGGCAGTGGCGAAGGTTGGTGTGTCGATGTAGAATGTGCGATGATGTGTGTGTATGGAAGTAAAGGGGTGATGTTATAGCCAACGACGTGCAGCGGCGACTGGACGAGGCCGAGGCCCAGCTGCGCGAAGAAGCCAAGCTCATCGACCGCCTGACGCGGGAGAATCAGTCCAAGCAGGAGCACATCCAGTCGATCGAGGCGGCGATGGCCAACGAGATCGAAAAGCACGACGCCATCATGCAAGTGTTCAAGGACCGAGAGTTGACGCAAAAGCAAGACGCCGAGCACTGCATTGAAGTATCGGCCAACGCCACCGAAACAAACCAAGTCGGTTGACAGGTGGTTTGTATATAGGTGCTGAATGCCAAGATATGCGACCTCCACGTACGCATCGAGTCGTGCAGTACGCTAGAGAGTGTGAACGACTCGCTACGACTGCGCGTGGACGAGCTACGTCGTCAATTGGAGGACGAGTCCAAGGTAAAAATGTGAAAAAATGAGTGAAAAAGGGGGGGGGGAGTTTGTTTGTGAGCAACTTGTAGAGCCACAACGACGAGATCCATGCGATGCGCGTCGATATGTTCAACCACAAGATGGCGTTAGAACAGGTGCCACATAACTTGTACTCGAGGAACGTTGTGACGAAATGCGTGGCTGGCGCTTGCTAGACGTTTCGAAAGTCGCTGCAGGAGCTGGACGCCCAGTATTTGAAGAAAGCGTTCAACGCGATGGCCGACGAAAGCAAAGTTGATGTGTTCGTGTGTTCGGTTTTCGTCACTTCGGTACATCGTAGAACGCGCTGGTGGCCAACGCGAAATTGAAGGACGAGTTGCAAATGCAAAGCATCGGCGTCGAGAACCTCATGCATCGATTCAAAACCCAAGCCGACCAGTACCACAAGATGGTACATATAGATATGATCGCAAGCATAGAAACCCGACCACATGGATGGGTTGTGTCTTGTGTAGAAAGTCGAGAATGAAATCCTCGAAATGGGCAGCTCGTTACGGCTCAAAGAGGTCTGTGGCATGTACCTACCTGGATCTGTGGTTTCAATGGATAGCAATAAAACTGATTGACCAAGCAAGTGCTGCTATTGTGAGGGTAGATCTCATTGCTCAAGGCATCCCAGCATGGTATCGACCGCGCCGTTCACAACATCAAAGAAGTACACATTACACTTGGGCGGCCGATATTTCTGTTCGAATCTCACAGTCATCGCACGAGTGTAGGAATTTGCTTGGAAGCAAAGTCAAGTGCAGTCGGCTACAACTAAACTTGTCGAGGTTGGTAGTCAGTCTTTCGGTTGCAAACAAAACACTGGCCATATGATTCATATGATCTTACGACGTACTCCGCTAAGAATAGCAATGTTTGGATGGTCGTAGGAACTCAAGGACGAAGCCAAAACCCTTCGAAGCTTGTACGATCAAACCCAGGTACTTTAACACTTGTAGCAGGTCTACTACCCACAAAACTCGCAAGCTTGTCTCGACGTGTTGTTTGGCTTGGCCGTCACTTGTGTGTCGTGTGTGTGTGTGGTAGAAACGATGTCAAAAGTGGAAATCGCGGTACATGGCCCTCGCATCATCCAACCAGCAACTACAGCAGCAGCAACAACACCAACGTGGCGTTACGTACGTGCTCGACGCAGTTCGTTGGTAGCTCACAACAACTAGGCAACGCACCGACGAAGAAGACGAGGAAGCGGGCGACCCATTCCACCACCATGCAAATTTCCACTCCACGAGGGGATCCCTCGAAGCAGGTGCTCTGAAACGACGTTCGAAACTGCATGGCGACGGGTTTGTGGCCCCGCCGGCCATGCAAGGAATCGACCCCAAGGAACTGTGGAGCGCCAGCTTTGCGCAGGATCATGATGACGCGTGTTCAAACCGATCTGCCACGGCCCCGCTACGACCAACCAAATACGACGTCAACGTGCCACTAAAAGCAATCAAGCCCGAGCCAGCCATCCACACGCTTGTGAAACTGAAAAAGTCCCACTCGCAAACGACGATTTCGAGGCGACCTGCGACCACCATGCGATGATGGGCTGTGTTTAGCACTCAGTGCCCGGGAACGAATTGACTGAATGCGTCCTCCGTTCAACCCTTTAGTTGCAGTAATAATTAGGGCTACACATTGCTATCATATATTCACTCGTAAGGCATCCTTGGCACCATTTAGCACTGGAATATAACTGGGGTCGTACTCGAGTCCTCTTGACAAAACCTCTATCTAAATCCAGGATGTCCTCGATGCGAACGACGTCGGCGTGGCAACGCAAAACGCATCCATTCTCGGCACTCCTCGCAGGTATAAGTACATACAGTAGTAAGTACATGTAGTAAGTACTACATAGCGTTGTCACAACTGCCACCAGAAGCAACTCTGCACAGTTTCAGACAGCTGCGGACGGCGAAGTTTTTGTTCATGGGGTCAGGTTAAGATATAAATACAATAGTATGCTTGGACGTTGGTATTGATGAAACTTCCAGACGAAGCGTTGTTGCGCGGTCGCAGCAAGGCGCCTCTCGACGACGTCGAGGTGCTGTACCTGTCAGGGTGTGCCCTGGACGGTCTCGCCAACCTGGACGCGTGCGTCCGCCTGCACTCACTCCACGTCGCCCACAACCGCCTCGTCGACATCGCCGGCCTTCGATCCCTTCGCACGCTGTGGCATATCAACCTCAGCTACAACCCGCGGCTGCACGACCTCTCCCCTCTCGCCGATTTTCCCGCCCTCGGTTTCCTCTCCCTCGAACATGGCACGTTCACATTCGACGACGTGGCAGTGCTACGAGATATGCACATCGCAGACCTCCGTCTCCGCGGCAATCCCGCGCTCATGTTAGTCGTGGGTCAAGACGCCGACAAGGACGTGAGCACGTACCGGTTAAAAACGGTGGCATTGTTGCCGAATGTGTGGGCGCTGGACGGCCACTACATCACGACGGACCACCGGCTAGTGGCGTTGGATACGTTTGGCGAGTTTGAGTACGCGACGACTCAAGGCCGCACCGACAGGTACGGGTCAACCGCGATGACGTGGCAACTGCTGCTGCCTCCATCCAACCCCCTCGCCGACCATCTCGTGCATCTGGTCAAACATGAGCCGACGTCCCATCGCATTCTAAGGGAATCCTACCGACTCAAAGCGTTGCTCCACATGTACAACCACTTGTCCACCCACGCGAACGCACATTTGTACTTGGCGCCAAAGTCCTCGGCCGCTGCCGGTGGTTCAAAGCCGTGGCCGGTGGTGCCCGCCGACGACATCCTTCGCATGCCCCCCCGCGCGCGCCTCAACTTGGCCATTCTCCTCGCCGCAACCCTCGACTTTCCGTCACTTCCGCCTTTTCTGCTCCTGGAGGCCACCACCATCAACCTCGTCGGCCACTTGGACCCGGCAAACATCCGCGCCATCCTTGACGCGCCGCCCTACGTCGCGACCGCGCTGCTCTTTTGCCTCGGCGAGCAAGGCCTCAAAGACAACTTGTCGCTTCCCGAGAACGACCGCAAGCTCTGGTCCAGCCTCCCCGTCGTCTTGTCGACGTTTGTGGACGCCAAGTCCATAGACTTCATGGACCCCATCACCGACGACCAGACCCAGCTGTTCACTCGACGGTGTTGTTATGCCGTGATCCTGCTGTCGCGGGCCCCTTCCTTTCCCACCCACGGTGTCGACACGAGCTCGTCCGTCGCGTCCGCCGTCGCCACCTCGCTGCAGCCCTTGCTGGACAAGGCCAAGATGCGTGTGCAGGACCTCTTCCCCGACGCCGCGGGTGGCATGTCGGCATGGATTGGGAGCCAGAAACGACTGGACGGCATTCGTTCTGGCCATCCGGGGCAATTGCCGTGGAATAAACCGAGCAACGACCGTAGCAACGGCAGCATCAAGTACCCCCGACCATGGGTGACGCCAGCAATTGCTGCAAACCACGACAGCAACGAGGACGAGCCAGGGAATCTCAACCCCCTCGAGCCACAACAAGTCCCCTCCGAGCCAACGAGGACGCTTTTGCCCACTGCAAACTCCATGAACTTGCACTCTCGGTCATCCCCCCAGCTGCTCCATGATGCTTCCTCCGTGAAACGAGCCAAGTTGCATCGAGATGCACATGGATATCACAAGGAAGGGGTGCCAAGGGCATTTGGGGTGCCAAATATGGACTTGTCGGCACAGGATGTGATCGCCGCCACCGCCGCCGTCTCCATGGGCAGTCCGTCGCTTCACCGGTCAGCCTCGAAACCCGTCGAGTTGTTTGCGACGAACGCGACGTGGAATGCCAATTACGTGCTCGCGCCACCCGCGCTGGTGCACGCGCAGAATGTATGGATGGACAAGAATCAGCAACAAACGGATGGATGGAGTCGCATGGGGGACCTGCCAACGTATTCGATCGATGCGACGACGCATTTGGTTGCGCAGTCGAGACCACTGGGCCCGACGCGGGCGAGAGCGGTTATGCATGTCACGACGAGTCATGTGCGCAAGGAATCCATTATGGTTGAGAACGAAGAAGACGGAAACCAACCACACGACGAAGCGCAGCAAGTACGACATGACAACGATGGACAAATGATGCAACTGCTGCAAAGGGACCTGGCGTTGCTCCTCGGCAAAGCACCTGCGACGACGGACGATGCCCCATCGCAGTCGTGCTTTATGACCCAGAGCAGTTCCCATCCAAAGCTGTTGCCGTCGACAACGCGGAACCAAGAAATATCCTCGACAATATCCCAACCACGTGTGTCGCCCTTCCAGTTGGACATGGCCCCTGTGACCACCGCTACCGCCACCAAGCCTGTGAAGAAAGCCGGCTTCAAGACATGGTAGGACACTAGCCATTCACACAGGAATCTGGCCGTTCATCTGTGTGTGTGTGTCCTATCCTAGGCATGCCGTGCCAGCCAAGTCGCAACTCATCATCTCGAGCCCATCCTCCCACCCGCCCCCCATCATGCCGACGAACATGCGTGGCAAGAAGTCTCCTTCTCTCCAGAAGAGCTTCACGACCGACGTCGCGTCGTATGCCGCGCTTCCGTCGCTTCCGTCGTCGCCGTCGTCGTCAAAGACCGTGCGCTCGGCCTTGCTACCTCGTAGTGCGAGTTTGCCCGTTTTATAACGAAAACGTCCGCTGATTGGTCTATTTTAGTCGCACATCTGTAATCCACCAATCATCGTCAAGTTGAAGTTGGTTTCGTATGATAAAATAACAGCCGTCGCAGTTCACCATCTTTGGACTTTTTGCGTTTCTTCTGCAGCCATTTTCGAATTTCCCATGAGCCTGCACATCGACACCGACGACTCGATCCCCCGCGTCCGCTGGAACGAAAACGACCACCGATTCCACTACACGGTCCCCGTGGCAGAGCAGCCGGGCAAGGAAGGCTACGTCATCCTCCACGAAGTTGGGCCGAACGAAAGGTCCGTCCGTGTGCATCCATTCCCGATCCTCTTGATGGTATGGTGTGTTGATGGTGGTTGTATGTTTAGCGGCGCATTGTTGTCACCCAAGGACAAATCCCGCCTGACCGACATGAAAACGGCCAACGATCTCATCCACGACTTGGAAGTGGCCAAGAAGTATCGCGACACGATCAAGTTCTTGGAGCACAGTACGACAACAATTCTATTCGCATCGCCTCTCCCCCCTTTTTGTTGCTGTTTCTTATACCGACGGTAGAACGGTCAAACCACAAGAGCAACAAGGAATTGTACGACGAACGCGCGACGAGCCAAGGCGACGTCGTGACGAACCAAGCGTTGGTGCATGAGAAGAAGCCTCTCGCCAAGCAAGTCGTGTCCAAGGCACAGCCCCACGTGACACATCAACGTCAACTCAAGCAACCCGCCAAAAAGAGCTTTTAATCCAACTTTCCAACTTACGACATCGCTACGACCTTGTTACCTTGTCCTTGTCGTTGTACCTTGTGTTTTGCCATGGTGCCCAATGCGCTTCTGGACTCGTTGCATTCGCAGGTTGTTCCATTTAGCGCACCTCCGCCTACCAGCCGCTCATTTCAACGATCGCACGACGAGAGTCCTTATTGATCAACTATTATGAGCGAGAATTCTGTTATATTGACCGCAAGTTCTAATTTTTCCGCCGCAATTTTTCAAATCGTGACGCGAGTTCGTCAAAATCGGGCACGTCGTTGGTGGCGGGTGCCGAGTCGTTGACGGGTGGCGCGGCGGCGGCAGCAGGAGGCGGGGCATACGCGTCCACCGTCTTGGGCGGCGCTACACATCGTTCATCAGGATAAGTCAAACGCTGATCAAAGACATGTCCTAGAGTTGGCATACCGGAGGGAGGCTGGATGTACGCGGGAGACGAATGAGGCACCGTCGGAAACGCGGTTGGCACGCGCCCTGGCGGCGGCGCCTACATTGACATGTAAACTCTTAAAAAAGACCTTGAAGACGCGGACGCTACTGTACCTCGGCGTAAATGGCGGCGAAATCGGGACCGGACACGCCAGCCTGGCCGATGGAGGTGCCGGTGGGGGCCGCCATGGGCGCGAGGGGGTCAACGATCTGGCTCTCGTCCGGCACCCACGCCACGTTGTGCTGCTTTGCGATCTCCTTCAAGTAGTTGATCACGAGGTATGCATTGGGCGGCTAAGAGGTCACCTCATCATGCAAATGCACTTCGTGGACGGAAGTTCGGATCGACGTTGGTGGATACCTGGACGCTAAGCTTGTGGATCACGCGCTCGTTGACACACCCGTCGACGTTGCGCATGGCAGCGGCGGTGAAGTCCTGGCCATACTTCTTCGTCAACTGGTTCTTGACCTGTAGAAATGACATGCGGGAAAGAGCACGGAAATGAGAGTTGAAGAGTATGTGGATGCAGGGATGCGCGAGATGGGAAAGAAAGGTACGATACCTCCGACAGCTCTGGGATCTCGGTGCGCGTGGCCGCCCATATCAGCGTGCACACGGCTTCCCGCATGTCGTACGGGCACTCGCGCTCCGACTTGATGAGCGGCGTGCGCTCGGAGATCAACTCGCACAGCAACTCGATAATCTCGTATGCTTCAATGACAAAGTCCTCCCGAATCAACCCTTCCACCTAATGCATGCATGTCAATCCACATGCATGGCGATGGGTGATGTGCAGACGCACACGAATGCGGGCCTTCTCCTCCTTGCCGTCGGCCAGTAACTTGGCCACTTCCTTCCGCTGCGCCTTTGACGTGATGGCTTTCTTGTTCTTCACGATTCCGATGCGGTGCACCGCCATCTTGAGGCTGGGCTTGAGCTTGTTCACGTTGAATCCAAACATCGTCCTTCCGACGTCCAAGAAAGCCAAATGAAATGCCGCCGAGAATGAGGGAGTAAGAATGCTGGCTTACCAACACTCTGATACCCGAAAACCCAAATACCCGGTGTCACCATTTTAGACTTGCGTTTTGTATTGAACATTGGAGTCTCTACGATTGACTGTATCGTTGTGTCACACTGGTGACTCGACAGAAATAATATTATACTTCGAAGTAATATTCAATGGATCAAATATCAATTCGTGTCCAGGTTGCTCCATGCCAAGAAGCGGTAGACTAACAGTACAGTACACGTTGCTGCCTGTAGTGGCGAAATGAAATGTGCTAGATTACGTATACTGTAGCTAGCCAGGAGTTCGATTCATGTTTAGCAATGTCCAGTCAGTAACTATTTATACTAGTATCGTTGTTAAATATATTACTTCTTCCTGATTGGCTCCAAGGTTTCATTTGCGTGGTTCTGATTGGTTGATAATTTTACGTCAATTGCATTTTCTATGGGTGGTTGCGGGCGGGGGAATATCTTGAGATTTGTATGGACTGCCCGTGGCAGCAGCCAACCCGACTTGCCATCATGGCCGACCATGTCGCGAATTTGAAAGCCGCGATCTTCGCCAACCTGAATGGACTCGATGGGCAGATGCTGCAGTTCGAGGTCAAGGCGAATCCAGTGCTAAAGAAGTCCGAGTGCTGGCGGAAGTTTGGACACGTGCATGCGTTGCAGGGGGGGCTGGTGCAGCTCGAGGACACGTCCTTCGTCGCGTGCTTTGCGTGCCACACCGTGTACACGTTCAAGAGCAAGAACGGTACGTCTACGATCATGGGACACAAGTGCCCGCACGAGCGTGCCACCTCGGACAACAACGACGGTGGCAAGAAGGATCCGCCGACACTGCGCAAGCCAAAGAACCCCGAGCTGGACACGTTGAAGCGCGAGATCACAAAGGCGCTGGTCGACATGGACGTGGAGAAAGGATTCACGCTACACTCGAACCCAGTGGCCACCAAGTCCGACTGCTGGAAGCGCTTCGGTCACGTGTATCAGCATGGCGCGCCGTTCGAAGCGTTCGAGTCAACGTACGTCGCGTGCTTTCACTGCAAGGTTGTGTACCAGTACAAGGTCCGCAACGGCACGTCCACGATGACGACGCATGCATGCGCCACGGCGTCATCACCCTCTTCGTTTGGAGGACACCATCCCATGCTTGTGGACACGACACCACGGAAACCAACAACCCACCATGCGAATCCAGGAATGAAACGATCTGCGACAGAGTACCTCCACGGGGGCCCCAACTCCACCATCGCTTCTTCCCAACCACATCACAACTCGAAGCGAGTGTTTCATGGCACGTCGAGTAGCCCAGACAGCGACGTGACGTCGTCGCAGCTGTTTCTAACCAACTACCACCACCACCACCACGCTGTCACATCGTCCTCCTCGTCGATGCATCCCACCATGTTACCCCCAAAGAAGGCCATGGACATGCTCAAACAGTCCATCACCGCCAGTCTTCTGGCAGCCGCGGCAGATGGATCTCCATCGTCGCCGTACGATTTGCGGCCCAACGTGGGCGACAGCAAGGCCGAGTGCTGGAGTCGGTTTGGGTTCGTGTACCGGCACAACACGCTCTTGATGGAAGGAGGGGCTTACCTCGTCGGATGCTATGAGTGCAAAGCCGTGTACATGTTCAAGACCAAGAACGGTACGTCGTCGCTGCTCAGTCATGTATGTGCGATGCGGAAAGCGCTCGACGTGGCCAAAGCCAGAGTCAGCGCGGACCTGCTGCATCTGGTCACCCACGACATCCTTCCCGTGGACGTCGTGGACGGCGCCGGCTTTCGGCGGTTGTGCCACACGTTGATGCAAGTCGGCGCCCGCCATCCATCGTCCATATCCCAGTGGACAATGCCAGATACCCACCAAGTGCAAGCACAACTCGCCCGGCGGTTTGCGGTGGCCAAAGCGGCGTTAGCAGACCGACTCGTTCACGAACATGTTGCGGTGACATGCACCCACTGGCGGGCCGCCGCCGTCGTCCATGATGGTACGCCGCCGCGTTCTCATGTCCCGCAATACAAGAACAAGCTCATGGTCGCGCTATCCATCCACTTTATCGATGCCGACTTTGTCTTGCACCACCGTCTCTTGGACGTACACGAGGACGCACCACATGGAGCGACTTCTACTAGTACTACTACTGATACTAGTACTACTAGTACTACAGGTGATGGTCCAGGAAAAGCCGCCATTGTCGCCGCCGCCCATGAGTCGGTCAAGAACGTTCCGTTGGCGACCAAGACTCTACAGTCGTTGGCCCAACAGTCGCTGGCTGACGTAGGCCAACCTACGGCTGTGCTCGTAGTCGAGCAACTACTTGACCCACAAGACAAGGCCGAAACGAACCTGCTACCGTATCAAACGTTTGCATCGGTGGAATTAGACGCGATTCTGTGCGATTTGGTGGAAGGTGTTGGGGATCCGGTCCTCGCGGCGGCTGTCGACCTCATGGGGGCGATGACGTGGCAAGCGCTCGTGCGTGCGTTAGAAGCGCTCCGAACGCAGTGGGACCAATCTCCAACCACGTCGGACAAGACGGGGCGTGTTCGGCAGTGGCTGGCGTTTTGCACCCCGTTCGGAACAGCGATGGAAACGTTTCAAACGACGGAACCCACACAACCCACGGTGCACACGGTGTGTTATTGGCGGCATGTGCTGCGCCAGCACTGCCGCCGACAGTGTGCCGATGCGGCGGTCTCCAAAGGACAAGAAGACGCGAATGAAGAAGAGGAGGACGCGGCGGTGGTGGGCGCGGTAAAGGCGGCCGCACTGCGTCGGTTGCAGCAGTGGACGCTCTCCCCCACACAAATTCTGGCAGCGTTACTCGACCCACGACAGCGAAAACGGGTGATCAAGTTTGGTGTGTCTGTGGACGAGATCACTTTGGCAAAGGATACGCTGCGGTTGCAATTGATCGAGTTGGCACCATTGGTCAAGCTCAAAGCCAGTAATATATCGTATCAGTCGGAGAAGACCCCCATGATGGCGGCGTCCATTCTGTCCATGTATGGCGGCGACTCGGACGACGAAGAGGAGGTTGTTGTTGTGGGTGATGATAATGCAGGTGGTGGCGAGCCCAACGACAGCGTGTCCATCGCCGATCGCGTCGAGTGTGAAATGACCAAGTACTTTGACGGGTCCAATGCTACTATTGCGCCCGTGACCCCAGACAAGGCGACAAGTCACGACGCCGCCAACCCCCTCGGGTGGTGGAGGCGGCAGGCCCCGCGGTACCCGTTGCTGTCCCGCGCCGCCCGCTCCGTCCTCTGTGTACCCGCCGCCCCCAAGCAGATACACCCCATGGTTCAGAAGCATCGGCACTTGTTGTCGACCCACGCCCGGGAAATTCTGTTTATCCAGGCCAACCAAGACCTGCTCGGACTGGCGGCATCGCCTCTAAACGACGGATGTATCATCTAATACTAGTACTATCATATACCATCTTACACCAATGCCTTCCCCACAGGCTGGACTATAAGCCCTTTCATCCTGACATACATAGTAGTGTCGGCTGTATTGTGAGGTATACATTGTACAGGGTTTTCTTGGTTACTGTATGTAGCGATGCCTACTGGCAGCGTGTGAAAGGGGGAACCAACCATGCTCCAGCACGGTGTTGACATGGAAATGTACTTCTCGGTAGGACGCATACATGTATGTATGTAGTTAGTTATCTTGGATTGTTCATATAACAGTACGGACATTTGAAAAGGTACGTGGCAGCACCGTTGGTGTTGTTTAGACGGAATTGCTCCTTCCAACTCGTAAGTCTGGGAGCTTCGTCGGCGATTTGGTGGAGCTTTTCGCTTCATGGTGAAACGGTGTGCATACTATAGTACTGTATCTGATCTAGAGCCACCGACAGCCGAGAACCCTCCTGAGGTACACCCCCCCCAATTCATGTTTCACGGTGCTCAATACATGACTGCAGTACCTTAATTTTGGCTACCCCTGCTTCGAACAACATTTCTTGACCAAGTGACCTAAAATATAGCTTTCTATGTTCACCTTTCTGTTGCATGTTCGAAAGGAACTCTGGTGTGTAACCCATGACTTGGTTGATTCGTTGGTTTGGTCTCTCGTGGTATTGCATTATGCTGATATTGGATTGTCTTATATCGTAGGCGTCAGGGCTGCCAGACTCTGCGATGCACGACACGTTTCCTCAAGTGGTC